AAACTAGAGCTATCATTGAAGCAGCTCTTAATATTAAAGCTAAAGGATTGGATGTTAAACCAGAAATTATGGTTCCATTAGTTGGTAATGTTAATGAATTAGAACATTAATTGAAAGTTGTTAGAAAAACAGCTGATACAGTATTCAAAGAAAGAAATGACACTATTCATTATTTAGTAGGAACTATGATTGAAGTACCAAGAGCTTGTTTAGTTGCTGATTCTATTGGTTAAATTGCTGAATTCTTTTCATTTGGTACCAATGATTTGACTTAAATGACACTTGGATTTTCAAGAGATGATGCAGGTAAATTCTTACCATACTACATCAATAATGGAATCTTAAAAGTTGATCCATTCTAAGTTTTGGATAGATAAGGAGTTGGAAAGATGGTTGAATTAGCAGTCAAGAATGGAAAATCAACAAATCCAAATTTGAAAGTTGGTATTTGTGGTGAACATGGAGGAGAACCATCATCAGTTGAATTCTTCCACATTGTAGGATTAGATTATGTCAGTTGCTCACCATTCAGAGTTCCAATTGCTAGAGTTGCAGCAGCCATAGCTAATTTAACACATGCATGAGTATTTCATTAAAAAAATATAAATATTTATTTATTTAAAATGTCTGATGTAGACATAGAAGACACCATAAACAGAATTAAAAATCATAAATCAGTCTAAGGAATTGTGATTGTTAATAGTGAAGGTGTTATCACTAGAACTACTTACTTAAATGATAAAAAAGATGAGGGTAATTTCTCATTATTAATTTAGGTGATACAATCGCCAAATCTATTCCTATTTTTTGGCTTAAAAAGCAAGATCTTTAGTTCGAGATTTAGATCCAACTAATGATCTAGCTTTCTTAAGAATTAAATCTAAATTAAATGAAATTCTAATAGCTCCTGATAAAGATCTTTTATTAATTGTTATTTAAGGACCTAAAAAATAAGGAGAAGATGATTAATGATGAATTAGATAATTAATTAAATTAATCTAACCTAATCAAAAATTTGTGCCTAGCAATCATATATTATTACATTACAGAACAACTATAATACTCAAATGTTATATATTCATAATGTTTATCTATTTTTTTATATCAATATTTGCCCAAACCAACACTTCAATAAACGTGATTTTTTTATTTTAATAATTCTTAATTATTTATATTGATAAACTAAAATTTCAATAATTTTTTGATATAAATAATATTATATATTTTTATATTTAATAATTTTTAAACAATTCCCTCTACGAATCTTGTTTATGACTTATGATAAATTATTATGTTAAAATATAACTTAAGAAACTAAGTAAAATCATATCACAGAATTATCTCTAAAATGACTACTTGAAACAAAAGATTGTTTTAAAGCGAATCTCATAAAGAAGTAATATTTATTAAATAAATGAATTTCTCTTTCGTAAGGAGAAGTCATACTAAAATACCAAGTGTTATAAAATTAAAAAATAAGGTTGGATATCACCATTCAAAAGTAAAATGATATATATATTTTTTAGAAAAAAGAAGTAAAATTTATGAGTCAAAAATTTCTTTTTTTAATGAGTGGAAACAGATTGTATAATTATATGATTAATCGATAAATTTTTGGCAATTCGATACTTATTTAGTAAGAATGAATTTATAATATATAACTCTTTAATTATGAGTATTTGAAAATTTAATAAAAAAAAAAGTTGAAGAATTAATTTCAACAGCTTACCGCTCTTAAAAATTAATATTAAAACCTTCTCTATTATTGATGGTCTTGATAATTTTACAAAAATTTTAAGTACAAACTGCCGCACAACTTTTTAATGGTTAGTATTATTAATACTGTCATATTTGTTGATAAATATTTAATTCACTCCAAAATATTTTTTAAATGGGAGATGTTTAAATGAAACAGTTATAGGATGAGATTGAAGGTTAAATTTATTATAAATAACAAATTGTATAATTTAAAAACAGAATATTTTAAAGATATCATTAAAACAGGAAATAATAAGAAAACATCAATTTTTTGAAGATGGAAATATGATTGATTTTAGCATAATTAGATTATTATATAAGTGGCCTTGTTCTAAAAAATAATACAAAAGTTAACTCTATTCTAAGAATCTCGAATTCAAATTTCTTCATGCATTTTTATAATAATTTGATTTCTGTAATTACTCTATTTTGAGTATAAATGTATTCGATATGGATTTGAATAAAAAAGATGAGATTTATATTTTTTAAGTAAAGTTTATATTATGCATGAATTATCTCATAAAGGAAGAACTAATTTATTTGAGATTGGTAATCTATGAATTGGGCAATAAGATATTATATTAAAACCTTTTTTAAATGCTAAATCTATAAAACTGCTTTATGAACTCTTTACAAGAAAAATTGATAATTTAATTTTAATGAATTTAGAGTATTTAGAAATTTATTTATCGCTAATAATCTTTTCCCTAACTGAACTGAACATATCATACTGATGAAGAGTCTTAAAGCTCATCCATATGAACTAAATCTTTGAAAAAAATGAGAATGCTTGTCAAGTTACAAGCATGATACATCAAAAAGTGCAAATGAGACATTTCCAATTAATAAAGAATTAAGCACTAAAAAGAATAAAGAATTTTAGGAAAAATTTACTTTTAAAAAGCAAATTTAGATACACTTAATTGTTTAATAGGAAAATTAATAGATTAAGTATTCTCAAATCAATAATTTTAGTAACTTATCAAGGTTAAATCTGACATAGGTTTTTTTAAATTTTTTTTGAGATTTCTATTAGTTTATATATCTATATTTATTGGAGATCCATTTAAAGAGATTATCAGTAATGTTGATTATACAATTATTGAATTGGAAAAGTTAATGAATAAATGATATTAAATATAAAAAATGTCTGTTATTAGGGAATTGAGTCATTAAAAAAGAAATGTGGTTTTAGAGTTGTTTGGAACATCTAAAAGAAGAATCGAATTAAAAGAAAATGTGTAATCGCCTATTAATCGACTATCCAAACGATTTAATTATCCATAATCAAGCAATGCTAGTAAATTATTCTAAATCCTCAAACAGACTCCTTCAATTTAATAATCATCATTTAAGTCTTCAAAGAAAAATAACGAAAGCACAGGACTAAATGAAAGCTATTGTCGAAAAGTATCAATTTTTCTTAAAATAGAAAATATTGAATATTGATATTTAAGAGCCGAGAACCTATATAAGATAAGTTATTTCTCCCTATCGAGATTTTCGATCATAAGTCTCATTTGATCATGCTCCTTAAACATGTATGGCTGCCCCTCGAAAAATTAGTCAACCTTAATAACTTAATTTACAAAAAAATTCTGTTCGAAGATCCAATAGTTTCAGAGATCTTTTCAAAAGTTAAATTACATTTGGTTGACCAAATAAATATAATTGATAACTTAAACAAATATATCCAATTTAATTTCATTTAAGCATATAAATTCTACTATACCTAAATTTGATCATCAATCTAAGCTTAACAATAGAGTTTTATTATTAATATTTTGGATGAATTTTTTGCATCACCTTCACTAAAACTACTATAAAATATATTAATAAGAAGACAAACTTTTCTATTTTATTTAATAAATTATGTGTATATATTTTTACTATTCAATATTATTATTTTATATTAATAATATTATCAATTTCTATTTTTAAATTTTTGAAGAAATTTAAAGAATTCAGAAGCATAGAAAATAGAATGGAAGGATAGCAGTATTAATTTATATTTATTAAAAGATTTAATTAAGTTGAATAATGGACTAAAGATTATTAATCAATTACCAAATCAATTATTTTTAAGAAATATCTTATGTAGTATATCTAATAATTAAATATAAAATAGTAGTATCAATTCATTTTCCTGTCTTTTATTTTAAGTTAAACATAAACTCTAATTTAGCTAATTTAACATGGATATCAATTCTGAAAAACAATTTTCTTAAAATGATATCTTATTGTCTTCTTTTCATGTTTTATGCCTTATCATTATTATTCTATGGTTTAACTTATAACTTTAATTATTTAATGGGAGATGTCTCTGTCTTTTTTTTATTAGGTTCAATACTAGTAGATCTTAATGATTAAGGAATTTATGATGTAGCTTAAATTTTGACCAACGCAGGTTCTTTGTTTTTTTAATTAGAAAATTAGTTTAAATTAATAATATCTAAAACTTGAGCAACTGGAGTACGTTTAGTTGGATCATCAAGAATAGTTTAGTCAATATGATAAACAGCATTACTATTATCTAGAGGCTCATTAATATATGATCCTATTTTATATGTAAGTTCTGGAACAGTAATTTAGGTTTCAATTTATAATTATTTAAACCTATTAGCCTCTATACTTGAACCTCTTGCACTGCTATCTCTTCTACTTCTTAGAGGAGTGAAATTCTTTTCTGGTCTTAAAGCTATACAATTAATAGGCTAAACTTTAATCCGAGATACAGCTTATTTTTATACTGAGAAATTTAAAGATGATTTTTCATCAAATTAAGGTTATTTTATCTCTATTAGTTAATTAGCTTTTTTTAAATCTATTGAGTCACTCATTTCAATAGGTATTAATTTAATTAATTATTCATTACCTTTTTCTGGTGATTTCAATATTTTAGATTCAATTTCCTCAATTTTCTTTACTTATATGATTCTATCTTCATTAAATTCTTCTTCCAAAACAGTGATATTAGTCTTTTACTCTTTTTAAATTATCTTTTATGGTGAATCTAATTTCTTATCCATGATATTTTCATTTTATTTTTCTGCCAAAACGTTGTTTAAATCTACTTTTTCATTCATCTATAATTCAGAAAGAATCTCAACTTTTTACAAATTTTCTTGTTCATGTTTTTTAAATAAATTTAATTTTGTAGGAGTTCTCTTCCTTTGCTAAACAGATACTTAATCAAAAATCTACATTATATTTTATACTTTATTATTATCCTACTTTTTTTCATTTTACAAAATTTACATAAAACTATCTTACTATTGATCTATAAAATCACTGTTATTTTAATAATCGATAACTGATTATTATTCCATAACTTCAACTGTTTTTTTTTGTTTAGAATTTTAAATTTAATCTATTTTCAAAAATGATTTTATTTATTTTTATTATGTTTCAGGAATTATATTTTATGGTTCAAAAGATAATAGAGAAGTAGTTGATTCTTATTCATCTTTTTGTGTTTAAGACTCTAATACTTGATCTAAAGATTTTTCTGGTTTTAATTAAAGCTTATTGATTAAATTATTTAAATTAGATTATACAGGAGGTAAATCTATATCAGGAATTACAACAATTTATAATTAACTATGAAGATTGTCTTAAGACTAAGGAACAGTATCAATCTCTTTTTATTAAAATTTAGTTTTCAATTAATCTATTTTTTTTTAATTTTGTTTAACATCTGTTTTAGTATCAAAAATATCATTAATTAAAAATGGTTATCTTTTTAAATGAAATTTTCCTTTATCCTCATCCTCCTAGCAAACACTTTATTCAAATGAGCTCTCTTCATCTAATGTATATAAACTATTATTTTAAGTTTTAAATCTTGGTTAATCATAAGTTTCTCTTATGGATTATAATTTTAAATTTATTGTATTTTAAGATTCAACTTTTTAAGTTTATTATTGTCCTTCAGAACTATCTTTAACTAACAAATCTTAACAATTTTCTTATATTTCTTATTTACATTCTTCATTATTAGGTTTTGTTTATGAATCAAATTATTATTTATATTATTCTAACAATTTAGATGGTTTTATCTAAAATTCTTCTTATTCTACATTTGTAAATCTATTATCTTTACTGGTATATATTTATTCTTCTTCTTATGGTTATAATTATTTATCAATTTAAGACAGTTTTGTTATTTCAAGAGGAGCTATGATATCAGATTTAGATTTAGAGTTTCTTTTATGATTAAAAGTTGTATCAATAGAAAACTAATTTGTTTCTTACTTTTATTCTGAATGATACTCTATCTCTTTAGTTTCTTATTTGTTCGATCTATCAAAAAATGCATCTAGGATATTATTATTTGTAGATTGATAAAATCTTGATTCTGAGGATAATTCATCTTTTCTTTCATATCTATCAGTTAATCTATTACTAGTCTCAGATCTTTCAGTTTTTTATCCTTTTGTTTATCTACTTTATCTCAATTCTTGATTTCTTTTTTTAGATGGTGGATCCCATTAATCAAATAGTTATTATTTTAAATTAGAAACATTACTTCTACAAAATGTTCTTTCTAAAACTGACATAGATTAATCATTTTAATTAATCTTTTAAATCATTTTTAATTAAGCACAACAAAATTGAGAATAATAATCTGAAAATATAAATTTAATTTCTTAAAATTCTTTTCTTTTGCAATTAATAGTAATTTCATTGCCATAATTCATTTTTTTAAATAATGTTTAATTAACATAAAATTGATGAGATTAAAAATCTTCTAAATTCCATTAAATAAGTGATTTTCCTTATATTGCAAATATAAATTTATTATTTGCACTTATATCTTCTAAATTATTTATCTTAAGCTTAATCATTTTATTTGTATAACAATAAGCATCTCCATTTTCTGTTATAGCTATACCACCAAATTAAAATAATATAGATTTCTTAAAAAAAGCATTAATTCCTAATCCATTTAATTATTGAATGGGAGTCTATATATCATTTTCAATATTAATAATTTTACCACCAACTAATAATTTATATTAATTATTTACTTGTAATTAAAGTTAGTTTTTCTTTATAAATACTTATATGTTTACAATGACTGTAAATCGTCTTATTAGTTTTCCACCAATACCCTCTTCCAGAATGATCAATTGCAGTTGTTGGAGTAATAGTCATATAATTTTTACCAGAAACTAATTGTTTAGGTTAAGAATCAATTGAATATAGATCTCCATTACCTTTATAAAATATTTTAATTTGTACTCATTAAACAAAATATCACTTTACCATCAGAGCAAATTTGCTGAACTCCCTAAAGTACATTGATTGCCTCCTATTCAGTATATTATGTTATCTAATTATCGCTAACTACAAGTCTTTTTAAGTTGTGATTATCAATAAAATAAAGCGAAGCTCCTAGCTTTATAGCTTAACTAAATTTGAATCTTAGTGATTAGATATTCTAGAGTTATCATTAAATGTATACTTCCAACTAATCAAAAATAACAGACATATTTTATATACGTTAATATTATAAATTATCAATAATTCAAGTATTTCTAATTAATCATAAACTAATTCAATTTATCCCATTATAATTTATTCCTGTAACAAATATTATTCTTTGCTTATTATTTACAATCTTTAATAAAATCAATCTCAAGATTAAATATTCCTATTTATTTTTCAAAAATTCCTAATTATAATTCAGAATACATAATATTCAAAAATAACCAATCTCAATTAGAAACATAATAAAGATATTTGCTCAAAATTTTTTATCGTATAATATTTTTCATATCTTTCTTTTAAATTAAGTTCTTGAACTCTAAAATATTATTCTGTAAATTAAATTATTTCAATTAAGATGATAAAAACATTTTATTTGATCTTATTTCTATTTCTAGTAAGAATTAACTAGATAATAAATCAATTAAATTAGTAATAATAAAATTGATTCGAAATCAAAAAAATAATAATCATAACTACATAAAAATAATTTGAATTTTAAATTGTGAATAGTTTTAATGATTTTTGTTTTTCTCATATTATCTTAGTCACTAAAGATGAATTAAATAAAATATTATTAGAAAATTATAAAAATATTAAAATGAATTAATTGTTTGAACTTTTAGATAATTATGATGATAAAGAAAAGGAGATCATTGAATTGTAAATATCGCATGCTATTCAAGTCTTAATTCAAATAAAAATAATATGATGGATTTTTTGAAATTAGTAATTGAAACCCCTAGTAATCTTCATCCAAAGTATATCTAAATCCTTTAATTAGATATCCTTTTATTGTTAGTGAATTGATGTTTGGAAGTTATGAACAATTACTGCAAATAATGTTTGAATGGGATGGAGAACCAATTTAATATTTGCTGACATTCTTCAATTATCCATAAAATGACACTTCATGTGGTTATTTTGAAAAAATGATAAGACCATTAATTTTACTAAAATCAAATGAGATGAAACCCTTTTTAGAGATATGTAAATGGATTTAATTCATAGATTAAGAATCTATTCAAAATATATTCTCAACAATTTTGGCATGCAGTAATTTGGAAGAAAATTTCAAATAAGAACTTTTAGGAATGCTTTTAAATTAAAAAAATATAAGCGAAAATGTTTTTCGACTTCTAATTAAATACACAGATTTATTTTATTAATATGTGAATCAACATTAAGAAATTATTGAAGTTATTTGCAATTAATCACCTCCTACATTTCATTAATTATGCACTATTGAATTATTTATGGGATGGAATTTACTAAATATGAATTGGTTTTATAATCAAATAAATTATCTATAATAATTAGTTTATAAAAATTTTGATCTATCCTATTCTACAATGAATTTTTTGTATAAATCTTAAGGGCTTACAGAAATAGATTTAAAAATAATTCATATATTAACTTAGACTTTGACAAGACCTGAAACAATTAAATTTCAAAATATTTTATTAGAATTATTATTAAAATATGAATGGAATAATAATTTATAAAATATAGCAGTAAATATGTATTAATAGATGTCATAAGAGGAAACACCACATAAATAATATGTAATTATTTATTTTTATATTTAGTTTCAATCAATAATAAGTGATTTTATAACAACAAATAATATAAATTTTGATAAAGTTGAATTTGGATTAAAAAATAAAATACCAAGAGGTTATAGGTGGGTATTTACAAAAATCGTTAAATTTTTTTCTTTGAATATTATAGAAGCATAAGAGATATGTACTTTAGAGGGAAAATATATATTAAATATAGATCCATCTAATAATAGAGAGAAATAATCTATAAATATTTTAGAGAAGTTATCAGAAAGAAGAACATAATGGGCTAAAAGAATTTAAGAAGAAGAAATATAAAAACATGAAGAAAAAGACTAAATTTAAATAGAAGAAGAAGAAGAAGAAAATTAAGAAAATTATTAGTTTTTCTAACCTAGAAATAGTTTTGGTGTAAAACCAATAATAAATGCTGAGGAAATGGAAGATGAAATTCCAATAAGAGGAAGATCCAGTTGTTAATTCAAATAAGATGATTCAGATTGATTTGTTAATTTTTGTTTTTTTAATATGATTGCCACTAAATATTTAATGAAGCTTTAAATATAAATATAATAAAAATTTAATTTAATGGGTATTGATTTAGATACAGAATTCACTGAATTCATTGTAACATATAATCTATAATAAGTTATAATTAATGATTTGCATTATAGCCCATGCTACTCACTACATGATTCAAAAAAGAGAAAATAGGAGAAGAATTAATATATTAACCTTCATTTTTAGAAGGGTTATATAGAATAATTTACAAAAGGTTTAGAAAGTAATTCAATTGTTGCATTAAATATTAATTAGAGAAGATTACTCTAATAGTCAAGCTGAAAAATTACTAAAACAAATAATAAAATTTTGGATTATTTTATAGATGCTATGCTTATATTATAAGCATTCTTAAATGAATTATGATATTTAATTTCTATTTGATAATATATATATATTAATAAAATATTTATCCTAAAAGATCATCTTAAAAGTTGTTTTTGTCGAATATATTCATAATAATGTTTAAATAGATAAAACCAATATAAAATAATAAATTAAAGAATTTACATAGAAAATCAAAATTAAATTATTAGAAATTATTGAATTGCTACAATTTATTAGTAAAACTAAATTTCGTAAAATATTTACACTATGAACTTTAAGAATACAGAATTATAAAAATAACACAATTTAATTCTTAAAATCAATTACTATTAAATCTCTATTTCAGGAGTAGTCTGATAATCTAATAGAATGAACAGATTTTAATTTAACATATTCATCTATTTCGAAAGACATATCTTCAGCTTAAATATTATATCCTTCTAATGAATCTATATTATATAATTAGAGACTTTCTGCTTTTGCTGCTCTATATTAAATTCTTTTCGGAAGTGAAGGTAATTTTTAATGAATTGGCTTTGCCACATTCAAAGAATACGATTTTTATCTGGATTAAACCATGTATTAGTTCTCTCTACTTATTTATTTCGATTTTTGGTTCGCCAAACTTATTAATTTTTAATAGTTTCTCCTTTCTTTTTCTTTAAAGTTATCAGGAGATATTTGAGTACAATTTATAGGAGAAAATTTTAAAGCATGTTCACTCTTCTATTTGTGTAATGGAGTTATTTTCTTTAAATTTCTACTGCCCCATTATTAACCATATCTCATAGGAATTACAACAACATTTAATTTCTTCTTACTATCCTTTTACATTTCTTTCATCATTAAATCAGATATAATTTATTTTATGCTTTTTTATTATGAGTTAAGAGGATTTTGCATAAAATAATAAATTATATTCTAACTTATTGATTAATTAAATATAATAAGGAATGAACTAAAAAGAAAACTAAAATCAACAATAAAAAACCATATTAAAATCCCTTGGATGAACAATTGCTTTATTAAATTTATTATTGGCTGATGAGTCTCTTATTTACAATTTTTGTACTATTGGGAATTTTTTAAACATAACTTTCATTCAAAAAAAGAAGGGAAGGACTTTTGACCTTTTTGTGAAAAATTATGATATTAACATTTTAACATATCTACAAATATTTTTCAACTAATCTCAGGATTTACAAAATAATAAAATACTTTTTATAAATTTAATTTATATTTTATTAACACTCATAATTTCCTAATTTTATCGCTCTTTTAAATAATCTTACCTATTTTTAATGCTAAACTTTAATTAATTGTGAGTTTACTTTTTTATTCCTAATTTCTTCTTAAACTTCTCTTCAATCTAACAAAAATATTTCATATAATTTACTTAAACAGCACCACAAAAATATTGTATTCAGGATAATAAATTTTGAAGTCTTATATTCTATCTAAATCTATTTTATAAATATTTTCCATGTATGGATTCTAATATATTTTGATATCAACAATATTTACATGACTAACTAAATTTAAAAATTCAGTAATAGTTGGCAAACTTGGATTCTATATCTTTACAATAGGACTTGCATTACTTGATAATGAAGGTATTAAATTTAAAGAATGAGCCTTATTCATTATATTTGAAATTTTCTAATCAAAAAAACTTTTAGATTAAACTTTTTGTTGTTGTTATTAGGATTAATTTAATGAAATTATATCTTGATACTGTTAATCTTTTTAACTGTTTTATATAAAATTTTCATTATTGATTTCATTCAACAAATTATTACAAGAATCTCCTTGATATTTTGTTTCTTTGTTTTCTATGTTTAACTCATTATTGCTAAGGGATAGCTAATCCATATCAGAGGAGCTTTCTTAAATTGAATAAAGTTTAATTTTATTCTCAATTAATTATTTAAAATGATTTCGTTTATAATCTTAATTTTTTTTGATTCTTCTATTATCTATTCAATATTAATTAATTATTACATGACTTTCTAAATTAATAGGGAGAATAAAGATATTTATCATAAAAACCAACATTGTTTTATGTTAAGTGAATTTTAGGGCAATTAATAATTAAATGGGCTTTTTCTTAACAATATAGGCAAAATGAGTCTATTATTTAATAATTGTTATTAAATAAAACTTAATCCTTAATAAAGGTAGCAATTTCCTTATATAAATGAAATAATAATACTAAATCTTAAATATTAGATGATATAATCTTTAGAAATGTATCTCTACTTAATTTATAAAGGAGACAGTAATCTAAACTTGTTATTTAATTTTTTTATTCTTAGCCTGTAAAAAAAGAATATTAACCAAAACATTATCCCTTAAAGCTTTTTTAAAATTCTGATATTTTCTCTGAAAGTCCTTGAGCTACTTTACCCTAATATATAAGATATATATTATATTAATCACCAAATTAATTGCATACTAATTTATCATTTACATTTAAGATTATTGGAGACAAATTTTAAGCTATTTATTATTTAGTTAATTTAGAAAATTTAGAAAATATTGAAAATTAATTTACAAAGTTTACTAACTTTTATTCCTTAAATTCTTAAAATATTGATTCTTTTTCTAAGCATTATTCAAAATAATTCTCAATGTTTTTATAATTTTAAGTTTAAAATATAATTTTTTCTAACTTTATTGAAATTTAATCTTTTAACTTTTAAGAAACTTTTTATTTGTATAGAAACTTTTAAAGCAATCTTAAATCTTTAAGCTTCTTGAAATCTTAGAAAAAATCAAGAGAATTTAATATTATGAGTTTTAAGATCAATATTTTGTAAAACAAAAGAATCAATGTTGTACATCTATTGAATATTTAATTTTATAATGTGTCATCTTCGGTGTTTAATTATATATTTCCGAATTAAAGAACATAATTAAGATAAATAATCAAATACTAACCTAGTATTTCTTAAACTTCTGCTACTTTTTAATTTATTATAAATGTTTAACGTAAATTGATACAAGTAAAAAAGTGACATGTTAGCAAGATTGAAATCGTTTAGATTTTTAAATCACTTAATTCATAATAAATTCTCTTATTAAATGTAAGCATTATCTTCTTAAAAATTACAAATTTTATTATAAATAAACTGATTATCTTAATAATTTCATTCTCAGATAGTATTAATACTGAAAGTAAAATAATGCAAGATGTATCTATCAAAATATTTGTTGATCCAAAAATAAATTCAAGAAATTATTTATTATTTTCCAACTATTCCTCTTCATAAAGTTGAGATGTATATTTATAAATCTAATCTAAAATTACTAGAATAATCATGATAGCAAATAAATAATTTTAGTAGCTATTTTATTAATAGATGTATTCGACTGGAGATACAATTAATAGTAAAGTACAAAAAAAAAAAATAATTAAATTCCAAACTACATATAATGAAGGCTAAACTGAACTCTTATAGACTGTTTTTCCAATGTTTAAAGGAGAAAAAAGTAATGAGTTAATAATTTTAAATTATTTATTTCTTAGATTTAAGTTTTTTTTTAATTTTTCAATAAATACAAGTACCTTATGTTATTTTTTTTTTAATTTATTGACTTCTGTATTATTAATTTTTACATTAGTTTATTACCTTTGACTACGAAATTACCAAGTAATTCCTCTGTTTTGCTTATGTGCTTTTAAGTCAAAAGTTTCAAAAGCAGGTGCCTTATCCCCTTCTACCTCATATGATGGTTGTCTAGGATGAGACATACTTATTCTTTTTCCAACTTGAAAATAATTTTCTTTTTAATTGTCTTAATTGTTGTTTATCCTAGGCTTAAGCAATTCGATACATAATACTTCCATCATAACTTTAGGAAGGACTTAGAATTAAAAATTGATTTTTCATTTCATCTTACATCATTATTTTTGAAAATATTAATAATTCTTTATTGAACTCTTAGCTAATTTCAATTTAAACTCATAATAATTAGATTTTAATATATTTTAATAATAAAATAATTTAATTGATGCTTGAAACTAAAATAATATATCAACAGGTAAAAATTATATTTGATTTGTTAGATTGTCCAGAACAATAAAAAAATGATTAGAAAATAAATTAAAATAAAATCTCTATAATATTAAAAAAAAAAATTGTTGTTATTAAATAAAATATAATATTATAAGGTTTTTTTGTTTGTTTGAAGCAGATACAATATATTTTAATTCAAAATTTGTAATTTTGGATTATTGAATACATTACATTAGGTTAAACAAAGGCCTAAATATTTAAATGAGAAGAAATTGTTCTGTTTTTCTTGTTGATTATAAAATAATTGAATATTTCAACCCTATTATGATATTTTTAAATTTTATGTTGATTTTAAATTACCATAATACTTATATATTTTTTAAGATACAAATTTTGAAAAAGTAAATGTAAAAACACCAAAATAAAATAATAAAATGCAAACATAGAGTAGAACTTGTGTTTTATCCTGCTACCGATAAAAAATTATTCATATCTATATTATTATTCTAATTATTTCAACCACTTTTCTGCACAACTTATAGAAGTTTGTCAAACATAATGATAATGAAAGCAGAAAATATCCAATATCATAATTCGAAAGTATGGTAAGTATTAAATTATAGTTTTTATCTTTTCAATAATTTGGATGAGTAGACCAATAAAAAGGTTTAATCTTAATAAATTTAAATCCAAAAATAAATAGTAAATACTGATTAATGTTAAAAGTTGAGAACAAATATCATTTTTCATTAATGAATAAACTTTTTTTTAATGTTATGAATGATATTCGACTCATTATTGTTTATGTATTGTGAATTTACATTATGAAGGAGCTTTTCATAGTTTATGATCTCCTTACATAAATCTAGGATAAACTATATTTCAATCCTACATAATAACTATATTCAATATAATGATGATCGACTCATAAATTTTAAATAGCATAAAAATAAATTATATATATTTATAATTAAATAGTAATTCAATTTATTCATTAATTTTTATAAAATGTTATTATTAAACAAAAAAAATATGTAAAAAATATGGATATATATATCAAATTCTATTTGAAAATAATTATGAATACTTTTATAGAATAATAATCTATTAAAATCACTACAATCAACTTTATTATTGTATTTATTCTTTAGCTCTTCTTTTACTTTTTTATTTTATTAGAATTGCTTCTTTTTTGGCAATACCTTACCTTATTCTAATTACATCATCTTATTTATTTAGTAAAACATTCCAATTAGTTAGAGGATCTTCTTCTTAAATAATCAATTAATCAAAATAGGATTCATTACATTTTACACCTAAATTTTACGATACACTAATTTAATAAATTTATACTTTTAAAGAACACTTTTGAACATATTCTTCTCTCTTGTTATTTTTTATTTCAATTTTGTGTAAGTGGCTTCTAACTTTATAATATAAGTAATCAAATTGGCTTAATCAGTCATTTTTATTTTATAATAAAAATAAAAATAAAAGTCAAAAATTTGCAAGGTAATTTTTTCTATTAAATATTTTTTCAATTATGAAATTAAATCAAATTTTTCTAGTTTCTTTAAACAAATAATACCCATTTCTCATTTATCTAAACTATCAAAATATCAAAAAGAATTGTATTTCTTTTAAGTATTTGAAATTAAATGGGTGTACATCATCAAGTAATTAAATTAAAAATTATAAGAAAATTAGTATTTGAACTTCTTTGTCTACATGTAAATTCTAGTTAAAAATTTTTCAAATTGACGTTTTTAAACCTTCTTATGTCATTAAATAAACTTTATAGAATTTAAGATAATATCTTTAAATAAAATATAAGATAATGCTAAAACTTTATAATTTTTTAGTTACAGATTTAATATTAATATTTTTAAGGTTTATATACCAATACCTCAAATATGTTGGATAAGTCATGTACTTCAATTTTAATAATAAGTGATGTCTTAAATATTAAAAAGGCTTAAATTGAAGATTATAAATTAAATTTGTAACTATGATTTATATATTCATTTATTCACTCATAAAATTAATTAGCCTATTAAAGAAAGAAAAACCAGAAAATACTATTTTTAATGCTAATCCTCTGTTCATATTCTAAAAGATAACAGAAATAACTATATCCTTATTGAAAACACTAATAAAAACAAAAAAATGATACCTGAAATATGATATTCATAGTAATTAGTGATTAATTTTAACTCTTATTTTTCTATAGATTCAAACTTTGTTAAGTATATACCAGATTCTTAAAATTATGATGAATGGAACAGGAAAATAAAATTTAAAACATTATTAAAGGATTTTTAACTATTTAAGAGCTCAATAAATACTAAGCTTATTTAATTCGTGAATTTAGAATAATTAATGCTATTTAAAATTTAGAAAACAATCTATTGGGACAATAAATAGTCGGTGAAAATCTCTATTAAATTAAGGAATAGAAACAATTTAAAAAAAATTTTTACTAATAATGTATAACACTATTCAAGGCATTTAAAAATTTGAATATTTAATTACTATGATGTGACAAAAATATATTAGATTATACTATTAATTTTCAGCCTTTTAATTCGGGCAAAGAACTAATTGCATTTTTCCAAACTTCGAAGGGAGTCTAAACTTTCTATTACTATTATTATTATTAAATTTGGTTTGCTTATTGTAATTGGATAGAAAACTAAGTATTGTAGCCTCCTAATCTACTGAATTCAAAATTTGATTTACAAAAACTATTTGAATACTCTTATGACAAATTAAAGAATTTATCATATGTAGGTAATTCTTCTTTTTATATTTGCTTAATTACTCAAAAAAATTACTTTTAATTATATTTTCTTTCTTTCTGCATTCCATAATTATTCATAATAGGTTGGATATGATTCTGGGATGTTGTGTTTTTTTCTTTTTTTCAATAATTAATCAGCTTTAATTAATTCACTAAAAAATAGCATAAATTTATTTACTTATTCAAAAAATCTGAACTTCTTGTTGTAACAAAGAATTTATGAATAAGCTGAGATTTATCTTTTCCGAACCATTAAATTCCTTTAATAAATTGTTATACTTCTTTTTAATTCAAATATTCATATTAACTAAGCTTCCAAGTTTTAATTTTGTTCATTTATGCATTGCTACAAATCGAGTTTTTGTATTTATTTTTTATTTATTTAAGAGTTTTTTCCCATAAAAATTCTTTTTAAATTGCCTCCAATTTTTTGCTTCCATGTTTTTATAAACCTTGATATAATAAGTCTTCATCCACTGGTGTAAATTTACACCTAACCTTACTAATTTGATATTATTAAGGTAAATAACTAGTTTAAATAAGAGGAATATATTTTTTAAGTATAACTATTTTATCGTCAAAATTTTTATTAATGCTTTCTAATAAGGTTTTATATTGCTTTAACAGAGGAAGTTAAAAAGAACTTTATAAAGGAGAGACTTCAATTGCGAGAGGATTGTCATTAAATTATGACAAATCAATACTGTATAATGATGCATGATCTTGTTTTTCTAATTGTTCTAACATCTAAATAGTTTTTTATCTTAAAGCTTCCGACTTACAAAATAATGCATTTTAGATCAACAACTGAACTAAGATTTCATATTAAGCGAAAATTTAGGTAATTTGATTACTTTGTACAAGGGTCTAGTTTAATAAAGAAATATACGAACTTTACATCCTGATTAGGTAGGATTGTCTAATACTTTTATTAGCAATATTATAAAGTCTTTAAATACTAAGGCTACATCCAATAAATTTATATAATTATATAATTTATGCAAAAAAATTTTTTGGGGAAATCTTAATTTTTTAAATGATTTAATCGGTTTTCAATTAAAACACAAGTTCTAGAAGCTTTTCAAGATTTTTTTTTTCAATTTAAAATGGTTAAAATTTAAGTTTTGGTATAAATAGTATAAAAATAAGTAAGCTTTTCAAATCTATATTAAAATAAGATGAAATATCTAAAAATTATTCTTTTTATTATTTTTAAGATATCCTAATTAAAATGGGATTAAATTGCTCAATTTAAAGAAAATCGTTTTAATTAAAAGTTAATGATAGATCATTGAAAATGAGCAGTGAATTTGTTTCATTAACCTTTGATCTTTCTTTGAAGTCTATGATGACATGGTTATTTCGTGAAATAAATGGATTTATATTAGATAAAATTAGAGTTGAAGGAAATGCTTCAAATATGAAAATGCTTAAATCATTTCTTGGAGGTAAAATTACATTCAAGGGGTTTCAAATATTTGATTCATATAGTGGAGCGATAAACTTTTATAAAAACAAAACAACCAAAGTATTTTATAAAAAATAAAAAGGTTTGTACTTTGATCAACAGAGAAACTAAAATCAAATTTTCTTGTAAATGCTTTAGAAAGGTTAACTAGAAAACTAGANAAGGTAAATAACTAGTTTAAATAAGAGGAATATATTTTTTAAGTATAACTATTTTATCGTCAAAATTTTTATTAATGCTTTCTAATAAGGTTTTATATTGCTTTAACAGAGGAAGTTAAAAAGAACTTTATAAAGGAGAGACTTCAATTGCGAGAGGATTGTCATTAAATTATGACAAATCAATACTGTATAATGATGCATGATCTTGTTTTTCTAATTGTTCTAACATCTAAATAGTTTTTTATCTTAAAGCTTCCGACTTACAAAATAATGCATTTTAGATCAACAACTGAACTAAGATTTCATATTAAGCGAAAATTTAGGTAATTTGATTACTTTGTACAAGGGTCTAGTTTAATAAAGAAATATACGAACTTTACATCCTGATTAGGTAGGATTGTCTAATACTTTTATTAGCAATATTATAAAGTCTTTAAATACTAAGGCTACATCCAATAAATTTATATAATTATATAATTTATGCAAAAAAATTTTTTGGGGAAATCTTAATTTTTTAAATGATTTAATCGGTTTTCAATTAAAACACAAGTTCTAGAAGCTTTTCAAGATTTTTTTTTTCAATTTAAAATGGTTAAAATTTAAGTTTTGGTATAAATAGTATAAAAATAAGTAAGCTTTTCAAATCTATATTAAAATAAGATGAAATATCTAAAAATTATTCTTTTTATTATTTTTAAGATATCCTAATTAAAATGGGATTAAATTGCTCAATTTAAAGAAAATCGTTTTAATTAAAAGTTAATGATAGATCATTGAAAATGAGCAGTGAATTTGTTTCATTAACCTTTGATCTTTCTTTGAAGTCTATGATGACATGGTTATTTCGTGAAATAAATGGATTTATATTAGATAAAATTAGAGTTGAAGGAAATGCTTCAAATATGAAAATGCTTAAATCATTTCTTGGAGGTAAAATTACATTCAAGGGGTTTCAAATATTTGATTCATATAGTGGAGCGATAAACTTTTATAAAAACAAAACAACCAAAGTATTTTATAAAAAATAAAAAGGTTTGTACTTTGATCAACAGAGAAACTAAAATCAAATTTTCTTGTAAATGCTTTAGAAAGGTTAACTAGAAAACTAGAAAATTCACAAAGAGATTGAAACTATTTAGAAAGCTTCTCTAAATGGATTAGCCCTAAAATTTATGAATTTTTTGAATCAACTAATTGTGTATATCTCATTATGAAAGTTCTAGAAAAAATAGAAGTATAAGAATTTATGGAGGATGACATTAGGATATTTCTTTATGTAACTTACAATTATACAAGATGAAGGAAACTCACTATTAAAAAATCTGCTAGCTAGACAAATGATTCCTCCTTTTAATTGAGCTAATTGTTGAGTCACCCTTACTTTAAGTTGTTAAAAAATGAAGGAATACCATTAACTATATTTTTTTTCCATATTCCTAGAAATATAGTGTATGATAACTAAATTTATTAATTTTTAAAGTTAACTTATTTTACATTTTTATATATTTTTTATTTGAAAATATAATTCTCTAGTTTAAGATTTAAAAATCTTTCTAATTCACATAACTTAATTTCTAATTATTATTTTAATTGTGTATGAATTCTTAATTATATTGTCATTTGAATAGATTAGTTGATTAATTAATAAAACATAAATATTTCATAAACCTTAATTTGAAGGTCTAAATTATAAAATATAACAGATTTGAAAATGGATATCGTAAGACAAAAGACCAATAAAAGACCATTAAATTTAAATATTAAAATCAATAATCAATAAAAAAATTATTTTATTGATGTAATAGTTTGATTTACATAAATCATAATGATTGATAAAACTCAATTAATTACTTTAGATTGCTAAATAGTCTAGTTTGAAATGTTCTTTTAGTTTTTTATTTAACTCTTTCTAAAATAGGTCCATAATCCATGATTGTTGTTTCTGGTCTTCTATTCTTGAGAGCCATCCATTCATTAAAGAGATCTGAAAGCAATAATTAATGCAATTTTTTCCAAAGATTATCCTCCCGAACAAGAGATCTACAAAAATTTTTAAGTGCTACTCTATCTGCTATTTCCTAGAAAATTAAATTTTCAGCATCATACCTTTCTATCTCTTTCATCAAGCTACTCTTGCAAATGAAAAAATCTCTTAATAAAAAAAGTTATATTGATTGATGATGCTGCAAAATAAAAGTCATTTTATGGTTTACACATTTCTTTCACCTTTGTTTCTTTATGATCGCTCACAAAATTTATAATATCATCTAATGATTATACTCCACCACCTCTAAAATCTGTAGTTGGATCGGCTTACTGAAAACCAAACTCAGTCCATTTTTAATTTCTAATTTATTCCAAATCACTATCTGTTAATAAATACCATAAGCCTTTTATTCTTTTCACACAATTTTCATCTTCATGAGAATACAAAGGATATAATTCAACTCTTAACTCCCACCATTCCTTAATTTCTTAATTTGACAAATCATAAGTTTCATCAAAACATGATGATAAATACTTTTCTTTAAACTCTTTATTTTTTGCATGAGTTGTTGGCTCATGAGCCATTTAAATTTCAGTCCAAGGGTGATTCTTTGGTTGATGAATAAGAATTATTGTTTGATCTTTTTATTTCATTTCTTAATTCATTTTTTTAAATAATTACTTTTCTTACATTCTTTAAAAAATTGAAAATTGTAAGAGATTGAACTTTAATAAATAAAATCCTTATGGGATTATTAAGGAAAATATATTACCTAAAAGAAATAATGAAAATAAAATGTAATGAAAAAAATTTATAAATAATATAGAATGGCTTTGAAAAAATCAAATAGATATAAATGAAATTATATTTTAAAAGTTGAAGAATAGAATTAATAGATTAAATATGTTAATAATATATTTTAGATTGTATAATTTGATTATAGAATCATTTTAATTGATTCAATACCTAATCGAATGTAGGTAATCTGTTGGCTAATCCTCCTTCAGCCACTAAAGTTGGTCGGTTCTTCAATAAATCTACAACAGCTTTATTAATTTAATCAGATGTAACAGCGTCAATGTATGATGCGTAATCATTTAATTTAATTGCATTGAATACTTTCAACTAAATAAATAAATTAATAATTCTACGCTTTTAGCTGCTTCTTCTAATCTGTCTGAAGTTCTTTCAAGAGCTAAATACAATTGAGTTTTGAGGATATTTTTAGCTCTGGTTAATTCAGTGTTTGAAATAGGTCCTGTAAGTGTTTTCAATTCATTAACTACACTGCCAAGTAATTCAGATCCTTTGTCAGCTGAACCTATGATTTTTACTCCAAATAATCCTGCATCAGAAAAAGTAAAGTTCAAACTTTCAACAACATCAGCATAAGAATTTTTATTTAAGACTATGTGTTATGAAATGAATAAATACTATTTCTTTATAATCTAGATTGAGCACTTCCTTGTAATCCTAAAAGAGCGTTGAGAACTTAATATACTGCAGCTTATGAATTTGTCCAATTAGCTGATGGGAATAAGAGAGCAATTGCAATTTCATTATCATCAGTTAAATTTCTTACTTCACCTCCAACATATTATGTCTATGTTCTAACTTTACCAGTTTAACCTGCTGGAATGAATCCAAGAGAATCTTAAACTAAACTTACAAATTCAGTATGATTATAGATTCCAGCACCAGCTACAATAATTTTTGATGGATTAATATTTTCCAATTAAAACTTCTAAATTGTATATGCACTCAAATTGCCAATATTAGTTTTGAATCCTCTTAATGGCATACCCAAACCAGCTAAACCAAATGCAGTTTTAAAAATGGTTTCATTAAATCCTTCTCCACCTTTAAATTAAATCTTTAATTAATTTTACTTTTAATTATATTTTCTAAATTATGTGTACCATAATTTTTTTCAATAGCAGAATTTGCAGCTACTACTGATCTTGGCTCCAATGCACAATCAGCTACTACTTTGAACACATCTACAACATCATGAGCTAAACAATGTGCTTTGAAGTAGGTATTCTCTTAATCATAATCCATTTCAAATTCACCTCCAGACTATTGAATGACACCACTAAATATATTAGGTGCTTATTCTATACTAATTAATTGTCTCATTTGTATTTAACACAGTCTTATAATAAGTATTCTTTATTGATAATAAAGATCCTGATGTTTCATTTGTTTCATCTCTTGTACCAACATCCAATAGAATTCCAACATCTACTCTAGAGGGAGATGAAGCACTTTCTGTCAAAACAGTGATACCATTTGAAAGTTTTGTTACCTCATATCTTCTTTCCTATTCTCTAATCTCACTTCCTTGTTATCCTACAGCAGATTTTGGACAACCTGCTGCAAGTTTGTAAAGATCAGAGGATTTATCATCTCTGTATAATAAATCATGTAATTAGGCTCTCACTGTAGAGAATCTGAATTAGGACTACACTAATCTTTTAAATTATACCTTTGATGCAATTTTTCCTGAAACTCTAAAAAGCATGATATTTTATTTTAAAATAAATTTTGTATAAGTTTATTTCAATAACATAATCAAATAATTGATATTAAAACATAATTATCTTATCGATGTTATTGTAAATTGAAGCTACAAGTTTAAGTTTATCAAATCCAGCAGCCTACAATTATATTATGATTATTTTATATGGAAATTCATTAGTTTAAACATATTCTACCAATTTTTGTTCATCTTTTCAATAAACTACTTAAGACCAAGTTTTTAAAAACGAAACTTTTCAAGCAAAAGTAAGTTCGATCCCTTTTACTCTAACTTGATGATGTAAAATAAAAATAATAACTTAATTTAATTATTACTTTCATTGCCAACATTCTCAATAAAAGTTTCATTCAATTAATTCCATCCAAGCGCTTTTTATTCTTGTTTTTAATCAACAGCTAAATTTTCTAGGCCTGATATTTTTTTTCAATTTTAGGCTCTGTGTTATTATTAATTAGAACACACTCAATTCCTCTCACATACCTACCTTAATTTTATATTATTTGTCTTATTTTTGAGGATTAATGCTAACCTAAAAAAGTATCTTTTTTTTAAATTTATGAAACCTTATACAAGGGTCAATTATAGTTGTCAAAACATAATGAAAAATTAAAGAATAAATTACTAGATAATTTAATCTAGTTTTAACATAAAGATTTGATGATATTTTCATATTAAGACTGCTCGTTTCTTAAAATTTTTCATGGATGGATTAATTGATGTTTACTCTATCTTATTTATATATTTTAAAATATTAATAATCCCTTTTAAAGGATTCTATCAAATTAGATACTGAATCAACTAAAATTCATTTTATAATACTATTTACATTATTTAATATTAATCTTCGTTTGTTAAAAAACTTTAGGAATCATTTTTCTTATTGGAGGAGTTTAAATCATCATAACAAATACGTTGATCCAATTTAATATTTATCTTCTATTTTTTTTTTTCATGACTCTTACTGAAATTTAAATTTAAGATTCATTTTTACAATTATTAGAAACACTTAAAATATAAGTGAATGTATTTTTTCATTGCTAAGTATTTTTAATGTTAAAAATTATAAATTACGGGTCTTTTCCAAGTTTTAAAACTTTTTAAATATAGAGTATAAGTTTGAGTATTTTCTTGATTTTAAATTAAGTTCAGCCTACGTCTTTTACTTAGCATTATTAAACTTAAAAATGAATTTATCTTTGAATTGATCAACCCAAATAATCTAAAAATATAAAAATTCTTTTTAAACATTAGATCTTTATCATTTTATTTGCAGCATTGAGATTAAAATCTTATATGCCATTTAAGTTTTGCTAGCATTAGAAAATAACCTACACTTAAAAGGATGATTTAATTTATATCGCTTTAAACAAATAAAGATAAAAACCATACGAATGGGGTTTTAGTCATATTTCAAGTGTTAATTATTTTTGGATTATGGCTTGGATTAAAATCATTAACTTCACGAGTTAATCTGTAGATAATTGATCAACAGAGTTTGAAGATTAAATTTACTGATTTTAATTTTTTTTAAATTGATTGGTTAAAATAGAACCATAAAATAAATGTGGAAGAAGTTGGAGACGATCACTGTATGAAGAGAAAAGCCATTGTTTCCTAAGAAATAGATATTTTTTGATGAATAAAATAAAAATAAAAGTATTTTATGACGTTTATTATTCTATAATACGTATATATTTGATGATGAATATAATATTTTTCATCATTAATTTAATTCCTGTATGTATATTTAAAAGATTGCTAGATAGATCATAAACAGAAGTTGTTTTTCTACAGCAACAATAAATGAAGGGACATTCTTAGATTAAGTGATGGCATATTTCAATAAGGCTGCTGGACATACAAAAATAAGTCAGGATAAATTGGAGTAATGATTATTATTAAAAGGTTTTTAGCTTTTACAAGAGTACTGATATAGTGATAAAATTCAATCTGCCATTAGTAAGAGATAATGGAACATATATTTGTGTAATAGATTGATATGAAATATTTAGGTACCTGCATATAGAGCTTAACATAAGACTTATAGACTTCCAACAAAAGGAGGAACAANTTTCTTAAAATTTTTCATGGATGGATTAATTGATGTTTACTCTATCTTATTTATATATTTTAAAATATTAATAATCCCTTTTAAAGGATTCTATCAAATTAGATACTGAATCAACTAAAATTCATTTTATAATACTATTTACATTATTTAATATTAATCTTCGTTTGTTAAAAAACTTTAGGAATCATTTTTCTTATTGGAGGAGTTTAAATCATCATAACAAATACGTTGATCCAATTTAATATTTATCTTCTATTTTTTTTTTTCATGACTCTTACTGAAATTTAAATTTAAGATTCATTTTTACAATTATTAGAAACACTTAAAATATAAGTGAATGTATTTTTTCATTGCTAAGTATTTTTAATGTTAAAAATTATAAATTACGGGTCTTTTCCAAGTTTTAAAACTTTTTAAATATAGAGTATAAGTTTGAGTATTTTCTTGATTTTAAATTAAGTTCAGCCTACGTCTTTTACTTAGCATTATTAAACTTAAAAATGAATTTATCTTTGAATTGATCAACCCAAATAATCTAAAAATATAAAAATTCTTTTTAAACATTAGATCTTTATCATTTTATTTGCAGCATTGAGATTAAAATCTTATATGCCATTTAAGTTTTGCTAGCATTAGAAAATAACCTACAATTAATTATTAATTAACTCATTTTATTTTATTTTTGTAAAAATAATTATATTGATCATTATAGAATATATTTAAATAATTGATCAACAGAGTTTGAAGATTAAATTTACTGATTTTAATTTTTTTTAAATTGATTGGTTAAAATAGAACCATAAAATAAATGTGGAAGAAGTTGGAGACGATCACTGTATGAAGAGAAAAGCCATTGTTTCCTAAGAAATAGATATTTTTTGATGAATAAAATAAAAATAAAAGTATTTTATGACGTTTATTATTCTATAATACGTATATATTTGATGATGAATATAATATTTTTCATCATTAATTTAATTCCTGTATGTATATTTAAAAGATTGCTAGATAGATCATAAACAGAAGTTGTTTTTCTACAGCAACAATAAATGAAGGGACATTCTTAGATTAAGTGATGGCATATTTCAATAAGGCTGCTGGACATACAAAAATAAGTCAGGATAAATTGGAGTAATGATTATTATTAAAAGGTTTTTAGCTTTTACAAGAGTACTGATATAGTGATAAAATTCAATCTGCCATTAGTAAGAGATAATGGAACATATATTTGTGTAATAGATTGATATGAAATATTTAGGTACCTGCATATAGAGCTTAACATAAGACTTATAGACTTCCAACAAAAGGAGGAACAAGATTGAGTCCACATATAAATATTGAGGAAGTAGAAGCATTGTCATTTTTAATGACATTAAAAAACTCTATTTTGGATTTGCCATATGGTGGAGCAAAGGGTGGAATTGGTATAAACCCACGTAAATTTTCAAAAAGAGAAATTGAGACATTGATGAGAAGATATACATTAGAATTAGCAAAAAAGAATTTCATAGGAGCAGCAATAGATGTGCCAGGACCAGATTTGGGAGTATAGATATTAAATAATTAAAGACAGGTGAATAAGAGATGAGTTGGATGAAAGATGCATATACAAAATTCAAAGGGCATTAGGATATTAATTCTGTTGGATGTGTGACAGGAAAAGCAATAACTTAAGGTGGAATATCTGGTAGATAAGAATCGACAGGAATGGGAGTAATTTATTTAAATAGACTATAGATATTCTTTGCTACTAGGGAAATTCTTAATGATTTGAAGTATTGTCAATCAGTTGGAATTGAGCCAAGTTTGAAAGGGAAATCAATAATTATTTAAGGATATGGAAATGTAAAATAAGTTGATTAATAATTAAGGTTGGTTCATTCTGTGCTAAATACATGTATGATTATGGTGCTAAAATCATTGGAGTAGCTGAACATGATGGATCTATATACAATTAAGATGGAATCAACCCATATGAATTAGCAGCTCATAAAACTAAGACAGGAGGAGTTAAAGGATTTGTTAATGCTTCTAAATATTGGGAAGATGAAACTGCAATATATTAATAATGTGATATCTTTATACCTGCTGCTTTCGAGAAAACTGTTAATGCCAATAATGCTGATAAATTTAATTGTAAAATTATTGCTGAAGGTGCTAATGGACCTACTACTATGGCAGCAGAAGATAAATTGTTATCCAAAGGAGTTATATTCTTACCAGATATTTTACTTAATGCTGGTGGTGTCACTGTTAGTTATCTAGAATGGTTAAAGAACTTAAAACATATTAATCCAGGAAGAATGACAAGAAGATGGGAAGAATAAGCTAAACATAGAATTCTTGAAGTCATTAAAATGAGTACTGGTCTTAATATCAATGTTAAGGATAGTAAATTAGCTAAAAAAATGTTGGAAGGCCCATCTGAGGTATAATTTTTATTTAATTCTAAGACTGATTTAGTTCACACTGCTTTAGAGTAATCCATGATAGAGGCTGTCAAAAATATTATGCTTACATCATAAGAATACAAGGTCAATTTAAGATTGGCAGCTTATATTAGTGCAATTAATAAATTAAACGAGCATTTTGAAATGGCAGGAGTTGAAGCATGATTGTTTTATATACAAAAATATATTCATTAAAATTTGTCAAAATAAAATGATAAAATGGTTTTGCATGATTATCATCATTAAACAATTATTTGCTGATGATTTCCATGTTACTATAGAGGAAATAGAAGAAGAAATCAGTATTATCTAATTCTATTCAGATAGATAAAAAGAAGATTTACTATGGGTCTACAGTGAGAATAGAACATTAAAGTTCAGAATATTTTCTCCATTCACATTTAGTGTCTTATGGAAGTGGTTCAGGATAGTAATCTGTTACAGGAATGTAGGCTGATCATGATTATAACAGCTTATGGACGATAAAAGAGTGTCACAATCAACCACTTAAAAAATATGGTATTTAATACGTGTATTGTTTATAGATGATCAAATAAAATGTGGAGATTGCATAAGATTAGAACATATGCTCACATTTAGAAATTTACATTCTCATCCTCATCAAGCTCCTTTTTCTGGAAACTAAGAAGTTTCTGCATATGGAGATAATGGAAATGGAGATTCAAGTGATAAAATTTTAATATTATGATTAGGTGATGATTGGATATTGGAATGTATTGATAATAAGAATGGAGATGATTTTTAAGCATCAATGTGGTTTTATTTGAAACATAAAATAACATCAAAATACTTAAGAACTAATAAAAAAGATAATTTCAATTAACGAAATTGTGGATATCATTGTCCAATAGAAGGTTAACTTGAAATAAGTGCCTAAGTAGCTAAAAATGCAGATGCTAAATGGAAAATTTATTCAGGATTATTTTATCAGCAACCTTAAAGAATTGAAGATGATTATGATTAAGATGGTAGTAGACATTGTAATTCTTATGGTTAATGTGATGATATAGATGATGATGAATTTGAGACTGTTGTATAAAAAGACTTGTGATTTATATTATTATGAATATATATAAATAATTTAATCAATTCCAACAATTTGAAGAAATTCGGATTTTTTTACCAAATAAGGTATAACTAATTTAAAATCAAAATAATCCATAAAAAGTTAATATTAATACTCAAATCATAATATAAGTTATATAAAAAAGGATAATTTGAGGGAAAGGCTAATTAATTAAGTAAATTAGGTAGATTAGGTCAGATTTAAAGATAATCTAAAACAAGAATTCATAGATGTATATTGGAAGGACGACGTCGAAAATATTGAAAAATATTTTTAAATTAATGAAAACTTTAGATTTTATCAAAGTGAATAAACTCAAAATTGGTCTATAAAGAAGACTTATATAAATAATTATCTAAATAGGTAAAGAAACTGTTTTAGATAAGTTCTAATCAAAAGATTAGTAGATTCAAATAAGAACCAAGAGTTTATTAACGAAGATTAGGATGATACTTTATTTTTAGATTCTTATTTTTAATTGTTTTTGTTTTGTAATTAATAGTCTCAAATGTTTAACTCGACTTATAATGCAGTCAAGTATGACATAGGACAGACCTTTCCTATAGTCTTTAGTGGAACAGCGATTCCTGTATGGATTGATAAACTAAATTTATTATTTAAGATTTTACGAGTCATTATAATTGTATTTCACAAATTATTTGACTTCTAATGATTTATTGATGAAAAATCTCCAATCAAATTTCTTCAATTTTGCATGACATATCAAATCAACATTAAAATTGTTATCCACTAAAAATCCACAAGCTTTATCATTTCCTCTTCTTCTCAAATATCCAAATTTAATTTCCTAATTTGTACAGTTTAATTTGCTATCTAAGCTATTAGAGGCTTTTATGAAAAAATCATTCAAATTTTAAGTGTAATTAAATAATCCATCAAAACTAAATTGATTTTATGTCGTATCCCATTTAATTCCCTCTCTAAAATACCATTAAGGCTATGTATAATTAAAGTTATAGTTAACAAATAATCCTGAATTAAAAAAAACCCCTAAACATAAATAAATTTATTACATGCAGAATGACAAAATTTCTTATTTACTTCTTTGTGAAATCCAAATTAATATGAAAGTTTTTTATTAGTTGAAAAGACTTTGGCAAAATAAGAAGCATCAAATTTTGCTAACTTCCATTAACCTAAATCAAATCCTAATTTTAAATCATTTTAATCTCTAACTCTGAAATGAACCTTTGTGTTATTCCATGGAAAGCGAACATCAACTATTTAAGATTTGCAATATTTTCTAAATCTGAATTTTGTTTCTGAATTCTTCATCTCACCATTTATTTATAATGAATGATTCTCAGGATTATCTACAAAGAATCCAAAATATGCACTATCTTTTATTTAACTCGTCATATTTTTATAAATTTAATTAAATAAATCATTTTATTTATTGTTAAAAAATCAAAACAAGATCAATTTCTTAAATAAATATTCCATTCTTAAATCAACTCAAATATACCATAGCTAATCTGAGCCAAACTTGATAGTAAAAATAATATTTATCTTCAGAAATTATTCAGATTATTCCAATTATTCCAATTTTGTTCTTTACTTAGTAATACATAACTCACTTTTTCGTAAGATAAATTAAATAAAAATCAGAGCTAAAGATTAAAGATATTGAATGATTTTTTCTTATGTGATATATTTTTAATACTCAAACTTAACCCCATAATGAAGTAAGAAACATTAGATTCATCTAATGAAAAAGTTTAGATAAATCTATTTCTTCCTTACTTGATCCTCTTATTAGAACTAATCTACTTGAGTCATTAAGTTTAAGCTATTTGTTAAAAGGTTAACAATTATATAAATTTTGTTTTGATGGTTCAATTGCCTTTTCTAATTAAGAGATCTTGGCAATAATTTTATTGGCTTCTTTAGTATTCCAATCAGACGATACAGAATATTTATTCCCAATATTTGATTTGGTGTCTAAATTCATATTTTAAATTTTTACTTGAAATACTCGAACAAAGTATAGTTTTTTTATAACGATGTTTCAAAGCAAATTCTGTTCTTTTCTTGCTCTCAGTTACAGCTGAAAGTCGAATAGCAATCTCAGCCCATCTACGTCCATGTTGTAAGAGTAATTGTAAGAAATAAAGATCCTCTGCATCACTCCATTCTTCGCTGATATTATAAATAAATGATTGTACCGATTTATTGATGGATCCAACTTATTACCCCATCTCTCTCTACATTATTTTGGTGTTCTCATAAATTTATTCTAACTTACATCATTGAGTTCTTTTGCTATCTTACTCCACTTGTTACCTTTTTTCTATTTTAAAAATTATCTAAAAACTAAGAACAATAAATTACAATATAATTTCAAGCAAATACTAATCTTCTTATTCAGTCCAAGGATTATTATAAGCTGATTGATGTAGAAATTATAAACTCATTTACTATAACTCTTACAAGGTCCTAAAGGTTGGCATTAATTCACTAACTAGTAGCCATTATTCATCTGACTTTTTATAATTTTTAAAATATACAAGTTTTAGACTTAGTGGTGCTTGGACACTAATTAGAATACACTGAAGTAAAATTTCCTCATTTTTTTCTCTGTTATCTGTTGTCTTAGCTTGTTGAAGCTAGTTATACATTCCTTCTAAGACTTTGTAATTTGGAATAGAGTTGAAGTGTAACATCCATTTTTTTTTATATTCTTTTATGTCAACGTTTTGAATTTGAAGAAAGTTCAATTTATGAGAAGGTTAGGATTCTTCAGTTGATTAATGATAAGATTATTGATGAACATGAAGGAAGCTCATATTCTTATATGTTTATAAATTAATAAATCTGTCGCATTCAAAAAATTTCTTTAAATAGTATGCTTCATGAATATCTTCAATAAATATAAAAGTAAAAAAATTTGAGAAAAGAAAATTTCAAAGTACAATTTTACATTATTACTTGATAAATTATGTAATGGAAGATTCATTATTGCAATAACTAGGAACTTGGAAAGCTTTAAATCAAAATTTCTTTCCCAATTATAATAATCACAAATTTTGGATATTTTCAAAATAATTTTTTTTAATAATAAAATAATATAAATTATGTAAAAAAATAAAACTTTTAGAAATAATATTAAACAGCTATTTATTCCTTATCACTAAACTTCAAAAAGAAAAATAAAAATAGAATTTGAACAAAAATTATGTTATAAGAAAATTTATTCAAATCAAAAGTTAATGTTATTTTTATTAATGTATTTCTTTAATTTTTTATCGTTATTTGTAAATTCGATCTAAATCCAAAATTTCTTGCCTACTTTTACAATTTTTCTCCATAATTTTTAACTATATGAATAATTATAAAATATACATCTAAAGTTGGAATTTTATTAAAATGAAATCTGCTTAATTTTAATATTGTAACATCATTTTAAAAAGCCCTTATACGACCATAAGAATTAAATCCTTTAGTATTGAACATTAATGTTTCACCAAAATAGTCTCCATATTTAATGTAATAATTATTGAATCCGTTGGAATTTTCAATTTCACACATACCTGAAAGCATTATAAAAAATCCTTCTAAATGCATTCTATTATATTTAAGTTAGTCAATTTTATGTTTATGTTTAATAATCAATTTTTTAAATTTACTTTGAAAATGACAATGTTTATATTAATCTATCAATCTGTGAGTCATTTGAATTGTTGCTTTTGTTTATTTTCTAAGATGGATGTAATCAAAATTTTCATAATATGATCCATCATTAAACAAAACAGCATTTTTTTTGAGATGTTTTTTCTCCATCAATTCATAAACTAATTTATAAAGAGTTAAAATTGAAACTCCTTTAAAAATCGATAATTATTATAATCTTGTTAATAATTCAATACCTTCCATCTATTGTTAAGCTTCCCATAATTCTTCAAAATAATTCTTCTATATTGAAATTAATTCTAATCTTGTTTAAGTTAAAAACCAAATATCAGAAATATTACATAAACCATTATCTTTGTCTGGACATCCTAGAATATCTCCTTATTTGTAATTAGCTTTATTTCAATATTTATCATTACCAATAATGTCAGGTCTTTTATATTATACTCTATGATCATAAACATTGACATTTCCTGCAACAATTATGTGTACTTCATTTTCTTTAGGGAAAATTACATTGTCCTTTTCGACCACAATTAATTTCATTTTCTTCAAAAATACTTTCTTTATTAATGAATGATATTAATACCAAAATGCTTATAGCAATCCTTTTAAAAAAACTTGTTGATTTAAGTTCAATTAATAACTCATCCTCTCTAACCCATTATTCATTAATCCAAAATTTAACAAGATTTTCAATATATACATCTTATTCAATAATGGATGTTACTAATTTATGAAATTCACAAAAAACTAATGGATTAAATTTAATTTCAAGTTATCTTTTTTAACTAAATAATACAGCCAACATAAAATGAATACAAAGACTATAATTTGTAGCTCTTGAAGACTCTTTGACAATTTTATAATCTTCTGCAGCTCTCTCTAAATTGAACATTCTTTTTGCACAAATTCCTCTTAAATAAACATATAGAGATCTATCTTTTGAATTATCATTGCATATTATTAAATCTAATAATTATTGTGATGCTTTAAATGATCCAGTTTTATATAAACAAAGTGCATATCGAAATTTAAGTTAATTAGTATCTGCAAATTATAAAGCTAATTAAAACCATTTCTTTGCAGTCATAATTTTACCCATTTTTTCATAGATTATTGCTACTAATTATACAGCATTAGATTCTAAAGGATTAGCAATCAATGCTTATTTAAAACAATGTAAAGCTGTTTCAATATTATCTTTCATGTGTTTAATACCTTTATTATACCAAAAGAATTTGTCATCCTATTGTTTTTCATATTTTTCTTCTAATGAAGCATTAAAATTAATTAACTCAGTTTTATACTTTATTCTAGTTTCAGAATTACTATTTAATAAATGTTTAGTTTTTGACATTAATTATTTAGAATTAACAACACTTATATCTGATTATTTGTTTGATAGCATTACAGATTTGTTTGGTATAGGTGGATTTATAAGCTATTAAATATAAAGTAAATCTTCTTCTTCGTTAATTTCTACATTTTCACTTCTACCTTAATTTATGTAATTAAATAATTATTTAATTTCTGGAACATTAGAATTTTAATCTTATTATTTTGGTTCTTAATAATTCTTTGAATCCTTATTATACCAAGCAATAATTTATTTAGTAACATTCTAACTAGGATTTCCTTTGTTTACACTTAATGACATGTTTAAATTATTATTAACAGTAGTCTTACGACTAACTGATGAAATCTTACGATTCTATTAAAATGATGATCTTATCTATCTTGTTTATTTAATTGATGCTTAAGGTTTGTAATCAATAGAATCTGTTTCACACATCTTAAGTTTTTCTTCTTTCATAAGTTTATGATTTATCTTATCCACTAAATTGCCTTCTAATTTTTATTTATTTATTTGATTATCATCATTTTATTTTGAGTATTTTATACATGTAATCATATCACTTGTTAATAGAGAATTCTCCATTTCATCTATTGTATGAATTCTAGTACGAGTTTCTGAATTTTTTTTTGTTTAATAACCTTAAGATATCTTTTCAAAATTTGGAATTTAATTTTGAGATTGCTATGTTTATTAAAATTAAAAAGGTTTTGGAATCAAATTAATATTTGATAATTTTTATTCTTAATCAGAATCTGGGTTAATAATTTATTTAATTGATTAAACTGCTTAATTTAATTATTTTCTAATTTCTGTTTATTCCTTTTAATAAAATTTCATCATTGATCTAAAATTATTGTCAATCATTTATTTTTCTTATTAACTATTCTCACATTTTATTAATTGATATTCTTCTGGTAATTTCCTTTTTTCTTATTTTTCTATTTACTATTATAATTCATTAATTTCCTTATAAGCAAATGATAATGGAACCTCTTCATTTTTTGAAAAATTTCTAGTAATGTTTTCATAATTCTATAAAAAAATATGATTCTCAATTGTTTTAGATTATTAATTCTAATTTATTGGTTATTCGTGAATACTATATCTTCTAGACTAATTATCAACACTACTTAATCTTTTATAGTTATCATCAGATTATAATAATACTCCTCTTCTTCTAGATCCCACTTATTTTCTCTTTAACTTCTTATCTTCTCTTTCTTAAATTGGCTATCCATATAACATTATTTTTGGTTCTAATTTAACATGATTAAAAAGCAAATTCTTGGGATTTAAAATACTCTCACCATTTTGAATTATATATTTTTCATTTTTAGATATTTAATCTGTGAATAAATACTCCTTCATTCCTTTCTAAGTTGTAGGTAATCTGTATCTACTTTTTAGTTCATCTGCATATTATTATGGAACATAAAATCTTTTCTTATTATTAAGTAATTATTCCATAGGTCTATTTTGTGATTAACAATACCAATCATCTAAAGCTTATTCTGTCAGTTCACCTAAACCTATCTATTATTCTTCACTCAATCCTTTTGATTATCTAAATTAGTCTACATTTGCAGAAACAGCCTTATTATATTAAATATATATTCACTCTCTCTTCTTAAATTTAAATTTGACTCTTATCACTCACATGAAAATCATATTTTATACCACAAAAATCATGATTCTTACAACAAGGAAGTTGCATCTTATTTTTTTATTTCATTATTATTTATATAATTTTTATAATTCAAATTCTTCTTATTTAGCGAAATCTAATTCCTTAACTAACTCATCTAATAACTTTTATAAATGTTTAACTTAATTTTCTAATCTCTATTTCCGTCTTATTATTTGTTCTTTTTGATTTAATTTCATATATTACAATTATTTATATTTTTTTTAAAATACATATTTTAAAATAACCACATTATTGCCTCTAAAGTCTAAGAGGCTACAAGTAAAAATTCAACATTCTTAAGAACTCTTAATTTAATGTAAGTATCTTTCATTATTTATAAATAAGGAAACATCTAATGGCAAATAAGATTTTAAGGTATAAATATATTCACTTCTTATAAGATTTTAGCTTTTTTTGAATAAAATAAGCTGCAATTAAGTAATTCAACAATTTATAATCTTAACTATTATAAATTGACCAATTAAATAATTTCTCTATTATTAATACATACAAGATATATCTACCATTATTTTATCCTTCTTTATCTAGATCTACTTATTTTGAGCACACTCTTGGCATACCTTAATTTTAGAAATTTTCGAATACCCTCTCTACTAAAAATTCTATTTCATTTAATCATATTAGAAACTTTAATCTTCATTGTTATTAAAGTAAATATTTTAATCTTTCACTTAGAAGATATTTAGTTTCTTTTGTAATTTTTATTTACCTTAAATATTTACAATAATTTGATTTAAGTTTTTGATAAATATATTATGTTTTTAAATCTTGATTTCTATCCTTGAGGTCACGCTTTTACTCTGCTATGTTTTCTATTAATTTTTTTCTTTTAGTAATTCTAATTAAATTTATAATAGGATGAAGTTGTTAATTTTAAACATATTTATTAAAAATCTAATATGATGTTAATAATATTTGCTAATGTTTAGTTGTGTTTATGAATTAAGAATTATGATACATTATTTCTAAGATATCATTATAACTAAATGCTACATTAAGTAATTATAAATCAGCATAATTTTCGTCTAGAATTATACTTTTTTCTCTCCTTCTTATTCTTCTTTTTATCTTGTATTTGAATCTGCTTAGTTTTCTTTTTAACATTTTATCTTATAATCATATAATCATATGATTTTTAGATGATATTATAGTTTTCTCATTTTTCTTATATGAATAACATATATTTAGTTCCCTTTGCAACCTAATATAGATATTCCATCTTCTATGAGAATCTTACATATTTAAGTTTAAGATATAAAGGTACTACTTTTTTTTAATTTTTTAATGTTATACTCATTATATAAATCTCACTTAAAAAATTAATTAAAACTTTAACAGCAACTATTATGTTCTAAAAACAAAAAAATTAGAAATCCTTGATATTAGAACTTGATTATGAAGTTGAAAGCAAGTCAATAAAGAGTTCAACAAAAATGAGTGAATAAAAATTAATATCTAAATTTGTTGATTTATATGAAGAAGTTATTGTTCAAATAAAAGGGTCGTAGAATCTGGTATCTATTATTTAAATATTTAAGTATTTGATTAATAAAATGGCCAATTGTAAGAATGGAGATGTTTATAATGTTGATATATTATTGTCCAATTTCAAATATCTATTCACATTATTAATCCAAGAATTGGTATACTTTCTTTATTAAATATTAGATTCAATTTTAAATGTAAGTAGACTCTCAAAATATTGAACCAAATAAGTCCAAATACATGGATTTGAATTAATTAAAACATGACTTTTAAAAAAATAAATATGTAATACATTTTTATTGATAATTATAGGATAAAACTTAGTTATAATACAAAGTTTAGGAACTTGAATAAGAACTATAAGAATAAAAATAATTAAATACTACTATATGTCAAGATTTAATGGAAGCAAGGCAAAAATATTAAGTGAATTATAAAACTATATAATAGGAATTATAAAGGAAATTTAATTATGAAAAATAAATAAAATATGACAAAACTATCTAGACAATTTATGATTAAAACATAAAAGATAAACTTAAATAGTTACACTCTATCTATTAAATTAACAAATCATCAGATGAGAATAAATCTATTAATAATTAAAAATAGAAATTAACAATAATGACTGAACCTTGTGATTCAGAGACTTATTACACTAGATATGATAGATAAGGGAATATGACAGAATAAAATAATTCCATGAATGGTAGAATTAATAGCAAGAATAAATAATACTAAACAATAGAAAGTATTTTTATCGTAAAGGTTACTTAGCTATCTCATCTGTAGGGACTAATTATAAAAATGTATCTGATTCATTCTCATGTCTTCTAAATAATAGCTTTTATAATTAACGATAAAAATCTAATAGTCTCTCTATTGATTAATCTTTTGATCGTTATAAAAACGTCAAACATGTACTAAAATAAGGTCTTCCTATGAACTCTATTAAAAGCAAAAAATAACCTTAATTTAGTTGATAATTATGATTACTAATTTATTTATATTAAATATTTCTCATTTCATATATTCGAAAATTATGAACTTCATAAGAGGACCAAAACCTAGCTTTAGCATGCCTTAATTATTATAAAGTAATAAGGAAGAAAAAGCATATTCATATGTTGAAATAGAAAGTACGGATTGCTTTAAAAATGAAAAAATTATAAAAAATGTCAGATTTGCTCCCACTATCACTATCTTTTTAAGATATTAAGATGAAGACATATTTAAATTCAAAGATAGATTAAGAAAATAGATTTAATAGACTAAGGAGATCTTTGACTTTTATCCATCTTTAGATTAACCAAAAAAGAAAGGATAACTTAAATCTTGTTTAAAACCCTACACTGACTGGGATTATTGAGAATTTTGATTAAATATTTCTTCAATCTAATCTAATTATAAATATCTTAACTTTTAAAAATTTAAGAGTACTTCTTAAGCTTCTTAAGGATTCTCTTTACTATTTCAAGCAATTCTTTCAAAACTAAGGATTGATGAGAAAGCATAATAAAAGCAGCTAATAACAAAATAAACGCAATAGTAGTGAAATAAATATAAAAACATAAATTCTCCGTCATAATTTCATATGATGACAGTTAAAATTTTCTAAATTTCAACTGAACACAAACACCGATTATTTGAATCGACTGAAAAAAAGTCATTCACCAAATTTAAGATTGATGAATAAATTTTCCTTTAAATTTTATTGAAATTTTCATTAACTGGCAAATTGTTGAGTAATGAAAAACACAATTAAGTTTAATAAAAAATTGTCAGAAAAATATCTTTTCTTAATACTTATATTCACTAATGATTACCTTGAAATGGTATAAGTTTATAAATTTATGATTTTAGTTTAATTATTTTATTTGAATAAAAAGATATTAATTTAATCGAAAAAATTATAATAAAAAAAGACAAAAATTTTATATTTATTTAATATATATGTTAAAAAGGCTTGTTAAATATTAAATAAAAGAATAAACAATTAAATGAAATTCATTCATATACAAAAGTCAATAAGATATTCATCACTTAGCTGTGCTTAATCAAGTTTGAGTTTTATATTTTTTTATGAAAAAGATCCAGGCCAATATTATGTTGACGAAATATTTTTGGGCAAGAATCCCAAGATTTTGTAACATTTTGCAATTAATTCTGAACAAAAATAAGTTCTATTTTATGAATTTACAGTTTATTAACTAGTATCTCCAATATTAACAGAGTTTTATATCAATAATTTAGACGGAGCACAAGAAAATCTTTTACCTAAATTATTATGAACAAAGTCTGATAATTTATTTTTAAAAGTTACCGATCGATTGGTCTAAAGTCTTCTATATACTATTCTAAAATGATATTATATAATAATCAAATACTTTTCATATAAATTATACCATTCTTTAACATTGAAAGTTTTCCATTCACATATGCTAACTCCATTTGTAGGTAATGATTCGAATATGACTAGTGTATTGGGTTCAATTTTAATTAATAATCCAACATGATCATAATCATCTTGAGTTAAGGCTCTTTATACTTAACAATTAAAGCTTTTTCCTCTAAATAGTAATAAATCAGCATCCTAAGCTTCTTCTTCAAGTTATTAAGCAGATATTCTTTCATGCTAATATAATTTAACAATTATATTACTCTCCAGAATTTACCATAAAGACAAAGAGATGTTAATTTATTTAGGGCTCCTAAAGAATCTTGCAAATGTAATTTGATTATCGAAAACCATCTTTAGGTTTCTTAAGAAGTATGGCCTTTAAATTGAAATGTTTTTTCAACTTTACCTAATGGTTTAATTCTAATTTTTTAATACTAGAAAATACATAAATTCAATAACATTTCCTTATTTATCCTTAATATCAATAAGTTAATAAGTTTAAACATCAAAATTTAGTACCCCTTCCAATTTATGAGAATCACTAGAGAAATATCTAAAAACCCGATTTATAATTGAGCACTATCTCTCTTTGTAACCTTAAATCCAATGAGGGCTCTTTTTTAGAAGTGCTCCAAAAAATGGTTGGATTGAATTTCTGTGGTTGATCATCATGTTATCATTTAAATTTTCAGAATTCACTAAGGATTAGGGAGAAATCAATAATAAAGAAATATGAGTATTATTAGAATTAGTGTCTTTTGTTTTTCTTGTTTAATCTGATATAGATTCTCTATAATCTTTTTAAAAGAAACAACTAAGGTTTTCTTGTTTAATAATTGCTTCATTTTTGATAAGCAAGTCAATATCTATAAATTCTTTCTATTGTAGTCTCGTAAATGAATCCATTATATATATAATATTAATGTTTTTGTTAATCTCAATTTAATTAGAGTCTTTCTCTAAGATATTCCTTGAGAGTTACAATCTTATCTTGGATGTGATCTGAGATTCTAGAAATCAAGTCTTGTAATTAGACTCTAGATTGAGTTTCCATTTAATAAATATCTTATTATTGTCTGCACCATTAATCTTATCCATCTAAATTGGACTATAAAATGTGAAAAAGAATCATTTTACTTGATTTCTTTCAACTTCAGCTGCATGATATTCGACTTTACCTGAGGATTCTTCAATGATGCTTTGATAATTTAAGATAGCTTATTCAAGATTTTATCTTTAATCAGATCTAAAGAATGATATAAAAATTTACAAAGTATTTCTTTCATTAGTTAAATCTGATAAGAATTATTACCAATTCAAACTTTATTATTTTTCGATATCTTCATCGCTAGATTTGCTTTCAACAATTTAAACTCTCAAATTTGACAATAACTACAAAACTTTCTTAGCAGTATCAGAATCTGATTTAGCTGAGAGCTATGTCATCATTGTTAAAATAGGTTAAAACAATAATCCACTTGATGTTGATTGACTAAACTATTTATAAATTTTGTTACCTTTGTAATCTAGATAAAACTTTATTGAATCTTCCTTTAACTTAAATGAAAGAGGAACCTCCTGAAAGATGCTCAATTAAAGCATAAGCTTCATCTATTGCTGAAATAGCTTCTGTATGATCTTTAATTTTAGATTAAAATTCAGCATATTGCAAATCTCTTTCACTTTATCCTGCATTAGTTTTTTTAGAATTCTCTTCAATTTCAACAGAAACCTCTGCAATTTTATTTAAAGATCTTTGCAAATTATTAGTATTCTCATCAACAATTTTAGAATGTGCTTTCAATTAGCTTTAATGATATGCCAAATTAGTTGAAAAATCATGAAGTAATCTGTTACATGAGGCTTATGTATTTTAGATATATAAATCAGAGTCTTTTTGTTCTTACTCTAACATAAATCTAATCATAAATATATATTTGACCTGATATTATTAATATAACTTTGAATTTCATGCACAGGTGACCCTGTTGCTAAACTAATTTAAATGGCATTCAAAAATGTTTTCCCCATATGATTGTCATCAATTTCTGCAAGCACAACTTTTGGATCTGTAGCCAATTTGCTTAATGCCTTAAATGATTACAAAGACTTAATACCAAACTAATCAATAACACTATAACGATTCTCATTTTTATATATAATTAATTAAAAACGAATTATGCTAGTGCTCAAATTTAATGATATAATCACAAATCAAGTTTAACAATAATAACAATAATACTAATACTTCAAGATTATCCTTTCTCGATATTCCAATTAACATTTCTAAATCAAGAAAGCTTACACTAAATTCTCAGGTAGATGGTCAAAAGGAAATGATGCAGAAAGATAAATAGATTATGTCTAAGAAAATTTAGATGTTAATTTAGTTGCTAAAATAGTTAATGCCTTTAATGGTATTGAAATCATCATTAATACTTCATCAGAACTATATGAAATTTATTAGATATTGCATTTCTTTCAGATTCAAGAACTTTAAAATTAAATAGAAAATTTTCTTATACAAGACAAATCTAATATTTTAATTGGATACTAATTATCTGAATTGTATGAAATTGAATCATTATCTAATTTTTATTTTCAATATTTCAAAACTTATGGATTCTTAGGTATTTTTAATAAGAAACTTGATTAAGAGAAAGCTAGAAAACATATTTATAAAAATAAATCTAGATTAGTGCCGCTTCATTATTTATACTTATAGTCCAATTTATTCAAGAAATTGTTAATATTACACAACAATCTTGCCACTATTAATTTTGATAAGAATAAATTTTTAGATTAATTTTAGATTGCCCTGTTAATAAGTGAATATTGCTTAACTAATGGCTATGATAGAATCAAATTATAAGAAATCTTCTCAGATGCAGTTATAAAAGAATAAGTATCAAATGAATAAAAATAAATTATTCTAATAGAATTCGAAAAATAATATAAAAAAAATTAAATGAGAACAGTTTCAAGTATTTCTCAATCTGAAGAAGATGATTCATCAGATACTACAATTGAAATTAAACATGAAAATCCAGAGAAAATAATATCTCTAACTCCAGCAATGGAACCTTTTGAAATATTTAGAGGAAAAGAATTAGACATAAAATTACTTATTGGATTAAAGAATTTATAATTTCATTTTAAGACAAAACATACTTAATTTGGATTCTATGTATCAAAAAAAATTGAATTAAATATCTAAATAGATGATGAATAATTATAATTAGTGAACTTAAATACTAAAGTTTAATTTAACACAAGTTTAAGAGTTAATTGGATTAAATTTGAGGAAAATGGATTAAATGTCAATAATAGATTAAAAATAGTCAAAACAAAAGGAATATGTCGATATGAGGAAGATGTGATTGAACCTTAAGGTTAAATTAGATTGACTGGATGTCGTAATTTTATTATAGAAGAAGTTTAAGTTTGGAATACATATTTTTTTGCCCCTTCTTAAAATTAGGGTTGAAATTAAATACAATTCAATTTTTATGATATTTCATTCTTTTAACATTTTGTTTAGAAGTCAGTGATTTATCTTTAAAAATTCGGTAATTAATTAAGATCTATATTTCTTTCTTTAACTTACTAATTTTCACATATTTCAAATGCAGCATTTTTATAGATCTTTAGACAGTTTAATTTTAAAATTATTTTTGTTTTAGTTTTTCTTTTTTTTTATATTTTCTATCATAGATGAACCATTTTTATATCATTTTCATCTATGAATCTGAAATAGTTAATCTCTTCATCAAATTTTTATTTTTTTTAGAATCAAAAATAGATTATTATTTGTCTTCATCCAATTAAATTATGATTCAATTATGTTAATAATATTAGGAAAATATAATATGACATAAAGGTTTTAACTAAAACTAGTTTGGAAATATACTCTCATTATTTCTTATAATAATACCAATTTTGATAATATTATTAAGTCTTAATTAAGAGATTATTATTTTAATTTAATTATGTCTTTTTATCGGTATTATTAAACCTTACATTATTGATTCTATTCTCAGTTATTTACAAATTTAAATGAAGATAGAGAGTTATTATTATTAAGCTTTTTAATGACTATTTAATTTAGATATTAGTTTTAGATGAGAAAGTTAAATTGTTTGAAGAATTAATTTATTTAAAATTTCTGAGATGTGCTAAATTAGAATAAAAAGTTATGGAAAATAATAATCATCTAAAAATATTCATCAATCTTTCTAGTAGTAATTCTAAATATGACGCCTAATGTGATTTTGATGATTTTATGGAACTATTGATTATATTTTATTTTTATGAATATAAAGATATTTATCTCCTTTTGACACCAAAACTGGCTATTAGGATTTTTCAATATATTAACATCAATATTTATTATTTTATATAAGTTCATTTAAAAATATTATTAATGATCTAAGCAACAACTTCAATTTAATCATCCTCCTCTATGTTTTCGAATTTTTAGATCTCTGAATTAGAAATTTTTAATTCTTTGTTTGATAAATAGTATTGGATCACATTTTCATCAATTTCCTTTAGAATAGACTCTTATGTAGCATTATAGATTATCAATAAAATATCATTGAATTTTGGCTTGAGAAGATCTATGCAATTCTTAACATCATCTTTCACAATCTAATTACTCAAAAATACTAAAGTGTTTTCATTAGTGATAGACTGATTGCAATTAGAAATTTTAGTTGTATCGCTTAATTAATCAAAATAATCAAATTCTTCTTAAGACACCACTTTTTATATTAATACTTATACCTAGTAAATGTGCATTTTTTTTGTGAAATCCTATGTATTTTGACTATATATGATTACTTTATTTCTTAACATTCCAAAACAAAAGCATAATTATACATGTGAATGCTAATATTGCACCAAAATATATTAAGTTATTAACTTAAATATTTTTATCTATTTAGATTCGACCTGATTTGAATTATTTTTTTTCTTGTTTATTAGATTCACTTATAAATTCAGTGTTTTCTTCATCACCAATCATTTTATTATTTTTATTTTATAATAAATGTAATATTAAACCTATTTGATATTAAAATATTCTAATTTTATTGAATAATTTATTGAGTTATTGAGAACCAATTATATGTATTGATTACAATTAATGATTCTGAATTATTACTTATCCAAACTTATAATAAGTTATACTTAATTTATTAAATAAAATTTTAATTCTTCTTTTAATTCTTATTGAACTTAATATTGTAATATATTTATATTCTTTCTATAAAATAAGCAATTTCATTTTTTGTATATTTTAATATAATAAAGAAAAATGAAATTAGATGAAATAAAAAAATGCTTCACTTCTGAAAATCATTATAAAGAGATTAAATAAGTTAAAGATTATATTTTGTAGAACAACATGTATACATAAATATCTATTTTGAAAGTGAAATAACTTAAAGAGCACTTTAAGCAGTAGTAAATATTTTGGATGATAGTAAATCATAGCCAATTTAGAAGGTATTATCAACTAGAGTAATTAATTATCAATTATTCAGTTAGTGAAAGAAATAATGGATTTTCATATTGCTTTAGTTATTGAAAATGTATAAATTAAAATCATTCCAATTTATGAAGAAATTCTAATTGGTTATTGTAATAAAGGACAAAAAGCAAAACAATACTTCTCCTAATAACCTGGTAGATATTATTATATATTTATTGAAGATGAGCAACTAATGGTTCTTGGTAACACATTTATTAGACTGATCAGTGAATGTGTATTTGTTTGGAATATTTGGCATCCAAGCATAGATGGATAATAATCAGAATATTCAAAAGTGTAATATAGAAATTATCTATTAAAGATATAACAATTTAATTGCAAAAGGAATGCAATTTCCTAAACTATTTTATTTTAATTCTCAAAAAGTGAAGGAATTCTATGTTTATTCTAAGGAATAATTGAGTACTTCTCAATTTGTTTATTCAAATAACATTTAACCTGATTTTTTGTATATTAAAAAAAGACTAGATGGAAATTAATTCTAAAAAAATGATCTTATAATCATTAGAAATGAATTACTCTGTAAAATCATTAAAAATAATGTATTTATAGCTTTAAAAAATAATGAACTTAATCCTAGTTAAGTAAAATTTATATAAAATTTTGAAATTGCTTATAAAGACTATGAAAAAACATAGAGATTTGATGAATTATAAATTACAATATAATCAATGTATTACTTTCTATAATATTTTAAAGTTGTTTAGAATTTGATGATGAAGTATTTGATAAATAAGCAGCAATAGATGCATTTTAAAAAAGATATCAATCAAATCAGAGTAATTTCACTCCATCTAAATTATAAGGTGGTGCAGGTGGATATTCTACTGATAAAATTAGTTAGTTTTACTCTCATGGAAGTATGAGTGTAATAATATATTTGATTATTTTATAGTCACAAAATTCATCTCCTAATGATTAAAAAGAATAATTAAAAATATTAAATGAAAAAAATAGAAGAATTGAATAGTTGTTATTAGAAAATTCTCTTTTGTAGAAATAAATAAAAAACTTTGAAGATTAGATTCACACTCTCAAACAAAATCTATCCTAAAATATAGAGTGAAGATTAATTAGTATTTAAAAATATAATTTAATTTGCATTTATGATTTAATTAACCAAAGAACATCTTCATGACTAAAATAAAAAACTTACAGAAGAAAACTAAAGATTAGAGTTGGTTGTCTATAGCCTTCAAAGACAGTTACAAAATCTAGCCAATTTTATAGAAAGAGAAAAACTGTTACAAGAACAAGTTGATTAACTTAATCTAGAATTAGGAAATCTTAGAAGAGACAATACAAATTTATAAGAAGTCATTCTATCTTTGTAATTTTAATTAAATTCTAATATTAATAATACACAAAATGAAAAACCAGTGAATGAAATAGATTCCATTAAATAATTTTATGAAGAGTAACTTAATGCCCTTTCTAAAGAAAATTCTAGATTATAGAGACTGGTAAAAGACTTTAATAATAAATAAATTTCCAATCTTCAAGTATCTGCTGCAAAATTACTCGAAATTGGAAATAAAATAGATTTAAAATTAGGTGATTAATCTCATAGAAGAATGTTAAGCAATCCTACAATTTAAAGTCCTAAAGGAATTTCTAAAGAGATATATCAAAATTTAATTTAATAACTTTCTAATTAAAGCATAGATGAAAAATCACTCTTTGCCTCTCAGTAATTATTAAAATTATATTTATAGTTCAAAAATCAAGCTTCAAGATTCCATTATATCTTCTAAAACATTATATAAATAATCTAAAATGGCAGCTTCAGCTTTCTAAGCTGGGTAAATTGACTAACCTTTACCTTAGATTCCTAATCTTGTTAAAAAATGAATATAATCAATTTTAAATTAATTTTTTAATTTGGTTTATGATATTAAATCTATAGATGCCTAAAAATGGTATTACCTAATTCTATAGTTTATCAAAATTTAATTGAATATGCAACAAAATTTCTCGTTTATACACAAATAATTATGATATTATCATTTTCCTTATGAAAATAGTCAATTCTTTATTCTAAATGAATTGATTATTCTAATAAAATATTGAAAAGATATACTTCAAATAATCCATTCATTTTTGTAAATTAACTATTTATTTTAATGATAGAGTTTATATGAATAATTTTAAGAATAATTTAAAATGATTATTTTGAAATTTATTCTTTAACTAAGAAATGAATTAAGCTATTGATAGAAATATGTAAAAATATCAATTAACCCTAAAGAATTATTTTTATATTAGAAATGATAAAAAAAACATCATGATTTAATATTAGATGTTTTGCCCTATATTTTAGCTATTGAGCATGAAAGTACATATTTACTATTTTCTAAATATATCGATAAAAAAAGGATAAAAATTAAGGATTATTAAGCTACTTCACTTTAGTACATTTATATATACTTGAAAAATATTTAGCAAATGTTTAAATGATCATGTAATACAATTAAAAGAATAATTCAATATTTTCTCTAAATTTAAAAATATGCAAGCACCAGGCTTAACAAAATTGCCTAGTTAGTAGAAGGTTCCTAAATACAGACCTGTAAGAATGTAAACCAAATTTAGTCCATCAATATAGACAATCTGATTGCGATTTGCACAGGGAAACTTAAGAATTGTCCAAATCACAAGAAAGCTCTGTATATTCGTGCATCTGCTTATATTAAGAAAGGAGAGTATTAAACAGCAATTTAAGATTGTAACAAGCTTTTAGAAACAGACTGCGATAACGTAGGCGGATATTATTTGCGAGGTATTAAAATTTGAAATTGAAGGATGTGCAAATGAAAAATTGGGTTAAATAGATTTAGCAATTGAAGATTTTTCAAAAGTTCTTTCTTTAGATGAAAATCATGTAAATGCTGCATTTGCTCGAGCTTCTTGTTTAAATTTGAAAGGAGACTTTGCTGGAGCTATAGAAGACTATACAAGAGCTTTGGAGAAAGATAATGCAAAATCTTTAAATTTATCGAATTCTATAAACAAGAGGTCTTTACTTAGGAATAGTTCTATGAAAAAAGATGAGCCTTATCCAAAAATTGATGGATTTCAATTTTCAACGAAAAAGAATAAATATTAATAACCTGAAGAAGATGATTTGATGAATCCTTAGAATGATGAGGAATACTTATAAAATGATCAATCATAAATACAAAACTAACCTTAACAAACTAGTTTTATGAGTTAGAATCCTCTTTATACTAGTATTGATGCAAATGAAATGAATATATAGAAACCATCATAAATAATTGATAAAGAAATATCGTAACCTATGTAGTAATAATTAATTTCAATGATACCAGAGAATATTAAGAATGATAATAAGAAAATATCTGATTTTTTTCATTCTTAGGGTTTTGATGCAAGAAAAAAAGAAGATTTTATAAAGGCAATAGAATTTTACACAATGGGATTGATGTTTAATCCAAATCATTTTAAATCAATATTTAATAGAGGTAAGAATTAACTTATTTATTTGATTAGGCTTTGCTTTTGATAAACTAAGAATGTATAATGATGCAATCAGTGATTATACTAAGGCTATTGAAATGGATTCAAAGAATGCTTATGCCTATTATAATAGGGGAATATCTTATGATAAAAAAGGAGATTATAATTTGGCAATAAAGGATTTTGCAAAATCAATAGAGATTGATCCATCAAAAGCAGATTTTTATCATAATAAAGGATTTGCTATGAAAAAGAAGAATTTAATAAGAGAAGCAATTTTAGAATTTAATGAATGCATTCGTTTGGATAAAAATCATTTTAAGGCTTATTATAATAGGGCAAATTGTTATGAAAAGTTAGGAGATTTTGATAAAGCTTAATAAGATTATTTGATAGCAAATAATGTGGTACCAAATAATCCAAATACTTTAACTCATATAGGGATATTGATGGATAGATAATAGAAATTAGAAGAAGCATTAAAATATTTCAATTCGTAATAAATTTAATTAGATTAATAAGATCTTTAAAGATAGATTAGAATTATGCCCCTGCATATAATGGAAGAGGACTAGTATTTGATAAGATAGGAGAATTTGAGAAGGCTTGTTTGGATTTTAATAAGGCAATAGAAATAGAACCATAGAATCCTGTTTATATTCATAATAGAGGATGTTGTAAAAGAAGCATGAATAAATTTGAAGAAGCATTAGAAGATTTCAAGAAGGCTTTATCTTTAGATTCAAAGAATCCTATAATATATTCAAATATGGGATTGGTTTTGAGGAAAATGGAAGATTTTGAGACAGCTGTGTATTGTTATTCTTAAGAATTAATATATTCTAAAGAAAATACTCGAACTTTGAATAATAGAGGATATTGTTTAGCAAAGTTGGGTTAATTTGATGAAGCAATCGCTGATTATACAAAAGCAATAAATTTAGATCCTGTAAACATTCATGCAATATATAACAAAGGGATTTGTAATGAAAGGATTGGTGAATTTCGTAAAGTAGAATATTTTTAAATAGATAGGCTATAGAAGATTTTACTTAAGTAATTCAATTATAGAACGATTAAGGAGCAAATGCTTATTTTAATAGAGGATGTTGTTATGATAAGTAATAATGATATTAAAATATATAATAGTATTGGTGAAATGGATTTGGCAATAGCAGATTATTCTAAAGCATTGGAGATTGATAATAAAACAAATAAAGTCTCATGATAATTAAATAATTTATGTAAACTTAAAAATATAGAATAAATTAAAGATCAGTATTATTATAAACAAATGAAGAGGAGAAGGAATTAGATTGTTCAATTTGTTTAGATGTTATATTTGAGCCAGTAATAATAGATTGTAAGATGCACACTTTTTGTTAAAACTGTATTTTAAATCAACATTAGTGTCCATTATGTAGAAAAGAAATATGTGAAGTAAGACCAAATATATAGATGAGTTAAAAATTATAGAATTGGTTATGTAAATGTCCATTAGGTTGTGGATAAATTTCTTATGATGAATTATATTCTCATTAATTAGTTTGTTAAAATTTATCAAAGTCATAATAGATAATAGTTGAAACATTAGTGAAAATAAAAAATGAGATGATAAAAATTTTAGATAAAGAGATAAATGTTCATTTAAAGCATGATCATAGATAAATATTTGATGATTTTTTAAAGAATTGGGAATGGTTACCATACAAGAATGAAGATTGGAAATGGTGGTGGTGGAGTCATACAGCATGGTGGAAAAATAAAGCATGTGAATAATGTAATAAATTATGGCATAAATATGAAGATGATATTTAAGAGTATGAAACTTTAAGAATAAATTTATTAAATTAATTATAATGATATATATTATAATTATATATCAAATTTATTATTTTCTACCTTTGAAATGATCCATAGATTCACTCACTCCAAATAATTCCATCATATTATCATAGATTGATGTTGGAAAGATTGCTTTAACCATAATAGCAAAATTAAGTATTATAGGCATAATAACAACAGTTTCATCTTAGAGAATAGCATTAACAATTCTTTATGATGCATAATCTAAAATAAAATAAGTTTAAATAACTTACTTTCAGATAAGATAGGGAAAAGTAGAGGAAATTTAGATTTAGCTCCATCAAACATTCCAGTATTGATGAAGTAAGGACAAATACAAGTAGTTTTAACATTAGATTTAGTTGCTCTTAATTCAAATCTAAGTGATTCATCAAATCCAACAGCTCCAAATTTAGAAGCACAATAATCAGCTAATCCTCTAACTCCAACCCATCCTGCGATAGAAGCAATGGTTACAATATGGCCATGTTTATTTTAAATCATATCTCTTAATACTTCTCTTACAGTCCAATGATGAGAAGTTGTATTAATATTCATTGATCTACATATACCTTCTTCTGTATTATTAAGAATTTATTTGCCACTAACAACTCCTGCATTATTAATTAAGATATTAATTGTCTTCTTGTGAAATTCTACGCATAATTATATAGCATTCTTAACAGATTTAGGATCACTAACATCACATACTGTTCCAGTCGCTGTATTATCTCCAAATTTGCTATTAATCTCATTTATCACTTTATCTAAAGCCTCTTTATTAATATCTACTATTGATATCTATCTATTATATAATTCAATACTTAGGCTCCTAATTTTGCAAATCTTAAAGCCATATTTCTTCCAATTCCACTAGCACCTCCTGTAATAAAGATATGTTCATCTCTTACACTCTTTTTTTTCAACCATCTTAAATTATATTAATAATAAAAAACCCATTATGTTTTCGAATCTAATATTAAAGATAAAGTAATCCTAAACTTATTGCTGCTACCTCCATAACTCCTTTTCTTCCTTTCCTTGAATAGAAATTCTTCAAAACATCTTATGCTTTTGTGAGATATGTTTATAATTTATCCATTTAAGATAATTATTTATTCTTATCAATAATTTACACTCTCTTTTATTGCCTCATAAATCTTAAATTTATCTGGTAAATATATTGGTTCATGTACTAAAGGAAATGGTGTATCATATCCTGTTACTCTTCTTATTGGTGCTTCTAAATGTAAAAAACATTTCTCTTAAATAAATGCACTCAATTCAGCTCCCATTCCGCAAGTCTAAGGTGCTTCATGTGTTATTATACATCTATTTTGTTTATTCATTTAATTATATACCTTCCAGTCTTTTTCACTGAGTCAACTAAAGTCTATCCATCATATGGATATATAGTTTATAAATCAATAATCTCACAGCTTACCCCATCTTTTTCTGCCATCTTTGATGCTTCTCTTAATACTCTTATTGATGTTCCATATCCTATCAATGTTATATGTTTTCCTTATTACACTACTTCAGCTTTTGATAATTCCAACTTTCATTTATTACTATTTATTATTATACCTCATAATCATCCAAAGGAACTTCATCTTCTGCATTACGATACAAAGCTTTAGGTTCAAAAAATATCACTGGATTCTTATCTCTTATAGATGCAAGCAATAATCCTTTTGCTTATATTGGATCTCTCGGTACTACTACTTTTAATCCTGGAGTATGAGCAAAATATGCTTCTGGTGATTATGAATGATATAATGCACTAATATTATTATTTATACTATTCTTTACCCATGACCTACAGCTCCCCATGTTGATCTTATTGTTAAACTTCCACAATTGAATTAATTCCCTGATCGATATCTAAATTTTGCTGCCTCATTCACTATCTAATCAAATGCTGGAAAAATGTAATCACCAAACTATATTTCAGCTATTGCTGTATATCCTACACTTGCCAATCCTATACCAAATGCACCAATCCCCTAATCAATCTCTATTTATTTATACTTATTCACATAATGGAGTATTAAATACTCTATCTGTACCATACTTTTCATTCAAACCTTATGAACATCGAAAAACACCTCCAAATTTTACATCCTCTCCAAATAATAATGCCCTTTCTTATATTTATTATATACTTTGGATTTGCTCCTAATTCTATATCAAGAGCATTGTTTATTGCTTAAAACAAGTTCATTTTCTATCTATTTGTACTTCCTATATCTGAAGCAAATCTATGTTTTGTTGACCCAAATTGATGCACTCTTTTCAATAATTACATTTATTTATTCAATTCCTTAAACAAATTCAATTATATTTTGTTAATCACAATGCCTCAAATTAAAATTACTATCCATAATTTTATAAAAACAAACATCAAATTTATAGATTAATCTAATTTTAATCCCTGTCTTAAGCATTTACTTTCTTTTTATTATATATTCATTAAATTTCATTATATATAGAAAAGATATAATAATATAATATTTAATAAAAATCTTATGACTTCCATGTCATATAATAATAAAATTAATATTTTAAGAATCTAATTCATTTTTATTGAATTCCTGTTCAAAAATATAATAATAAATTAATTATTAGAATGAATTTCTTAATCACAAATCTTTTTGGAGTTAATATGAATATATTTAAATCAAATCAATTCAATTCAATATCTTATTAATAAAAAAACATCAAAGAGTTTTTTAATTTCATTTTCTAATAGATTTGGGATTATATTTGTTAATTTATATAAATTTCATCAATATCCATTCAAGTAAATCTATTTTATTTCTTCTAAATTAATTATGTGAATAGATTTGCATGATCAATAAAATTTTTTTTCTTTCAAAGTTTAATCCAAAAATAATTATGTATGATTATGTGAATTTTGAGAAAAAATCTCATGATTAAAAAATTTATTTAATGGAGATCCTCTATTAAATTTAGAATTCATTCCTATAATATTTATATTCTCTCAATATATAAACACTCTTTTTTAAGAAATTTAAAAGTAGACCCTATATGAATTCATCTTATTAAGGTTTTGTTTATTTAAAAATTAAATTATAAAGTAAATAGATATTTTAAAATACTTACAATTAGATAGAAAATTATATTAATTTGAAAATTATAAATAAAATTAATATTACTCAATCAATCGTTTTTAAAAAATTATTCATGCATTTTACTAAACCAATGGCTAACTGAGTAGAGATTAGATTTCATTAATTAAATTAGGTTCAGAAGTTGTGGTCTTAGTAATCCAATTTCCATTTTTTAATTGAAAAACTTTAATATCTCTGGTAGTATTCTATTTTTAATCATCTACATTTATTAGTTCATAAGAAACAATAAGTGAATTTGATAAGGAATTCCATTATACTTTATATGCAGGATTAATTTATTATGAATCCTAATTAATAAGTATTAACTTTTGCTTTTCAACTTATGATTCACCTATGAACCTAAATTGCCATATTTTTGCTCCTTCTTATGTAGCAAAAGCAATTAAATGGAATGATTTACCATTTTAATTTGCCCATTAAGAATCAAAAACAGTATTTTCTTCATCAAATTCAAAAAATTTAATGAATGATAATTTTTAAGTTTCATGCTAAAGCACCCAAATAGCTAATGTTTTTATTTTTTAACTGTTATATGTATCATGTTTTGACTTCATATATCTATTTTTTTCAGCATTTCCTGCAAATACACACATATCTTTATCTGTTGGAGAATAATTCCATGATAATGATCTAATTCCAAATGGCATAATAAAAGTATCATCACCTTCTAATTTGAATTGATTGTTTTCAATAAACCTATGAACTTAAATAATTCCATCAACAAATGCTATAACTAAAAGAAGACCATTGACTTTAGAACCAAATTAAATATCAGCTATTAATTCAGTCTTTTCTAACATCAGAGATCTTTATTTCCACTAAGTTATAGTTTACTTATATCCATTAGAGTTTTCTTAGAATTATTTCTTTTCTTCCCAAACTTTAATCTCTTTATTTTGACTTGAAATAGCTATCAATTATCCATATTTAGGATCAGCCCATCTTACTTTAACTGCGATACTTAAAGTATATTTAAAATCTGAACTCTTTTCCCACTTTCTAATATTTATAGCTGAATTATACCCATCAACTTTATCAAAGATTCTTAATATTTAATCACTAGATGCGATTGCAAATCTACTACCATTTTAATTAAATGAAATATCATAAATCGTATCCTATTGAACAGGTTCAATAAGCATTAAATTAGGTAATTTAATTTATAAATAATAAAAAATAATTAAAGGTTTATACTATTGTTATACTTTTAAAAATATTATTTGTTGTAAAGATTACTTCTAATAAGATTCAATCTTGTAAACTTTGAATTAAAAAATATAATTTTTGAAGAATATTAAAACAATAATTTAATTAAATTATATAATGATTTCTATTTAACCAGAAGGTTCAAAACCTTAGAAATTTTAAGGAGGTCGAATTCATTTAAGACCTATTGATAGCATAGGTAGAGATTTTGATTTAGGAAATATTGAAACAAAAGGAAGAAGACATTTTTCATTTGATCCAACACCTGTTATGCAATATAAATCTCAATTAAGGGTTGGTTTTCCTAAAAATGTAACGAATCCTGAAATTTTATTTACTTATAAGAGTTAAGGTGGGCCTGATAAATTAACTTATATGCCTCCAATAAAAAAACATAAAGAGTTTATATCTACAATGAGAAAAACTGTCATAAACAAAGAAGTAATAATATGGAATTATTGTAGTATGAAGAATAATAAACAGAAAATCGAAGAATGATTGAAGAATTAGATGTTTGGGAGAAAAAGTTTAGAAAATAATGATTATATTAGCATATATTACTAATTAAAAGATATTAATAATGTAAATTATTAAGAGTAAAGGAGTACAATAATTGGTACATCGTTCCTAATACAATAAAATTGTATGGCAATCATCTAATCCATATAATAAAAGATGGCAATACAAATTTAAGAATGCTTATTATACATATCCAAGAGATATAAATTAAGAGCATACTTATGTTAAAACTCCAAAAGATAATTGGGAATCAGTTCCACTTGGATGGGCATGGATCCAAGATTTATTACATAGACACGTATATAATTATTAATAATAATATAGGTACCAAATTTTTCATGTTTAATTGAAAGAAGACACAGATTGTTTGATAAATTTAATGTTTATTTCTTACCTGCATTCAGTCTTTTCTTTTATCAATTTTATCCATTAGCATTTGGATTCAAAGTATTAAATCATAATTATGAGATAGGTTTTAACAGTATTGCCATTAGCCATGTTATATGTGAGAGCCAGAGATAAATGTGGTGATCCTGATTTCAAAGAAACATACCTTAGAGATATGCTATATAAAAATAGTGAAATAACTGCTCTTTTTAAAGATGAAACACTACATGTTTTAGATTACGATTGCGAATACGATCGTGGATATCCTTGTCCTGAAAAATTCCCAGAATTCAAGAATAAGGTAAATATAATTATTATTCTTTAGTTTTGGTAATTTTTTAATACTGATACATCAATGACAACTGGATATTTCAAAATGGCTGATGTAGAATCAGGGGCAGTAATGAATTTAAAATTTAAGACTATGCCTGTACCAGGAAAATATAGATATTAAATTGGAGAACCATTTTATTTTTATGATTTAAGAGGTATTGTACTATCTTATTTCTAAAGCTGAAATTACTCATAATGGATAACATAAAGAAGTTGTTTTAGTTGATGAAAAAGTAGCATTACAAAAAATAAGACCATTTTTATTAATTATTTGAAAAATAAACAGATATCAATCTAGGATATTAAAATTATAATCAATTTCATTGTTTTATTGTAATTTACGATATGTACTCGATATTCTTTCTTTCATTTTTTAATTAATTTATTTTTTTTAACTTTTTTCATTTTATTTTTGTTCGTCCTCTTTTTTTAAGATCTATTATGGATTTAATTATTTTTGATCAGTCCATTCAATAACAAAACCATACCATAATTAATCACCAATTATTTATCCAAATAATGAATAAAGAACAAGTTTTAATTCTTAAACATCTGATAAATGTCGTTTATTTTAATACAATCTTAATATCCTTTCTTATTCATTCTTTTATAATAATTCCAATTATTATTGTAATTGAACTAATTTTTAGTTATAATCTTTTGTTAATAAATTAATATCATTTGACAAATTTTATAATTTAAAATTAGCTTCTTCTTTTTCTTATGGATTAAGTGATTCTAATTCTTAATTTTCCCATTTAATTATATGTGCAAATGCTGTAGGATTAAGCGGATCAATACCTTAAACAAATACTGGTTTTTTTATTGAAACTTTACTTTTTTTAAGCATTGTTTTTACTTAGTTCTTTATTTATGATACACTTATAGGTTGAGATTAAAATAAAATCTATTATGATTAACTGCTTTTGAGATTAGAAGTTGCAGGTAGAAGTTTTTAAGTAAGTTATCGAGTATCTTCAATCTCAATTTCAAGTTAAGCAGCTTATAAAAGATAATTTCTAGAAGTATCATCAAGATATCGAGGAAATTAATCTAGTTTTGCATTTTCATTAATTTTTTTCATGTTTTTAATTATAGAAATCAAACCTTCAGAAAATAAAGATTCATTTGATTCTTGTAATTATTTCAAAAATATATCTTTCAAAAGCATTTTACATCTTCTCTTCTTTTATCTTTATTCATCTAAATCCTTTTAAATAACCTATTGTTTTTCATTATTTTTATGAATTTCATCTTTAATTTATGTAATAATTTTTTAAATATTTTTAATTTCTAAATCTCTTTATTATCTAATCTTTTCAACAATATCCATTAAATTCCTCTTTTTACCCTCTTAATCAGGAATATATCCAAGTCTTGCCTTTTCTTCTTTTACATAATATTTTCTTCGTATTTCACTAATTTCTTCTTCTTTCTTATTAACTTATTATACTTATTGATTATTTTCCAATCTCATTTAAAAAAGTATTTATTTATTCTCATTAATTTAAGTTTAAAATTACTAAAAAGATTCCATCAATTATTTGGCAGATGATGATGTTTATTAACCAGATTATATTAATTCAACTTGAAATTAATTTTCAGGTCTATTACTATAATATTTAGCTCTAGATAAAACTGCTTCATAATCAATGTATTAAGCAGGATTACTAAAATATTCTGTTAATCCTTTAAAATTATTTAGAGTTGAATTTTTTAAAGCTTATGATTACTCTCTAACTACTTGAGCTGTTTCCTCATCCATTTTTTGTAAATTCCAATTAGATCTAGATTTTCTATTGATTTATAGATCATCTAATTTCTTTGTAACTTTTTACAATAATAACGAATTTAAGATTTATTTATTCATTTCAATCCTCACTTAATCAAGAGTTTTAAGAACAGGATTGCCAGAATCTCTGTTTGGCCTTAACATTTAAAATTTAACTTGGACCTAAGTATTCTATTCTTCATCTTATGATTAAACTTTTAATTATGGCTTTTCGTAAGGTTTCATTATAGAATTTAAGATAGCTTAATTTAATTATGGTCCTCCATCATTTGTAAATTCATTATCCAATAATTTATTGTCATTTTATTTAATCTATTCAAAAGCAAAAGTTCTTTTTTTTGAAACGATCTATTCATGCCATTAATCCAATTATTCAAGTAAATGATCATGTTCATCTTGACTTTATTTTCTATGATTTTAAGATAATGGTTTATGGGTAGATTCTCCTCCATCTCCTAAATCAACTACATTTCTCATTCTAATGATTTTTCTATCTCTTTATATTCTGATTCAATACCTTAAGAAGTAGGATCGGCTTCTTCAAATTAATTACTAGACCGATTTCTTGGTATTTAGGTTGAGTTCTTAGAATCATAATTTGATGGAGAATGCATTGTTGATCTAATTATTACATTTTTTTTATTTTGTTTCATTAAATAATGAATTAAATTTTTACTGAGAGAAGTGTCTAAGGCAATAAAGTATCATTAGTACCTGATGATTCTGAGATTAAAGTAGTGAAAATTGAAACATCTATGAGATAAAGAAAAGAAAGTAGAAGTTTCGCTAAAACTCAGAAACCAGAATCAAATATTTTAAATGATGGGGATAAAAAAAAATCATCTTTTGAAGATAGTAGAATAACTATGTTGTTATTTGAGAAATATAAAACAGTTGAATTAGCTAGATTTTTTACAATAACTGCTACTATAATATTGATTGTTTTGGAATATGAATATTCATATAGTACATAGTTAACAAGAACCTTAGATGAAGAAATGAAATTATTTCTTTATTTAATAATGTTCTTAACAATACTAAGCAGTAATTTATATATTTATGAATGCATAAGTTGTATTGACTTTTGTTAGTTATCAGGTTTTGATGGCATATCAAAAAGAAGCATAAATGGTCACTCCTCAAGCAAATATATCTGAAACACCATTGATATGGGGTATTGCATGGGAAATAATAATTTTAATTTTAAATCCAACGCCATATACTCGATATCAAACAATAGAATTTCAATAAAGATACACAGAAACAATAAGATTTTATTTTTTAAATGAAATTCTAACATTTCTTGGAATGTTTAAAGGATTCTTATTATTGAATATAATATTCAAATTCTAGAAATATTCATCTTCAAGAATAGGTCGAATTTGTAGATTATATTCAGCTGATTTCAATACTCATCTAATGTTAAAATTATGTATAAGAGATAAACCATTTGAAACATTATCAATTTTATTTGCAGGTGGAATGTTTGTATTTGGATATTCTTTGGAAGTTTCAGAAAGAGCTCTTTTTAGACTAGAAGATTCTTTAGATCCTTCTTATATAAGTAATAGATTTTGGATAAATCTTATTACAATATTTACTGTTGGATATGGTGATTTTTTTCCTTATACTGATTTAGGAAGAGTGGCTATGGCTTGTAGTGTAGTTTATGGTGTTGTAGTTACATCTCTTTTTACTGCCACTCTATATAATTTACTAACTCCATTTAATGGTGAATTTTTAGCATGGGCATTATTAGATAAGGCAAAAGTAAGAAAAACAATCTTCAACGTTAGTGGAAATATTTTATTAAAATTAAATGATTTAACTAAAAAACATGCTGGATAATTTAAAACCATTGAAGAAGCAAATGTTGTTAAAGATTAAATAGCAACATTGAATAATCTTTTATAAGAGATTAGTACTCTAAAAAGATAATATCGTGATATTGATGGTGAAGAATTCATGGCTATGGTTAAAAGAAAGTTTAAAGATATTAATGGATAATTTGAAGATGTATAAGAATTCTTAGAAAAAATATAAAAATAATAGAAACTTATAAGTACTACTATAGAAAAGCCTTTTGATTTTTCAATTAAATAATCAATTAAAGTCAAAGAAACTAGTAAAGATGATGAATTCTTTGATAATTTAAATGAAACTGTTAATTGTTCTCACTTAATGCGTTTCGAGGAAGACTGACTATTGATTTATAATTTATAGAAATTATTAATGTTAATGATAAATGAGTTTAAATAATTCAATTAATTAACTCAATTACACTAATTAATTTAAAACAGGAATTGGTACTTGAAACAAAAAGATTTGTTATAGAAGGTAATATAATTATTAAAAAGTTCAATTAAATGATGTCATCTCCTTTGAATAATAAACGAATTGTTAAATTGAAAATGGAGTCAAACAAATTAATAGCAAAAAATTTGTTTATAATAAATACTTTTAAATTNTGGGGTATTGCATGGGAAATAATAATTTTAATTTTAAATCCAACGCCATATACTCGATATCAAACAATAGAATTTCAATAAAGATACACAGAAACAATAAGATTTTATTTTTTAAATGAAATTCTAACATTTCTTGGAATGTTTAAAGGATTCTTATTATTGAATATAATATTCAAATTCTAGAAATATTCATCTTCAAGAATAGGTCGAATTTGTAGATTATATTCAGCTGATTTCAATACTCATCTAATGTTAAAATTATGTATAAGAGATAAACCATTTGAAACATTATCAATTTTATTTGCAGGTGGAATGTTTGTATTTGGATATTCTTTGGAAGTTTCAGAAAGAGCTCTTTTTAGACTAGAAGATTCTTTAGATCCTTCTTATATAAGTAATAGATTTTGGATAAATCTTATTACAATATTTACTGTTGGATATGGTGATTTTTTTCCTTATACTGATTTAGGAAGAGTGGCTATGGCTTGTAGTGTAGTTTATGGTGTTGTAGTTACATCTCTTTTTACTGCCACTCTATATAATTTACTAACTCCATTTAATGGTGAATTTTTAGCATGGGCATTATTAGATAAGGCAAAAGTAAGAAAAACAATCTTCAACGTTAGTGGAAATATTTTATTAAAATTAAATGATTTAACTAAAAAACATGCTGGATAATTTAAAACCATTGAAGAAGCAAATGTTGTTAAAGATTAAATAGCAACATTGAATAATCTTTTATAAGAGATTAGTACTCTAAAAAGATAATATCGTGATATTGATGGTGAAGAATTCATGGCTATGGTTAAAAGAAAGTTTAAAGATATTAATGGATAATTTGAAGATGTATAAGAATTCTTAGAAAAAATATAAAAATAATAGAAACTTATAAGTACTACTATAGAAAAGCCTTTTGATTTTTCAATTAAATAATCAATTAAAGTCAAAGAAACTAGTAAAGATGATGAATTCTTTGATAATTTAAATGAAACTGTTAATTGTTCTCACTTAATGCGTTTCGAGGAAGACTGACTATTGATTTATAATTTATAGAAATTATTAATGTTAATGATAAATGAGTTTAAATAATTCAATTAATTAACTCAATTACACTAATTAATTTAAAACAGGAATTGGTACTTGAAACAAAAAGATTTGTTATAGAAGGTAATATAATTATTAAAAAGTTCAATTAAATGATGTCATCTCCTTTGAATAATAAACGAATTGTTAAATTGAAAATGGAGTCAAACAAATTAATAGCAAAAAATTTGTTTATAATAAATACTTTTAAATTCAGAAATCTATAAGTATCATATTTGATTCTTTGATTTATGATAATATGAATTGATAAAAAAGAAGATTATTATAATTTTAGATAACGCTCTTATTCAAATTGCGATAAAATTAAAAAAATAAAAAGTTATTTCTCATAAGTTTTTGCTTCCAAATACTCTTGAATCAAATCTTAAAGAGTTTTACTTGGGGATTGTCAAAAATAAGCTTTCAGAATTAAAAATTTTTAATAATTGAAATTTTTATTCTGTTATTTATCTTAACCTGTCAGTATTCTAGAAGTTTAGAATTTCAGCAGTCATAGTCAACTTTTAAATAATTAAATGGTATCAATTGTTATTAAATTGGCTTAAATTATATTGTTTAAAACTATCAACCTTAACTTAAATTTATTATAATAAAATGTTTCTAAAATTAAAATTGGAAAATGACTCTCATATAAATTTGCATAATTTAGTATAATCGTTGTAATGGCTTGGAGGATCATTTAAATTGACTTATTTTTTACAAAATATGCAAAAAGCTTTATCTTGGCATCTCTCGCTTGAACATAAGATGATTTGATCAAAATATAAAAGTTGGCAAACCCTTTTCTTTGTTGATTAACAATTTGGACATGATATTGTGTTTTCTTACTCTTCAATTAGAGGAACTTATTCAATTTTTTTTTCTTCTTCAGGAATAACCTTTGGAACTTTATCTGGATCCACCCAAGTTCCATTATACCATACTCTACATGGACTTTTAAATGGATCGTTATTTTACCAGTGTTAAAAATGAGACTAATTTAAATTTTGAAATTACAGCTTCTGTAAGTTCCACATCGCATAAGAAGCAAAAATTAGATTTACATCTGCAATACATAAAATTACACCCAGAAATTTTTTCACACATATTTTTACATTTAGGACATCTACAATAATTAAAATTTTTTTTCATTTCTAAATAAAATACATCTCTGAGTAGTTCCTTTTGTTTTTCGCAATCTATTCCCTTGTCTAGATGATATTCAAGAGAGCATTTCCTACAAAATTTAATTTTGCATGTTGGACATTGTATATATTCTAAAATAAAATTATAAAGATAACCTGCATCTTTCCATATTATAAATTTTTCAATGCATTTTTCATTCAAACACTCTATAAATTGTTGATGATGTTCTAATGCCATTATTTACTTATATTGTAATGCAAAATCGGAAAACTGCTTAAATAAATCAGGTGTGAGAAAGTTTTCAGTTATTTCTGGATTAAAAAGTTGACAACATTAAGGACATTTAAAATCCGATAATTGAATTTTACTCTCTTCATTTTTTGTTCTCAAATATTAACTCAAACATGTCTTACAAAATTAATGAAGACAACTAGGAAGAGTAAAGCACTCTTCTTCTTTGTATGAGCAGAAACAAATTTGACAATCTATCATCAAAATTTATTAATTCTATTAAAAAATTAATAGTCTAAAAATTTATTTTATTAATAAGATTTCAAATGTCAAGAATAATAATTGCTTTAGGGTTTATAAAAGTAATAATATTTGTAAAATTAGGTTAATGATGAATTATTTATTGAAAAACAAGGATGAGATTTAATATTACCACTTTATTTTAGTCACCTAATTATTTTATGTATTTTTGGAAATCTACCTTCCTGATTCCTTTAGATTAAGCATTTAAAATATATTGCAATAAATAGAAAATTAGAAATAGTAAACATTGTTTTTTAGAAGCTACTTTCTCACTTTTAGTCAATGCTTATGAGGATTCTGTTTCAATAACTAATTTAGGAAGAGTAGTCTTATTATATGTTGCGTATGTGAAATTTGTTATGACTTTAAATCTAGTTAGTCAATTATTTAGGCATTTGAACGAGATTAAGCATATATATTATTAGATAAATTAATTATGAAAAAGAACATCCTTTAAGTCACCAGTAATATTAGAGAATAATTTAATTATACAAAAGTCTGATAAGAATCCTTTTACATAAAATAGAGTTAAAATAATATTAAAAGAATTGTAGATTTTAAAAAGATAAAGAAAAAGTGTAATTTCAGAGAATATTATAAATCTATTTAAAAGAAGAACATGAGAGTCTAATGATATAATTAGATGAATTGAAAGATATAATGAATATGTCTAAATATCAAAATAGGGGCAAAGATGAAATGTTTGAAGAATCGATTTCTTTATAAAACTACCATTTTCATAACTGGTTTGATTGATAGAAACATATATGAATTTATTTAATAATATTAAGTTAGAATATATATGTATTTTGATAATGTTGATTCATTAAGTGTTAAAATTAGAAAGTATATCTAAATATTGCTACATACCTTAGTATTGGAAATATAATATTACTTATTTAATTAAATGTAATTCGACATTCGAAATGATAAAGCTTCAGAAGATTAAAATTAAACTCTTGTAAATGAATAAGAATGTTAAAGTTGTTAGAAGCAAGATCTCATAAAAGTGCTTCCTTTAAAACAAATTTAAAAGAGTAGAAAATAGTTGAAAAGAAAAACAACAATCTTTGATGATGAGGAGAATGGTTTTAAAAATCCTTTTGAAGATAGTAGAGTTACAAGAATGATATTCGAAAAAGGTAGAACTGTAGAATTAGCAAGATTTTGTTTAATAGTGGCAACCGTAATTCTTAACATCTTAGAAGTATATTTATTTTGATTTAGTATGNAATAATAATTGCTTTAGGGTTTATAAAAGTAATAATATTTGTAAAATTAGGTTAATGATGAATTATTTATTGAAAAACAAGGATGAGATTTAATATTACCACTTTATTTTAGTCACCTAATTATTTTATGTATTTTTGGAAATCTACCTTCCTGATTCCTTTAGATTAAGCATTTAAAATATATTGCAATAAATAGAAAATTAGAAATAGTAAACATTGTTTTTTAGAAGCTACTTTCTCACTTTTAGTCAATGCTTATGAGGATTCTGTTTCAATAACTAATTTAGGAAGAGTAGTCTTATTATATGTTGCGTATGTGAAATTTGTTATGACTTTAAATCTAGTTAGTCAATTATTTAGGCATTTGAACGAGATTAAGCATATATATTATTAGATAAATTAATTATGAAAAAGAACATCCTTTAAGTCACCAGTAATATTAGAGAATAATTTAATTATACAAAAGTCTGATAAGAATCCTTTTACATAAAATAGAGTTAAAATAATATTAAAAGAATTGTAGATTTTAAAAAGATAAAGAAAAAGTGTAATTTCAGAGAATATTATAAATCTATTTAAAAGAAGAACATGAGAGTCTAATGATATAATTAGATGAATTGAAAGATATAATGAATATGTCTAAATATCAAAATAGGGGCAAAGATGAAATGTTTGAAGAATCGATTTCTTTATAAAACTACCATTTTCATAACTGGTTTGATTGATAGAAACATATATGAATTTATTTAATAATATTAAGTTAGAATATATATGTATTTTGATAATGTTGATTCATTAAGTGTTAAAATTAGAAAGTATATCTAAATATTGCTACATACCTTAGTATTGGAAATATAATATTACTTATTTAATTAAATGTAATTCGACATTCGAAATGATAAAGCTTCAGAAGATTAAAATTAAACTCTTGTAAATGAATAAGAATGTTAAAGTTGTTAGAAGCAAGATCTCATAAAAGTGCTTCCTTTAAAACAAATTTAAAAGAGTAGAAAATAGTTGAAAAGAAAAACAACAATCTTTGATGATGAGGAGAATGGTTTTAAAAATCCTTTTGAAGATAGTAGAGTTACAAGAATGATATTCGAAAAAGGTAGAACTGTAGAATTAGCAAGATTTTGTTTAATAGTGGCAACCGTAATTCTTAACATCTTAGAAGTATATTTATTTTGATTTAGTATGAATATAGCTTTTCAACTTATCTTACAAAGAACTTAGATTATGAATTGACTATATTGCTATTTGTTATTTTCTCGATGTCAATAATAATAATATTATTAACTATCCTTACTTATCAAATCGACCTAGAATATCGAAAGTGTTCTAGGACAATCTCTCAAAAAGCTACTTTAATAGAAACTGACCTTATATGGTATTTACTAGTTGAAATAATAATAATTTTACCAACATCAAACCCCTTTACAAGAAATCAATATATAGTATTTATTCAAAGAGGATCTGGTGAGGTAAGATTTTATACAATCAATGAGATATTCACATATATAATGTTCTTTCGTTTATATTTGCTTCTCAATATAGGATTCAAATTTTAAACTTATTATTCAAATAGAAATGGAAGATTGTGGTAATTTATTTGTCTATGTTAATTTAAAGTCGGTTATATCAAACTCGTTTTAGTACTCATTTAATGTTAAAGCTTTGCATAAGGCAATTTCCATTTCATACTTTAAGTTGGTTATTCATAGTTGGTTTAATACAGTATACTTACTAGTTAGAAATAGCTGAACGATCATTGTTAAGAACATTTGAATATATAAATACTGAGAATATAAGTAAAAGTTTGTGGGTTACAATGATTACTATAGCAACTGTAGGATATGGAGATTTCTATCCTTATACAGATTTAGGAAGGATTTCTCTAGGATTAGGATTATTTTATGGTGTTTCTATAACTTCTCTATTTACTGCTATTTTATATAATATGCTTTAACCTGATGTTGGAGAATCTAAATCTTGGGCTTTATTAGAAAAAACTCAAATTACTAAAAATATGAAATAAGCTAGTTCAAATATATTTTTTTATTTTTATAAATTAAAAAAACAGAGGATAGTTGCAAAACGGTTGAATCTTCAAGAGAATCTTAGTGGTATTCTATCTAATTTAGAAAATTATTTATCAGATGTTGGAATAATGAGAAGGTATTTAATTCAATTTAATATTTATTATAGAATGTATAGAGATATTGATGGAGAAGAATTTATGGAAATGGTTAAGAGAAAATTTGATGATTCTAATCACAGTTTTAAAGATTTAAAAATTGATTTATAAGAAATGATGGAATAACATTAATTAATAAGAAATTGTTTAGAAAAAAATTAAGATTCTAAATTATTTAAAGTTAAACCATTTGAATATTAAAACTTACACTAAGGTTAATTTAGTTCTCCTTAAAGTTATTAATATAAATTAAATACTGAAGATTAACTTAGTAAAGATGATGATTTTTTTGAAAACTTAGAAGAATCAAATAGAGATTCATGTCTAATGAGCTTTCATGATTGATTAATAATTGATAGTTAAAATTATATAATGAATATATAAAATTAAGGTTCTGTAGAGTTATCAGGAAATCCAGTTTCAAGGGCAAATGAAGATGAAGCAATATAATATTAGAAAAGACTATCTGTTATCATTTTAAATCAAATTGAAAGAAAAAGAACTAAATAAAAATCTACAATTATATAAAGTTCAAAACATGATGCCTTTGAAGATAGTAGAGTCACAAGAGTCTATTTTGAAAGATACAGAGTTTTAGAATAAGGCAGATTATGGGTTATTTGTGCTACACTTATTTTAGTTGTTTTAGAGGTAAAAATAATATCAAATTTTTTTAGTATGAAGTTTCTTTTTTGCATCAATTAAATGACACTTATGATGATGAAATAAAAATATTACTCTATTTAATTATGATCCTAAGTATAGTTACAAGTAAATTAACAAATTTATTTAGTTATTATGACATTTATAGCATATTTAGCAGAACTTGAATTTAAAAAACGTTCTCTTTCAATTCCTAAAGCATCAAATATATTTTAAACTAATTTAATTTTCCTTTTATCTTTAGAAACTATCATATTATTACCATGTCCAACCCCTTTCACTACTGAATACAAAGTATTCTTCACCTAAAGATATACAAACTAAATTAGATTTTATTTTATAAATGAAATCTTGACTTTTATTATGTTATTTAGATCCTTATTGATACTCAACATAGCATTTAAATTTCAAGATTTCTATTCTAATAGAGTTAATAGATTATGGTATTTTTATAATTAATATTTTAAGTCGTATTTATTCAGTTGATTTTGGTCCCCATTTTATATTTAAAGTTGCCATTAGAGAACATCCCTATTAGACTCTTTGTGGACTATTTTGTATAGGATTATTTATATTTTCCTATTAATTAGAGATTTCAGAGAGATCTTTATTAAGAACACAAAAAGAAGTTTTATCATACAATTTTAATAATTCTTTTTGGGTTTGTATGATAACAATTTTTACAGTCGGTTATGGTGATATATACCCATCAACTGATCTTGGAAGATTTTCAATGACTTTAGGTTTATTTTATGGTGTAGCATTAACATCTTTGTTTACTGCTATTCTATATGCTGATTTATAACCTTTCTCTTAAGAAAGACGTTCGATAACATTATTAGATAAAGCCAATTTAAAAATCTCAATAAAACAATTTGCTTAAAAGGCTATGTTAAATTTATTTAAACTTCAATCATATCTCTATAGATAAAAAAATATAAAAAATAATCCTGCAATAAAAGAGAGAGTTTCTAAAATAAAAAACGTTTCACGAAAAAGCGAGAATTTAAGAAGGTAATATTATATATTTTATAAAAATAAGAATTTATAGAACAATTGACACTGAAGATTTAATTACAATAGCTGAAAGAAGATTTAAAGAAATGAGTCATTTTTTCAGTGAGTATTATTACATGCTTGAATAGATGTAATCTTAACAAGAAGTATTGGAAGATTTAGATACTCCAAGAATTCATTCAATTTAAAAAAGTCATACTGTAACATCTGCTAGTCGTGAAATTAGAAGTAAAGACGATTAATACTTTGAAGAACTAATTGATTCTTAATCTCTAAATCAATAATTAATGTAATTTAATGATGAAGAATGATAACAATACGATGTAGATTTCGTAATGAACATAGAGTTTATTTTTTCTATTTAAATTTTATCAAATTATTCCACCCTATCCAAGTAATTTCTTTAAAGAATCTATTCTGAAATGAGCATCTTTATCTTGTTAATCTCTAAGTTATAATACTAATCTTTTAGCCTTTGAATACTCTTAAACACCAATTGAGCAATTCATAAACTTTATATTATAAATCTACTCACTATATTCATCAATTTTTATTAACTTAAATCCAACCCTCTCGAATAAACTTGAACAATCTTCAGGAATATTGTCTTCATAATTTATTAGATCAATATTATTATCCATATATTTCTCCAATAATAAATGCTCACATGATCTAATTCAATTATTTATATACAAGCTAGTATTATTTTAAATTCTTAAAGTAATTTAATTGTTATTCAAAGTATTTGCCTCTCTTCTAAATACTTTCTCTACTACTTCATCCTTTTCAACATTCACTTATTGTCCTAATTATTTTAAAAATATTTCAATATTTCTGAATGATCTTTCAATGGAGCATTATACTCCTTTTTTATTTAAAGCATTATGATTATTTCAAATATTTAATAAATATTTTATTAGAGATTTATAAAAATAAAATTCCTTAAATTTCTAATCTTTTATATTTCTTGTATAAATTTTATTTTCTACTTAATTGATATTAAGGTCAATAATATTTTGTATCTAATTTTTTTAGAGAATTTGATATGTTTATAATTCAATAATTATTAATTAAGGATAGATGAAATATTTTTCTAAACTTGTTTATTTCTTTTTAACAATAGGCTCTAATACTGAGAGAAGAAAATCAAAAATAGATTATGGAAATCTAGCCATGATTGTATTTTATTTTATCTAATTACTTGGATACATATATAGTTAATTTGAAAGTAAAAGTCAAGTATTTTATGAAAATGATTATTTGGCTTAAATTGGATAATATTCATCAATACCTTTTATGATGATTGTTATCCATTATGACCCTTTTACAATTTTAGTTTATTATTGTATATTTGGAACTATGTTTACAATTTATGCCATTGTAATATTTCAAATTCTATACAAAGTAAATATAAGTCTTTAATAATAAGCCCCTTCCACCGTCAAATACAATTAATAGATTTATCAAATTTTACTTTCAAAACTTTTAATGGTATTTTTTAACACCTTTCCATGAAACTATGATTGGTATCTTAACTTGTGGACGACTAGCTTATTTAGCTTAACATGCTGATTTAAATCCAAATAATTGCTTTACAGAAATTTCACCACATTTTTTAGTTATAAGTTTCTTTGGATAAGCTTTAGTTGTAATTTCCGGATTCCTTTCATTATATTGTTTTAGAAATTATGAATTTATCTAAGGAGATCTTATGAGAAAGTTCAGCTTTTTAAACTTTTTAACCATTCTACTACATATGATTTTATAAATGACTTCCTTCTGGAAAGAAATGTATAATAACTACAATATTATTATACATATGATTTTTAATTTGATAATGATCATAATTTCAATAGACACCTATATCAATTGCCCTTTTGGTTATTCTTATGAAATGGTTTATTTCAGTAAATGCTTAATAAGTGCATCTTTTTTTGAAATTTTAGTTGCAATTTGGATTTTCTCAGATTTAGACGATGGCCTTATATTTTTAAGTTTTTGCATTATTGTACCAGTAATTGTATATTAATTCTAACATAGCTAATTTTTGGCATTAATTAGGCTTTTTATGATAATTATATTGATCATAGATGTTTATAATTTTTAAAGTCTTAAAAAGTAAAAATTAGTGAACATCCCTTAGAAGTTATTTGTTAATTATGTCACTAAGATTTAAATTAACAAAGTGATTATTTTATTGTAATAAAATATTTGGGAACTCATTGCTAATATTGTTCAGATTTGATTTGTCCATGTAAATAAAAAATTAATAAATTTTTACTAAATCAAAGTTAGTTAAATATAAATTAAATATATTTATGGGTATAGTATGAATTTTAAAAAATGATTAAATCAATTATGCAAAATTCGAACTTATTTAAATAATTTGAATAGTTAACAATTAAATTTGTGACTTATCTCTAAAAATACAGAGAAAATTAAGTTTTATCATATAAAATAATTTAGGATGTAATTTACACATTCTAAAAAATGAATTCTGGAAGTACTCCATATTTTTTTTTGAATTTAGCTAAACATATATAATATAAGAATAAGATTGAAATGGAAAATATGAATAAAGCTCATTCATAATTATCATAATATGAATATTTAACTTTATAAGAATTTAACATTTTTTATAGATACGAATAAAGTTTGGTTAGAAATCTTAATGAATTATTAGTGAGATAAAAATAATTATGGATTGAAAAACTTAGAAATGAAATTTAATTAGAAAAGATATTAAGTTGTTCAGAAGATATTTTAAAGAAAACATTAAATGTGAAAAAAATAATAAAAACTTTTGAGAGTTCTAAAGACAGTCCTAAAATTGATTCAATCTTAAACTTAAGAATAAAATTAGTTAGTAGTCTTGTTTGTATGGAAGATATTAATGTATCAATAAAAATTGCTAGACAAATAGAAAATTATGAAAAAGAATTAATAAATTAAAAACAATAAACTTTTAATTGTTTATAATTTATAAATGGTTAAGCATAATCAGTAATTTCAAATATTTCTAGTTAAACATTAGGTTGTATATGTTAATAAGTAAATGATTAATTCTGCAATTTTTTTGGATATGAGAGTAACTATGGAGCATCATTAACAAAAATAGAATAATTGTTGCCAAGTAAGATAGGTAAAATACACAATGGATTAATAGAATCTTACTTATAATCAGGTAAATCAATTCGATTGTATTAAAATTCAGAATAGTTTATAATAAATTGTGATAACTTGATTGAAAAAGTAAATATATGTCTAAGTACACTTTTTCCTTTTTAAAATGGATAGTACTAATTTTTAATAATTGGTCACATATTAAAATTAACAAAATATGATAAAAAGGAAATAGATTATAATAAGAAGGGATATATATTAGTAGATTCAAATTTCCTTGTTTTCGGAATATCAAGAAATGTATATGAGAGAATCAATTATAAGTATTTTTATAAGAATCAAAAAGACATAGAATTAATAATACCTGAAGAGATATATGATTAATATCCAATTTAAGCCTTTATTCCTTAATTGTCATTAGTATTAGAAGAATATTATAAAATATTGTCTTTAAAAAATGAGAAGAGAATATTGAGACATGATGTAATTTGTTAAAGAGAAATTGGAGTATTTTAGGCTCCAACTTAAAATAGTTAAGAATATAAGAATAATTCGTCAGTTTTAACAAAAAAAATAACAAATAAAAATATGATGAATATTTTAAAAGATGTTAATTTCAGTTTGGCAAATATTCCAACACTTTCTCAAAAATAATACCCAATAGAATATAGTGTTACATAAAAAGTCTTGAGTTATGTTGAAAAAGATGGAAACTGTGAATTCCTATATTTTATAATAGAAATCGATTTTTTAGAAGATCCAAAATTAAATATTACTCCTTCTAAAGTTATACCTCGAACTCCTGCACTTTCTGAAATATTGAGAAGACAACAATTTTAGATTGAATAAAATAGACCAAATTAGAGTAATATAATTTTATCTAATGATGATAATAATGATTAAATAGAATTAGTGGCAGAATTAACAAATACTGGAACTAGAAGAAGTTCTAATGAAATAATAGATCAATTAGAAAAGATTATTATCTATATTAATGATACTCTATTACCTAAATCAATTAAAGGTTTAATTGCATAATTTTTACTATAAATATTAATATTATTTGCAATAATCGTTATTTTGTCGAATATTTTCTAATATAAAAGATCTATTTAATCAGATTGCATTGAATAAATTACTTTTGATTTAAATTTTTTGGATGCTTATAGTTAAGCAATGTCTGGATCTAGACATGTCATTTACTATAGAGATTTCTATTCTCTATAAAAAGACACTTTAATTAATTTTAATCCAAAGCAATTAAATTTTAGTAGATATGATAAAATCTATGTTGCATGGCAGCATATTTCTAAAGGAAATATAAGATTAAATAATATGTATGAAAATTACACTAAAATAGCTCAAAAGAGTGATATCAAACTTTTGACTATAAATTTTGTATCCTTCGATTTGAAATCTAAAATTGAATAAGTTGTTTAAGATTACTCTACCTATTATCAAATGATGCATCAAACTTTTTATCTTTAATATTAATCATTTTCTTCATCTCCATAAACCTATTTATCTGGAAATAATGATTCTTATTTAACTTAATTAGCAAGATCTCAAGTTTATTACAATTTTTTCGATGCGATTGAAAGTGCAAATTTAACTTTACAAGACTGTCAATCTTAAAACAATGATGCCAATAATTATTTCGATACTGTAATCGTATTTTACTTCTTAGGAATGTATATTGTAATAATTTTAGTATTGATTTCAATAATCATCCATTATTTTAGAGTTTTGAACTCAATCAAAATCTATATAAAGTTATTTAAAATGTGTGATAAGGAGGATTGTTAACATATAATCCATTTATGTGAATCTTTATTAAGTATGGTTAATTATGATAAAATCTTTTTGAGATAATAAGATTTCAAAATAATTACTGCTTAACCTCGTCATATTATAGATAATGTTAAGAGAACTTAATCTAAAACAACAATAGTATTAATTAGAAAAAAAAGGAATAACGAGAGATTAATAAAGACTAAATCAAATAAATATAATTACTATTCTCTAATTATGTTAATATTAATATCAATAGCCATAATCATTTATATTTCATCCTTTCATTTATACTACAATTTTATTAAAGATTCTATATTACCAATAAGAAACTAAGCTATTTTAGCCTAAGAATCAAGATTAAATTTTATTGCTTCAGTAAATAGATTTGATTTATATCTTATTAAACTATATTTTGAAACTTACACAAAGCTAAATTAAATCAATCAAAATTATAAATTCACTACCAAAAACATTTAAACTGATACTTAAATCTTAAAATTATTAACTATTGATATTAAAACTTTAGAATAGGATTTAAATAGACTTAAAGAAATTAACTTTGCAAATTTAATTTTTGATATTGATCAAACCTATTCTTAAATGGATAATAATTAATAAAATTAAATGTTGAAAAATGATGTTTGTATTTTTACTGGTTGCAATATGTAAACAGAACTTTTCTTTGATAGATTATTTTAGAATGAATTGGTTCCACTTTTCTAAACTGGTGTTTTGAATTTACACACAAAAATATTAACTTTAATATAAGATGCATTTTAAGTAATTTTGCCAGGATTAAGTAATTTATAGATTATTATGACTTTACAAGATATTTTCGATGATAGTGATTATCTAATTTACATGCATTGGGGATTAGATATTATACAATTTTAAATATCATAATTTAGTTAGCATTTCTTAAATATATCATAACAAACAATATATGAACTTACTAAAAATAATCAAGCAATTATAATTTCTATTGGAATTCTTTTACTGATTTTAATTTCTATTTTTTCCATGATATTTGTCAATCTCTAATATAAAAGATATTTTTAATCAAAAGCCATAATAAAATATATTCCACTACCTATACTTTTTTAGAAAAATATTCCAAAACATTTAGAAAGCTTTCGTAGAAAATATGAGTAATGATTTAATTATTTACATTATTATCAATTTCTTTTTCTTTATTTATAATAGTATATTAAGAATTAATTTAACTTATGATCTCAAGGATTTTTGAATATTTATTAAGGATTTCTTTAACAGATAACATGAAAAATGAAACAAATCTCTATTTTCCAGAAAAAATTATTTTATGGATATATTTTGGTTAACTTAATGGATTCTTAATCAAAAATGAAGAAAGAAATTCGACAATATTTTAAGAGGATTAATATTTATATGCAATTTTTGATTATGCAAATATTGTTAACCCATTAAGTTAATATATAAATTTTGAGATTATGGCTTATGTTATCATTCTTCAACTAATAATATTTTATGTGTCCAATTTTACTTTAATGATTATCAAATAAGTAAATAATTGATTATATAATAAGCAAATATATTTAGTTTCTATTTACTTTATGTTATTTAACTGGATAATGATTTGCCCATTTTAAACTATCTTTGTAATGGCTACTTCTAAAAAGTCACTTAATAACTCAGTTATTTATGATGTAAGCTCAAATGGACAGATATTTTTGTTAATTATATCTTTATTAGGAACAATACTCATTTTTATCACCTCAACATTATCAAATTTTATATTCAAAAAAAGAGAAATTAATTAGAAAATGCTTCTAAAATATGATTTTAAACTAGCTTACACTTTAAGTCCTCTTACTCAGTTATATATTATAATCTCATACACAAAATACAATCAATAATTATATATTGTAATACATTTATTACATTTTCTTATTATGAGCATACAACTTATCATAGCATTTTAATTCCCTTTTGGATTTACTTAAACCTCTCTCCTCTTTAATTAATTGACGATACTCAGTATATATTTTAATTGTCTAATTTTTATTTAGAAACATTCAAACCATAGTGATTAATTCATCTTTTTATCCTTGTTAATTATTGGAATGGTAAATATTTTCTTTAACTATATAGTTATTATGGTATTCAGTTCATTTATTATTCTATAGAAGAATGGATAAAATTGTAAATAATTTCTGTTCAAAAAGAGAAACATTCTATTTAGCTGAAGTCTTAGAATATTTCATTTAAACTCACTCATACACTTTTTAACATTTATTATAACTAAATATTCATAGAATGAATTGTTAAGATTAATTATGTCCATGTTTTGATTGCCAGTTATTAGTAATAGATAATGTTTCAATATCTCAGTTATTTTAGTAACAAAGTAAGAAAAAAAAATTTGTTATTTATAAATGGCTTGTGTATTAGTATTAAACTTACTTATAGAAGATTAACTTAAAATAAAAGAAAAATGATTTAATTATTTTTAATTATTTATCATTTCAAAAAAATTTCTTAGAAAATCATGTTTTAACCTGTTTAACTATTTATTAATGCATTTAAAAAGTAGAAAAAGCAAAAAATCAAAATTCTAATGTGACTAAAACTTTGTTATATTTAATACAATAAAAATGTAAATAAAAATTAATAATATAAACATAGTAATAAAAAAAAATAACTTAATAAGAATTCTTAATTATTACCGATATAAATATTATGTATGAATTAGCTGATAATATTGTTTAATAATTATCGAAAGTATTATAAAAGTAAATATATTTGTGGATTTAATACTCAAAAAATGAAATAAAAAATTTTGATTAACTATTGACAGCTATTTTCAATATAAGATTATAAAAAAAGAATAGTAAAAATTTATTTGAAGAATATATAACTTTTAGAAATTAATCTAAAGAAACAATTTATTCTTTAAGAGTAAAATTACTATTTTACTTAATAGTATCATAAGATTTCTTATTAATGACTAAAATTTAATCTTAATTAATGTAATTAGAGGATTCTTAACGATTTGATTTTAATTTGAATGATTTTAATAATCTGTCTTTTTTAACAGGTTAAGCATTGTCTATAATATCAAATATAAGTCATGAAAATTAAGGTAAATTAGAGTAATAAATAACTAATGAATTTAAATCATTTTTTGGTTATGTAAATGATGAAAAAAAATTGACTCATATCAAATAATTAATGCCATCAAAAATTGCTGAAGTTCATTCTGGTTTAGTTGAAAATTTTTTTTTTAAAGGACAAAGTGATAGAATTAATAATATATCAATAGCATTTATTTTAAACTCTAAGAATTTAATTGAATAAATAAAGTTGTGCTTAAGTTATTATTTTCCAGTTGATTTAAGAGACACATCTTTTTATATGATTGCTCATATTTAAAAAACAATTAAATCAGAAAAAAATCTTCATGACGAAAATTTGATTGGCCATCTTTTAGTAGGTGAAGATTTTAATGTTTTTGGAATGACTCAAAATATTTATGAGAAATTAAATTATAGATACTTTTCTAAAAATGATACTAATACTATAGTTATATCTCCTTAAGAATTTTATAATGAACACAATATATTTTCATTGATACCTTCATTTTAAGGTAAATTGCAAAACTATTATCAAAGCTAACCAAAAAGAAAATTGAGAGATAATGAAATTATCTTAAATAAAGAGAGAGGTTTGTTAAAATTAGATTTTCATAAATAAGAATAAGAAAATTCAGCTTAAAAATAGTTTGGTAAGAAATTTTCTTTTTCTCAACTCACAAGTAAACAAGTTTTAACTTAAATGATGAGTGTAAGTAGTGAATTATTAAATTTTTAATCAAATGAAAATGTTAAATATTTTCCTATTGAATTTACTGTAACATAAAGAATATTACATTTTTCAAATCTAAACAATAAAATAGAACAATTTTTATATTATATGATTGAAATTTTAATGGTAGAAGATTTTTAAAAAGTATCAGACTTAAAAAAGAGTAACAATAGATTTTTTTAAAATAAAATGAAAATATTACCTTAAAAAATAGAAACTTAAAGATAATCTATTGATAAATTACTTTAATTTGAAGCTATAAATTTTGTGACAAGTGATCCTTTGATTTCGTAATATGGAGACAAAGAAGCATTAGCAAAAGAATATAATTAAGAAAAATAAAAACAAAAATAAAAATCATTTTCTAAAGGAATTATTTAATTATAAAATGATGCTCAAAGTTAAAGATCTTCTATTATGAATCTTCCTAATAGAGTAAACAAATTTTTTTAATTTCTTTAAACAAATAAATACCCTTCTATTTTTATGGGAATGATTGGATTAATAATAATTAATTTTATTATTGTTATATTTACTACTAGCTTTACTACTATTTTATTTTATTAGAAAAAAGAAATTCAATCTAATTGTATAATTTACACATTTCATGATGTAGATTATTTTAATGGTTTCAGCTTGATTCTTTCAGGATCTAGGCATACAATATTAAATTCTAATTATTTAAATGTTTTAGAACCATTAGTCTTTAGATAAGATAATTAAATAATAAAATTAACAAGTAAGGATTGCATAGTCGTATCTTGGCATTTATTATTATCTGGACAACAGGATTTAGTAGGAAAATATGAAAATTATTCATAAATGCTATTAAAATATGAACAAAAATAAATTACATATTATTATCCTGATTATTAGAACTCCAAGATTTTAAGTTAAGTATTACTTGATTAAGCAACTTATTATACAACTATGTACCTTTAATTTTACTTAACTTATCGAAGTATTTTATCATTAAATGCTTATTTATCTGGTGGGAATGACAATATTTTTTTGTAATTAAATTATTTAAATTTAGAGTGAGAAATAGATACATACTTTATTTTAATTATTTAGATGCCATAGAGATTACTAAAGATTCAATTTAATCTTGCTATGATTATAATAATGATGCTAATGAATATTTTGACTCATTTTGTAATTCATGGTTCATTGCTATGTATATTGTTACTATATTTATTTTTATTTTTCATCTTGTGGCTGCTTATAAAATAAAAAAGGTTACTTAGATCTTTTTAAAATAATTTATTTAAATAGATTTTGAGGAAAGTTAAATTGTAATCAAATAATTTGAAAACATGTTACAAATTTTAAATTAAGACAATATCTTATTTAAATATTAAGAATTCTAAGTTATAAAATAAATGCCATCAAATATTTTTCAAGTGTTGTAAAAACAAGAATTTAAGTAAAATTATCAAGAAGAAAAGGAAGTCAATAATAGTCAAAAAAATAGAATTTCAGCAATAAATACAAAAAAAATAAATTTTGCTACTCCAACTTTATCTTTCAAAAAATTTATTTTTTTATTTATATTTTTAATGATATTGAAAATATCATTTTTAGCTGTTTTTTAATACTATTATGATTTTTTATCTTCAGGCATTGCACCATCTGCTAAAAGAGAAATATAATCATAAAAAATGAGGTTAGACTTTATTATGACAATTAATATGTGGGATACATATCTATTAAAATAATTTTATGATGCTACTCAAAATTTAGTAAATACTAGTTCTATATTTAGTTATTCAAATTAAAATGTCAGAAATAACTAAAAGTTACTTAAATAATTAAAAATTGATAAAGAAATTTTATTAGAAAAAATAAATGATTTTTAAACTATTGACTTAACCGATTTTCTATATCATAATGCAGATGAATAAAATTAAAATTTACTAATTTCTGAATAAAATAAATAAATTTTATTAGGGTAGGATGTTTGTTAATTAACAGACTGTGACATGATGAATGACTTGTTTAAAGATAGACCATATACAGAATATTTGATTGAATACTATTAAGTTGGATTAATTTAATTGTTTAAGAATGTCCTTTAAGTAATTGTAGAGCATAACTATCTGATTACAGATGAATCTTTAACTCCAGAATAAAAGGTTTAAGGAATTATTTAAATGTATCAATCATTTAATTATTTTTTATACATTTTTTATGGATTAGATGCCATATAATTTTAGATATCATAATTTTGTAAATATTTTTTGGATCAAACATTGTATACATTGGAATACTTAACTACATCAAATATAGCATATGTAACAATCTTCGGGATTTTATTATTCATATTGACTATATGTATTGAATATTACATTTTCTTCAGTTTCTTTAAATAATTTGATTTAGCAAGAGAAACTATAAAATCAATTCCAATCGAGACTTTATTTTAAAAAAATATACCAAAAAAATTGAACAATATTATGATTAAATATAATTGAAAGTATTTTAATTACATAATTATTATAATACATTTAAGAAAATAAAAAACTAACTTAAAATCATAGTGTTTAAAAAATTTCAGTGTTGGTATTAATTATTTCTGCAAATACTTGAATTAATTTTGAATGAAATTCGATATGAATTTAATTTAAACAAAAATTATATGAATCCATCCAATCTTAATGTTCAGGTAAGTAAAGTTGTTATTTTAATTTAATAACATTTTCTATTCCAAATTGAGATATTTTCTTGATTTAATAAAGAATTCCTTAAATAACAATTTAAAGTTCATTGTTATTTAATTTATATAAAGTATGTTCAAGTATAAAATCCTAAAAGGTTTTCAAAGATTATGATTCATTTTTTTTGATATCATCACATAATTCTTAGAGAAATTTTTATACTTTTTCAATATAAGCACTAAGTATTTTATCTTAAATGGATGAGTCTAATTATTTTAGAATTGTTTATGGATCAATTGAATAAATACAATCAAAATTAAGATTAGTATTTTTAATATTAAACATATCCTGTTGATTTTCACCAAGTACTTTGAGTATAATATTATATGCATTTCCTACACTTCTCCAAATAGGTAATGGAAATCTGTCTCCATTATGAATGAAAATATCAAATCCAATTATTTTTCCTAAGCTGAAAAGTCTCTCTTAATTAAATATAATTTTTGCTCTTTCTCCCTAAAAACAATAGAGTTAAAGTCCAGGAACATACTCAATCATTTCAAAATAGGCAACTTTTAATTTTTATTTAAGTCTATGTGATAAAACTTCATCATTTGAAGCTGCATATAAAATGTCATTCCTAACTTCTTACATTTCTAAATCACACCATTTTAAACATTTCATTTAAGTTGTTTTTATGTCAAGTGCTAATGCTAATTTATTAAGAAAAAGTTCCACCCCTACTTAACCTGATAGCTTAAGAACAATTGCACCTTATTCAGAATCTATAAATATCACTCCTCTAGAACCAGAGTCACTCATTTTAATTGATCTTATGTTCTTTAATTTTATGAATTCAAAATCTTAATAAGGTTTAGCTGCATAATCAAACTCTTATAATTATACTTAGGATTTATTTTCATTTTATTATTCTCTCTGTTATTCAGCCATTTCTTTAGATTTAATATGAATGTTTTTGATGTATTTATTTTATTTCATAATATATAATAGCTTATATTCATAATCTTATACTTTTATATTAAAATGAATTCTGTTCAATGCTGAAGAAAATTTATGGTTATTATAATTTAAATTATGGTTATTTTAAATTTGTATAATCAAATGAAAATAATTATTTTGTTAGATTTATCATAAAATTCTCATTCAATATCTATAATAATTCTGTTATATCTAATATGAATCAATAAAAATAAATTTCACAAAAGAATTATTTACAAAGATTAATTAGTAGTGTTATTAAGTTTATGTTTTTCACTAAAATTACTTTTAATATGCTCAATTCATATAAACATCAAAAAATACTGAAATTATATCTACCCATGCTTAATGTTTGAACTCTGATTCTATGCATTTTTTAATTTAATTAAAGATATTTTATTAAATATTTTAATTCTATTGCAAATTCTAATCATCTTAACATCAATTGCCATTTCTTCAATTTTAAAAAAATTTATATGCATGTATATCAAATTATTTTTCTCCCACCCCTTCGACAATAATACTATATTTAAAAGTTATTGGCATATCTTAAAAATTACTAATTAAGGTTCTACTTCTAATCACTTTGCTTTAGTGAGATTATTTGTAATAACATTAATAGTAAATTTTAATTGTCTGTTGATGTAATTAGAATTTACATGATATTTGATTTATGGATGAAACAACAAACTAGTTTAAATTTGAAATTCTGTATTTCTAGATATATATTCTCATCAAAGGATTATTTTCTTTGATAAATTCTAATTTATTAATTTCATCAAATTTGAGAAATTAATAATTTATAATTAAATTAATTTCAACTAGTAATTTATGAAATAAAAATTTCTATCAACATTAGATTTAATTCCTAAAATCATTAAATTAAATAACCCTATTTTATAAATGATAAAAATCACAATATTATCCTTTTTTAATTTTCAATTTAAAAATTTTTTTAAAATAATTCTATAAATAATCTCGGATGTGAATATTAGGTTGATTACGAACTTAACTTATGAAAATAAATAATATTTTATATATATATATACATCATTAATGGGAGAAATAATTTAAATGAATTTTGGAGACATCGGAAATAATATTGGTCATTAATACTTAGAGAAATTGATAGATGATCATTATCTCAATGATAAAAGTAATTCGTTGAGTAATCAGTATACATAAAAAATACATGTATCATTTGAGGAGTAAAGGAACCAATAATACTAGTTTAGAGGTATATTTGATAATTCAAGTGATTGTATAACTATTAAATATATTAAAGAATTTACTAATAAACTATTGACTTCTCCGGAATGCCAATATATCAATAATGATTTATTATTATCTAAAAGAAATAGAAATATATCAGGGGCATTTTCAAATGGTTAAAACTATTATAAAGACTAAGTATAAGATGAACTTTTTGAAAAATTGAATCGACATATAGAAAGATGTGATAAATTTTTCGGATGCAATTTCATTCATTCTACTTATGATAATTCATCAGGACAATCATCTCATGCCATCAATTAATTTCGTGAGAGATTTCCAAGTAAAATGTGTAGTTCCTTTTCATTAATTCCAAATATTGTAAGTACAAACACAATTGAAATATACAATATGACTTTTTCATTAAATCACTTAATTGAGAATTCTGATATAGTTATGCTATTTGATTATGGAGCATTGGAAAAAAAACTGTAAAAACTAAATTAGTTATGTACTTTTGAAAATAACAATAACATTATAGCTGAATGTATATTATAAATGAATTGTTCTTAACGTTTTCCAGGACATTTGAATGGAGATTTTAAAAAGATTGCAGTTAATTTAACTCCATTTCCACGTCAACATTTTTTTACATGTGCATTTGCACCATTTAATACTAATTCTGATTGGATTTCTTAATTATAACATTTAAGTATACCTGAAAACACATATCTAACATATCACAATATAACAAGAAATTAATATTTTGCTCAATCATTAATTACTAGATGTAGTACAAATAATATGGATTTTCATTAAGTTTTTTCAAATTTTGTAAATAAAGTAGAATGGATTGCTGATGGAGGTGTTCATATAAATTGTAAAGTTGAAAATAGAAATCTAGGAAAAACAGTTATGCATGTAGGAAATCATAGGGATTTAGGGCAACTCTTTAAAACTCATGCTGAGATATTTACAGCAAATTTTAGAAGAAAAGCTTTCGTGCATTATTATCTTTCGGATGGTATGGATGAAATGGAATTCACAGAAGCTGAATCAAATCTAAATGACTTTGTTTCTGAGTATTAATAGTGTTGTTGTGGAACATTTAGTGATGATGAAGAATATTATGAATAATCAGAAGATTACAATTGAGAATTATTATAATTAATGTCTAAATTATAACGATTTGCAACTGTAGGAGGGTTAGAAGTTAAAATGAGTCATTATGCTCCAGATGGCACAGGTACAAAGTAGAATTTAATATACAGGACGTGATTCTTATGTAACTTTACAAAATGGTGGTATTTGGAAAGAAATTTAAATTCAATGTACCCATCCAGAAATAGGAACATTTAGTAAATAAAAATCATGGAAGCCCCCTGCACCTATGATGATACCTAAATTTAGACATTATTAAAGTGATGGTTCTGGTAGAGATAATTATGTTATGTAAATTAAAAATATAATTTCTTAGTGCTGATGAAGGAGGATTAGCTCCTTCTTCAAAATTATTTTAAAGAAAAAGAAACTTTTTTACATCATTAAGAGATTATGAAACTTGTCCACCTATCTAATAGTAAGATTGTTTTCGATTGGCATAAACTCCAAGTGCATAATCCTTTAAATAATACTTAAAAACATAAAAAATTGCTCATCATTAAAGCAATTTAATTAAAAGGCTCAATACACCTAAAATATAGGAAGATCCATACAAGAAAATTAGATAACTCTCTACTCCTATTTATAGAAAATGATTATTTTATAAGTCTTTATCTAGTTATTTATTAATAAGATACAATTCATAAATACACTCTCATAATATTATATTTGATAAATCATACTGTTATTATTAAGGCTATGGATCATTTAATCCTATCAAATCAATTGTTTCTTATTATGGATTTAGAGGGAATTATTATTAAGATTATACTTATGTACTTTAAATTCCAAATTGTTATTAACTATTTCCAATCCAAAAGTTAGTGGATGGTTGAGTTGATTAATGAGATTATTCAGTATAATTGGTAGTCATATCCCAAGCACTATTTGCTGGAGATGTAGAAAATGAATTAATTTACATTTGTTGAACTTATTATTATTGTTATTATTATTATTATTGTTATTGTTATTATGGTTGATTAAATTAAGAATCCCATTAGAAAGGATTTGGACTTGGAGAATGAGATGTTGCTACAAATCCAAAATTATCAAAGGTTGAAAAATTTGTTTATTGTTGAGTCCATTAATTAGAATTGTCCCAAACATTATTAGAGCCAAAACCTTATTAGGGATTATTAAATTGAGCAAAAATATCTTATTACGATTTTGATTATTATTATTATTATTATTATTATTAATATCCGGAAAATGGTTGAAATTATTATTATTATTATTAACATTTTGATTGTTAATGTTAAACTTATTATTTTTAGACATATTGTTGTTAAGGTTATCTAATTTATTATTATTATTGTTGTTTAACTTAAGACTTTTCTGTTTAGATTTTTTTTTATAGATTCATTAATTCATCAATAGGAATGTCTCCATCAAATTTTTTGACTTTGAAACTATTTTTATTATATTATTCCATTTCTTATTCTAATTTATATTCCCTATTTTTGATTTCTATAGCTTATGCCTATAATATTATTGATAGTATTACATTCAATTATATATATGGTAATGAATGAAATTATACTAAAATTCTTTCAACATCAAAAATAGACGGTCTTAATTTAGGATCAGGAGTAAGCATAAGTCTGATAAAATCAATTAATTTATCTGAATATCTATGTTATCTAGGGATATTATAAGTAGCTGTAGAAATAGCAAGTTTAGAGCTTTCTTAGAATGGATGAATAAAAAAGCACAATGTATATAATACACATCCAAGCATCCAAATATCAGCTTTTTCTCCTACATTATATCTTAAAAAAAGATCAGCCATTTCTGGAGGTCTATACATTAATGTTGTATTCTTTTCCCATTCTTCTTCATAAATAACAAAATCAGATTGATTGATTTAACTATACGATTTATAAAATATAAATCTAACCTTAAATCCACTCTTTGAGTACTAGCAGATCCAAAATCACATAATTTACATCTTCCATTTTAAAATAATACATTCTCTATTTTTATATCTCTATGAGCCATAGGAGGTTGTAATGTATGTAATGATTTTATACCTTATGTAATTTCCTATTAGAAATTCTTATGATTATATATACTCTCATATAATTTAGAAGTTATTCTTCTTGGAATCTTGAATTTGGATCTTTAGCCATTAAATCAAATAAACTTCCACCACCACAAAATTCCATTAAAATCAAACATACTTATTGTCCTTTGTCTTATATGAATGTGCCTCCCATAAAATTAACTAAATTTGGATGTCTTGGTAATCGTTTCTTGTTAAAATTTGAATTTTATATACCATAATTTCTAATTCATTCCTTGCTACCTTAGTTCTCTCCTCTCCTTAACAGTAAGATTTTTTCAATGCAAAAACCTCCTTCGTATTCACATCTATAGCTTTCAGTATGTATCCATATCCTCCTTCAGATAATAACTTTTCTTCTTAAATTGTACGCCCATTTATGTTATATCTAGATAGCATATTAAAATTTATAATCATTCACATTCACTCCAATTAGATTATTAGAATCTCTCATTAAAATTTGAATAATTTCTATTACCTCCAGATCTAGCTGTATTTGTATAAAATCCTTTAGAACTAGTAGTAATATCAGTATTTCTAAATTCAACAAATTATTCATCATACTTCCTTAAATTTATCATAAATGTCTTCTAAGGTAATTGCATTTTAGCAGGTCTTTTTCCTTTGTACTTACTAGAACTCCCAATTGAAACATCGTCTGATAAATTGTTAAAACTTTTTGGAGAACATTCTTCACAAGAATAATTATGAAAATTCTCAAGTAAACGAAACTCATCTCTATCTTCTAAATATTGATTCATGGCTACTCCAATTCTTTCGTCTTTCATAATTACTAAATCTAATTTGATAACCATTTAGTATATAATTACCTTTTAATTTTCCTTTCTAATACTCATTTATCTAATTACCTTTACATAACATATATATTTTGTAAAATAACTTTCCTTCAATGCTATCTAACTGTTCCATTTATTAATATAATTATATTAATTATCTTCATGAACTACAATATTGATATATTATTGATTTATTTTATTGTTTAAAATGTAAGCAACTCTAATAAAATTACATAATTATTTTGAAGAGAAAGCAATAAATATATACTAAAAAAATTAATTAAATCAATTTATTAGTAAATTTTAATATATTTTAAGAGGCAAATTAAGAATTAAATAAGAAAGAAAAGATGAAACAAAAACTAATTGATAAAAACATTAAGAATATTGTAAAGAATTAATAATCATTATTTTTTGCCCTTAACCCAAATACCCTCTATAACTTATCCATTTGTTTCAATTAATTTTCCTTCTCCATGTTATCTTCCATTCTTCCAATTACCTATATATATCTAACCATTAGGCCATAATAATTCTCCTATTCCATCTTTCTTATCATTTTTAAATTCCCCTAATTAATTTTACAAATGATTACCATCATAAACCTTACCATCATAATTAAATATACCTTTTCCTTCCATTTTACCATTCACCCAATTACCTTTGTAAATGTTGCCATTGTACCAACGATATTCACCATAACCATGAAAATTCTCATTTAAGAATTCCCCCTCATAATGAGAAGAATCACTCCATTTAAATGTTCCCTTTTTAACTTTTTTACCTTTTTCAAAAAAACCTTCAAATTAGTTTCCATTTTCCCATATAATTTTGCCTTTTCCATCCTATATTGACCTTAACAATATACTGGAAGTCCATCTTTAATTTCACCATCGTAAATACCTCCATCTGGAAATATATAAGGAACTTAAGAATAACATGAGCCCATAATTAGATATAATAATCAATCGAATTAATATTATATTAAATCAAGTAGCCTTAGTTTGTTTTTATTAAATACTCCAAGATCTTCTTAATCAGCTGCTTCCATTAAATATGTTGCCAAATATTTAAGTTCTTAATCATTTTTATCATTATGCCATTCTAATATCGGAATACCATTGTCAATTTAAAATCCAAAAGAATGAGTAAGATTATCAACAATGAGCATATTCTTAATTTATTTATTTCCAATTATTCTTAAATCCTTTATATAAAAGCCGTTTTTAGTTTCTAAACAATTTTACCTTGATAAGATTCCTGAAATCCATAGTCCTTTTGGATCCAAGTATTTTACTATTGTATTAGCATAAGCACTTGATGAAGCTGTATATACATAAATAGTATAGAGTAGACTCATTTATTATAAAAACCATTAACAAAATGGACGAACATTTAAATATATCTATATAAAATAACAATATAAATTACTCTTGCTTCTTCACCCTAATCACTTACTGCCAATATGCAAGTTTAATATATTTCTCTTGATGAACAACTGTGAATCAATGTTTCATCTAAATCTAAGAGTAACGTTTTTGCTTTAGGGATTCGAGCTTCAGGTAAAACTTACATTTTGGTCTTAATAAAATTATTACTAGGTCCTTTAAGACATCTAGTTGAATAGATTAATCCTCTTTAAGTTAGTTGTAAGAATTTCTTAAATGTACCTTCTCCTATAGATGGTCCATAAATAAGATGTCGAAACGGATGATTAAACATTTTACATTAAATATTTTGTTTAGCTTTAGATAATTCTATATCAGAATTAACATCCCTCTATATTTTGCTATCATATATTATTATATCTTACACTTATTAAATCTACTGATTATTATACTCTTTCATCCTCTATTGAATTTTATTTGCTTAGTTTTTTATATTGTAAGGATCTTCATTATTACTTTAAACTTTCTATGTCTATATATCCTCATCTCTCTCTTCTTCAGCACCTTCTATATCACCTTCTATTCCACTTATTATATTTCTAAATTTTGACGGTTTTTAACCTACAATAAAAAATTATTTTACTTGTTGGTCCCTTCTAACGATTCTTTGGAGAATCCTTATCTGAATCATCAGTTTAATACCCTGTAAGGTTTTAACTAAAATGTGACATTTTACTAGGTGCTTTACAGATTTATTTTAAACAAACCTCTTCCTTCTATTTTGTATCTGTCTATTCATCCTCTGAATAAAACTATTTATCATTATTCAAATGTTATAAATGTTAGACTGAGGTACTGGCTCTAAATTTATATATATTATCCATTTTATTAATTTTTATTATGGATTCTAAATTTATTGAAGAATTTGATCACTTGAATAATGATTAGAAAAATCAAATGCTCATTAATCTTAAATTATATATCAATCAATTACAAACATAAATTCAAGAATTAGAAAAAAGTGCTATTGATATAATCATTGAAAAAGATGAAAAAATTCTATAGTTAGAAAATATTCTTAATTAGTATTCACCTTCAAAACAATATAATAAAGATGATGAAATTCTTTAATTGAAAGCGTATTGAAGAATTATACTAAAAAATTGATGCTTCTTAAACTCAACATTTCGAAGAATTAAAAGAAATGGATCACAAATGGAATTCTTATTTATTAGATTAAATTCGTTTGAGTAATCTAGATGAATAATAAGAAAAAATTGAAATACTAGAATCATTACATAATCTTGAATAAAAGAATTAGAAGTATGATCAAGAAGTATTCTTTAAGGTAAATTATAGTTAAAAATCAGAGAAAATTAAGCTATGTTTGATAAGAATACTATTAATTCACTCATAAATAAAATTTAATAATTTTAAGATTAATCTTAAGACCTTAATTAATAATTAATCAAAATGCAAAGAGAATATAATTTATTAAATGATCATTTATAATTTGATAAAAATGCATTTGAAATCAAAATCAATGTATATAATATTTCTTATCTAAGAAATTAAATATCATTTAAAGGTAATAGGATAAACAAATATAAAATCTAAAGATCTAAAATAGCAGGTTCATTTAAATTAACAAAGAGTTGTTAAACTAAATAAATGAATTAGGAGATTAAATAGAAAGATAAACTGAAATCAAAGATCAAACAAAATCAGAAAATTATCTCTTATAATAAACAGCAAATACTATAGATTAAATACAGAAAGAAGAGGTTAATATCACAGCTTTTGAAATTTCAGAAGAAAGTTATTGTGATGAAAAAGATCAAACGACAAATTTGAGATAAATATTAGATTAAAAATCAGAATTGCTTATTCAATATGAAGAATGCATTAAATAATCTACAAAATAGATAAAAGAACAACGAGCCTAATTATAATTATTACAATATTAACTTAAATAAATAAGACAATATCAATTCAATTAGAAAAAACTTAAAGAGTATATCTAAGTTTTAGAAAGTGATTTCTTAGTTTCCAAATAGTTATTAGCAGAAAAAGCAGATAGATATCAAGAATAAGTGATCTTCTTGACTTAAGAGAATTACAATCTAAAATAAAAAAATTAAATGCTTTCAATAAAGGTATCATAAAAAATTAAATCGAAATATCAATTGACTTAATCAATCAATGTATAAATTACTTTTTATATTATTTATAAATAAATAAATTTAATATTAAATGTTAATACGAAAATTATTATTTCAAGTAATCGTATTTTTCAATTTGCCTTCTTTTTAGGCTTCATATTACTCGTATCATATTAGCTATTCTATATATCATATTCTAAAGCATCTTAAAGTGATTATAATAATTAACTGTCCTCATCCTCTTCTACTTATTATTTTAATGTCTATTATTTTGCTAAAGTAATTGCATGTTTTGTATTAAACTTCATCAAAACTAAAGGATTGTTTTATTATTATTAAGATTTTTAAATATCATTCTTATTAGAAAATGTTCGAATTATTTCCAGTTTTATTTCACTTTAAACTTTTAGGTATTATTTTTTTAACTCTTCACTTATTATCATTTCTTCATCCTATATAACTTCTGTATATATTTTCTAAGCCTTTGATTTTTTTCCTAGATTTTATAATATATGATAAGTTCGACAACATAATTCAAGGCTTTTTTACAAAATTGATGCATTTTTCAGTTAATTTATATTGAACTCGAAAAGATCCTTCAATGAAAGCTGTAAAAATTGTTAGAAATTATTGAGAACTTCACTAGGGTATTTTTTGTCTAACTGATAAATTGGTTCTTCTAATTCCTTTAAACTAAAAATGTCAAATCAATTCATACTCAACCATAAAAAAAGTGAATTTATTACTGATACAATTTGTGACTTATCTTTAAATCTTATTTTATTTTAGATTTTGGAGATCAAATCGTATTCTTTTTATAAAGCTAGCTCAGACATTTCTTCCCCTATGAGATACTATTTAATTGCATCATCATCTGTAATTAAGTTTTCTTAGCTACAATCATTCTCTTTTTTTTCCACTTATTCTTAAACATCTTAATTCAATTATTTTGGGTCTTATATTATCTCTTCTTATTTTAAGGAAACTGGTTATTTTTAGCCAGAATTTAGGTTCGTTTCAAGTTCATTTTAAATTTTTTTTGGTTAAACATTTTTCTTGTTTTATTTTGTTTAACTTGAGCAAGTACCCATTTTTATAAATAAAATATTATTGTAAATCTAATCAAATAATGAACAAAATTTGTTTTATAATAAGACAACTTCAAAAACTTATAAGTATGCAAACTTTTATTAATAAAAAGTATAATTATACTTAAAATTCTCCAATCTTTATGTTTAAAAGAAAAAAATGAATACAAAAATTATATATATAAATAATTTTTCATATTAAATAAAAAATTTATCTTAATTTTTTTATTATCTATTCAAATACTTATAAATAATAGTTATAGCAAAATATTAAAAGAAGAATATAAATTTTTTTTTATTAAATAAAATTTAAAAAGTTTGTATAAAATGGTTTTTTCATATTAGATATTTATGTTAATAAGATGAAAGAATAGCTAATGTTAAAGTTAATATAGATACATAGTTTAATGATTTGTGATTTAAAAAATATGATTAATAATTAAATTTTGTATGTTAACTTTTGAGATATCTTAGTTATTAGTGTTAGAAATTTTGTATAATAAAGAAAATGATATTTGAAAATGATATTGAAAATGTTTTGAATATTATTCACAATTAGATAAAATAAATGTAAAAACATTGTGACTTAATACTAAGTGAAAGAGGAACTCTGTGGTTAGGAGATTGTGAATCAGCACTTGATGAAGTATAATATTAGATAATTATTAGGAGTTCTTAAAAAGTAAAGGAATAAGAACTGTCATAACAGTGGCAGGAGGATTAAAATTAAAACTTAATGGAATAGTTCATCATATAATAGAAATATTAGATAGTGAGACAGCAAATATATAACAATATTTTAAAATAGCAAATGAATGGATAGAGAGAGGATTTAATATTGGTGGTGTTTTAAGTAATAGAAATAAATTAAAAGAAGCAAAGTTCATTGTATGGCAGGTATCTCCCGTTCAGCAGCTATAGTAATAAGTTACGTTATGGAAAAAAGGAAGATGAATTATTATCAGGCTTTGAGTTTTGTGAAATCAAAAAGACCTTAAATTAACCCAAATAAGGGTTTTACTAATTAATTATTAGCTTATAGTGCCAAAGTTTCTTAGCCCCTATTGTCTAAAAATTCAAGAACTAATCATTTTGAACAAAATTAAGACTATTATGTTAGCAATTATTATGCTCCAATTAATCGAAAGGGATCAGCTGGAAATTTATAATAAAACATGCTCTTTTATAAATCGATAACTAAGTCTTTATCTTAGAGTAAGAATAAAAATAAATGAGCTTATAATATACATTTCAACTATTAAAAATGAATCTTCTTTGAGTATGGATATTCACACACTTAGGAGACTTTTTTGGTGTTAAATCTAAATTTTTGGATAATGTTAATTATGATCTGATAATCAAAGAGGGAAGCGTTCTCTATTTAGGTGATTAATATTAAATAGGATAGTTATAGCATTCCATATATTTACGATTAAGGGGAACTATTTCAAATAATGGATTTTTAATAGTTAAATTCTTAGGACTTTAAGTTTAAAGCATTTTGAGTAATTAATTTTGTAATTTATTTCTTTTTATGGAATGTGTTGGAGATGATGAATCTAATTTCTGTTTGCTACTTATGTATTGAGAATTTGGAGATATTTTTGATCTCATAAATTAATTAAATGAGAAAATAATAATAAGAAGAAACAGAAGAAGATTAAGCATCTTTATTACCTATAAAAAATCATATAAAACGAATTGAAGTAGATATTTTGATTTAGTTCAATATTAGGAAATGTTATTGTAATTAAATAATGATCTTGTAAGTGATGCTAAGGATATTGATAAAAATCGATAAGATATACGCAATTTAGATGTAGCTTAAAATAAAGAAAGAACAGAATTACATAATTCATTACTTGATCATTGTCATAAAATTGTAACTGATATGCGAGAATTAAATTAACAATCAAAAAGTGAAACATATAATCTTAAATAATAAGTAATCATATATTAATTACAAAGCTTTCATGCCTAAATCAAGATAAGATAAGATTATAATAAAATTTAATTGTACTTGAAAATAAAGTTATAGAAACTGATAAAGACATTGGCTTTAAGCGTAGAAATTAATAATTAAATAAAAAAAAATGAATTAAGAGTTATAGTCATAGTTAATCAAAATGCTCTGATGTTGTTCTTATTAAACCAACTTAAAAATCCCTTACTTCATCTTTTTTCTTTTCATCATTAATAAATTCTTAGGAACTCATCAAAGATCGATCATCCAAATTAATATTTCTAATTTAATCCTAAGGAACATAATGAACATGTGTATCCCAATTATTCCAACGTATTTTCAAAGGACTAGAAACTTTCTCTTCTTAAATTGGAACAATCAAAGGATTTTTACTCCTTGGTAAATATTATTTCTAATTTGATATTTCTGATGATATCAACATTCCATCACCTTTTCTAATATCTACTATATCACAATCATCAAAACTCTTTGTTGACTTTTTCTATTATCTTTTCTAAAGCCAAGGATGTAAAACAAAGTCTTTTTATAAATTATTTTTTACAAACCTTCTGCTGATAATCTTTTTTCTGGATCCTTTTTTAAAAGTCTCTTTAAAAGATCTTATTCTAATGGATTCAGTTTTTTAAATGCAACTGTGTTTTTTACATTTATTTCTGAATCTCGTATCATCTCTATTGTATCTAATACTGTTTCCTATTAAAATGGTAACTATCCAACCAATAATTAATATAAAATAATACCTATTGACCATATATCAACTTTTAATATATTTATTATTCATACCTTTTTCATTATAACCACCTCCTAAAAATATTTCAGGAGCTTAATAAAATAATGAACCAGTTCTTGTCCACATATCTATTTTTTTAGTTATCTTTCCTTTCACTACAAATCTTTTTGAAACACCAAAATCTATTAATTTCAATCCTAATGTATCTCCAATTAGAATATTGTCTGGTTTTAAATCTCTATGACAGATTCCTCTTTAGTGCAACTATTTTATTGATTAAGCTAAATTTAAAGCAATTATTTAAATATTTTCCAAACTTAACTTTCCCATTCTTTATTCTAAACTCTAATATGGACAATATTCCATAACAAAATGATGCTCTTCTCTCTTTGAATTTATAAATAGATCTAATGCTTTAACAACACAATTCAGATCATTCAATGCTCTATTTATTTAAAATGTTTCTCTAATTGTATTAATTATTTCTGTGTCTCCAGTTCTAAAGATTTTAACGGCATAGGTGGTTCTTTCTTAAAGATTCTAATTGTTTTGATCTCTCTTGTAACATTTCTTTACAATCCCATGAGCTCCTTCACCTAAAGATAAATATTCGTATAACCGATCTGATGATGGCCATATTCATAAATATCACTAAAATGTCTAAATTGTTAGTTTATGCTTTTTGGTTGATTATTTTGTATTGGAGGAGACGAGTTTTAAGGTGGAACATTTTATTTCAAATTCCTTCTGTTTTTACAAAATAGTGTATTCTTTAAAGAAGCTCTAATAGTCAACTAATTTTGCCGATTCATTTAAATATATTAAATAAATAAATATTTTCTAAGCCAAAAACTATCTGAATATTTGAAAACTATCTTAATTCAAGAACTTTCTACACAATCCCAAAATACATTATAATTAATTATTTCATTCATTTTATTTTTAGATTTAATTCAATTATTATTCTTCTTCACTCTCTTTTAATTATTCCTCATATTATATTATATTTTCTAAATTTATGGTTTCAATTATTGGTTATAATTATTTTTTTTTACAATCTTCTAAATAATCTTTAAAAATTCTAAATTAAATTATAGTTTAAAAAATTTCTGTTCTCTTTTTCAACAATGGACTAATATTCATATCATCAAAGTCAATAAATTAAAATTGCATATACTCTTGAATCAATTAAGAATATTAACTTTTTATTGTTTCAAAAAGTTTTATAGATTTATATTCACTAAATGCTTAAATTTATTATACCTATATGCATTAAAATTTATACTTAATATTTATAACTTCCAAATAGTTACTTTTATTTTAAGGGTGAAACATTATTATTTTTATTATTTTAACACTCTATTAATTCTATAATCTCTTGCTGTAACAATATTTTATATCCATTCCATAATTCATCATCAGTTTTTAATTATTTTAATTCCTACATTATTTTTCTACTATAAAAGCTTATTTATTATTAGATTAAAAATGAAGATTTAAGAGATTTCTTATTTTTAATATAATCATTTAATAATTTCAGCAATTCTATCATATCATTTTCATCATCAAATTTTTAAATAATTTATTTAACGCTCTAAGGAAATGAATTTATATCCTGAAAATAAGATTATTATGCCTAATAACATTGTTTTGATAAAAAATTATAGAAAATTTAGCTAAATCTATTTGAATGACAATTACATATGTAATCATAAAATAAATTAAATTTTAGATTATAATATGTTTTTTATAACTCTCCAAGAAATAAACTATGGATGCAAATCTTAAAATCTTTGATATTCATTTTCAATTCATAGAGTATTTTTTAATATGACTCCAAAAAAATTTTAAAAGTATTAACCACTGTTATTTCATCCATATCCATATCATATTATTAATACAGAATACCCAAACCTGGGTTTACAACAACTAAACAAAATCTTTTTAATTCAAAAGAATTGATTTAAGGTTAAATTGCAACATTTAAGCTTTTTATTTTATTATACAATGATAATTTTCTTTGGTATTCATTTTCATTCATCAAAAAACAAAGAGATCTAAAGAATAACTCTTCACTTAATATTCCATATACATCAAAGTAATTTCTACCATATGTATAAAATTCTTCCACTTCTCCATTTCCATCTCTTATGCCTCCCAATAAAAAGTATAAAATTCCACTTAATAGATATTTTTTTTGTGATCTTTCAGTTGGGCAAATTGTACAATTTTTTTTTTCGAATTCCATTTTTTCAAGATTACAAATGACAGTATGAGGGCAAATGAATTTCTATTTTAAATTTTCAGGCTCATGTAGCGTATTATCACGTAGTGAATTAAACAAATAGAAAATTTAATCTATTTAAAGTGTCGATAGCTCAGTAAAATTGACTAATTTTTACATCTATATGTAATTAATAATTAAAAAAATTAAAAAATTAAATGGAAAAAAATACCAATTTTCAAAAGCAGCAATTGTACAGATTGAATTATTTTCTAAATTATTAATTATCTTGATCATTAATAGCTCTTATTTAAAAAAATTATTAAAATAGATTCCATTTTTTCTAATATAATGAAAATTGATTTTAATTTTCAATAATTGAGGATAGTTATTCTTCTATTTCTATTCTTAAATTGATCTTAATTTATTTTTGTAATTATTCAGAATTTGCCTTAACAAAAAAGTATTCTTTATCAAAACTTTGTATTAGACAAAAGAAAATTAAATTTAATTTAAAATTCTATTTTCTAAAAGTTCCATTGCTTCTTGCGAATATTGAATTTTAAATAACTCCAAAAGTAATTTTTTCTAAAATATTTCTTAGATTATTATTCAAAGGATAACATAGAGGCTTGGTTCTCTAGAATCTTCAATTATTTTTGATAGTTATTATTGAAAACTGCAAATTTTTTCTAAAAAATTTCTTTTTATTATTAAAAGGTACTGATAACAAATAGGGGTTTGTTTAAAAGTTATTTATTAAAAATTAATGATAGCTATCGTAATTTTAATAAATAGATATATTGTGATAGCATGATTGAGATAGTGAATTTTCCATACTTATTTACTTTTGACTATATTGAAGATCAATTAAAAATTGTTAAAAAATTCCTTTGAAACTTTCAGTAGAAGAACCTAAACAAGGATCATAATAATTTATAATCTTGAAACTTCAAATTTATGTAATTATAAAGGTTGGTTCATTTGGGGCATCCTCTATATATTATCTTGCAAATTATAATTTTATAATACTCTCTGAAATTTCTTATCTCAAACTTTTAGTTATATATGTGTTTATCGATTAGCTGGCTTATAAATTATTAAAGATTCGCTCTTATTTAGAAAGAATGAGGGCCAATAAAGATATTAGAAATTTTGATAAATTAATTAGTCTTAAAATTAAATTCCAATAATTTTTTTTCAATAGACAAGTTACTTACTTCCAAATAATTCAAAAATATTTCCTAATCCATAATTAATTGAAATTTTTGTTATTTTTGAGAAGACTCAAAAAATATTTTATATTTCATTATTTATATAACAGCCTTATTGTGATATGAAGAATCGTTATCAAGTATGTAAATTTTTATATGTGATTTTGATTGATATATCATTTTGTTTTATTTTAGGTTTCCTTGCTATATTTCTTTTTCAAATATGTTAAGGATTCTTAAGTGCCCTTAGATGTAGCATTAAAAACTCTTGTCCAATAATTAGGTTCATCATCTTGCTTCATTTCATTTTTGACAGGAACATAAATTTCCTTATGAAATATTTTGTGAGTTTCCTCATCTACATTGTAGGTTAAATAAAACCCTACACTCATACCTGCTAATAAGTTTAAAATTGAGCTTGCCATAAAATAATTTATTATTAAAATGAGCAATAAAAGACTAAGCAATTCTTCTCAATAATAGCAACAATAAAAAAAACCAAGTTTCAATGATCAACCAGTTATAATACCTAACAAAGAAGACGATAAAAAAAGTTTGAATGGTAGTTAAATAAATGAATCACAGGATGGAGTTTAAAAATAATAATAATAACAATCCAAGTTTGAGCTCCCTTAAATCCCTAAATTTTAAAGTTTACCTTTAAGAGACTATTTTGACAATAATTTAAGTGCAATATTATTGGAAGGTTTAAAAGAGATTGGAAGATAAAGGTAATTATTTTGAAATTATTATAGACCTGAAAATCCAACTAAATTTTTAGGAGAATATCTGCTTTCATAGGATAAATAAAAATGAATATATTCATAAAACAATAACTTTAAAAATATTTTATAAATATATATTTGTTAAATCATTTTTTCTTGGTTGTTTTTTTATTATCCTATTTTTATTGTTCTTTTGGCTATTCTTTATTTGTTTCATTTGTTTTATTTTATTATTATTACTACAATTATTATTATTATTCCTATTACTTTTATTATTATTATTATTATTCCTATTACTTTTATTATTATTCTTATTATTTTTATTAATCTTTTTATTCTTCTAATTTTAAATCTTTTAATATAGATTAATCATTTTAATTCTATTTCTTTGTGTCCTTTTTCTAAATCTGAACTGATCCCTTTTTATTATTATTATTATTTTATTATTGTTATTATCCTTATTGTTATTATTAATTTTATGATTATGGTTATACAATTTATTCAGGCTCTTATTTTTAAACTTTAATTTCTTATTTAGATGGAGATGAAGATATTTCATGTTACTTTTTTTATCCTTTGGGTGGAGATATGTCAACTTTATCTATTTGTTGGTTTTTCAAATCCAAACTCTATTTTCCTTGACTTTGTCTTTAAATAGGTTCTTAAGAAAGAGATTAATTATGTTATTCTTTTCTTTTTTATTCTTCCCTAAATGCCAATTCATACTTTGAAACTTCTTCTAAATTCTTTTGTTCTTTATCCTGCATCTTTTTAACAAACTTTTCTAAAATGAATTCTATTATTACCATGTGCATCTTTAGCAGCTTATTGAGCTTTAATTTATATATTCTAGTTTTTTAATTTTTTTTCATATTTCAAAATTGTTTATGCCGAAAATTCATACACATTTCCTGTTGGTAATCCTTTTTTGCATAATTATCTAAGTAAATCTAACTTAAGTATATAGATTACATTCATATGCTTCTTACAAACCTGATGCTTGGATAACATTTTATTATTTCTCATTTTGTAATTATTTAGACATGTAATAAATTATTTATAATTCCAAATTGACATAAAGTTAATTTAAACAACAATGCTCAAATAATAATATGTATGTAATTTTTTAGTAACTTTTCATAATCAAAGTGAGAATTTCATTTTAAATAATTACAATTCTTATTTTTTGACTAAACCTAAATGATTTATCTACACGTTAATAAATGTAATTGTTTACAGTCTTACAGAATTAACTTGTATATATATATTAAATTAACCTATATAATCATCTAAGTGTTCAATAAAAATTGAAAAAAAGGAAATAAAAATAAATCGATAACGTATGAAAATAAAATTGTGAATTTATAGAAATTATAATAAACCATCTTAATTAAATAATAATTAATATAAATATTTTTTGTATCTTCAAGAGGTTTCTAAATTTATATTTATAAAGATATCAATAATAAATATATAAGCAATATTGCTTATATTAAAAATTTAAAACCATTAATTTTAAAAAATAATTTAAAAATATTGATAAAGATCAGCTTCATTTATGTTTTGAATATTTCTTATTATACTTTTTCTAATAGAATATTAAATTCTTTATAAGCCAAATAAAAATCTATTATAAAAAAGTAATTTAAACTATAATCTATAATGGGAAATTTAACACACAAAGCAGAATATAATAATTTTAGAAGAATAAAAAAATATAAGAAAGATTAAATTATTATTTCAGCTAAAAGAGTTGGGAGATACATAAAAGGATCTTCAAGAGACTCTGGATAAAGTATAATTAAACATGAATGGATTAAAGTTGAGACTGATGAGGGGGATACTTATGTAATTCATCATGAAGGTTATGGCAAAGATATTAAAACTGTTTCACCTTCTGTTTTGAGGGGTGAAGGATATGAAGAACAACCTATAAAAGTTCGAAAATATATCACCATTGGAGAAGCTGAAAAGATAGGAGGTAAAGGTAGGGGTTATTTTGGTAATAAAACTTGTATTGGAATGGCTAATAGGATTTAAGAATGTTTAGAGGGTTTTTGAAGATATTTAATGTTTAAAAATTATTATTTTCTAATTTTAATTTTATTTTGATAACATTGAAATTTTGATAATGCAAGAATTAAAATAATAATTTAAAAATTAAAAATCGAAAGCTAATATATGGATAATAAATAAAACTACCTTTCTGAATTAATTTGCAGAAACTATAAGAAATAAAACCAAATTATTTTACTTCTATTTAATTTATATTATAAGAGAATTAGAAAAAATAAAACTAAAAATACTTTTAAGGATTATTATATTTTTCATATTTTGAAGATTCAAAATTAAAAAAAATTAATTATCTGAGAATTTATTATATCAAATTTATGGATAAAAATAAGTTTAATTTCTAATAGAGATTTAATAGGAAAGAACATAATTTTTTGTTAAAAACAAAAAGAAACCTGTAAAGTAAATGATAACGTTTTACTCAAGAACATTTTCAATGATGAGTAGAATATTAAAAAGTTGTATTTATTTCGAATAGGGGTAAAATTTAAATTATAATTTATGTGTTTACATCTATAAGCAAAATATGGAATAAAAATAGATGACTTAAAAAAAAAATTGTTGGAAATTCGCATAAGTAGAATCAAAAACAATAGATGAAAATGAATGATTTAATAGGAAAAAGTCTTAAAATATATTTTATTGCGTTTTAGATCTCATATAAAATATCAAAAGTCTTTTTCCCATCCTTAATCTCCTTAATTTTAACCATCCATTTATCTGACAGCTTATTCTTACTTTAAAATTAGTAAATAATTAGAATAAATACTTTGATTTCTTCTTCAATCATTTTACCATTTGATTCTAGAGATTTGATTTCTAATTCTGGTAATAATTTATCTGCAGGTGGTAAATAAGGTGTTTTTATTTCTTTTTCTAATAATTTTTCCTATAGATGTAATAGCATATTACCCAATCAAAGTTTTCAAACCAAGGATTTCCTTTAAGTGAAGCATAAGAACCTCCTAATCTTACTTCAGGAACTCGGGAAAGTAATCTTATATATTAGATTAAAATACTAATCCATAAGTTTTTTGGCTTTTTTATCTTTCAAATAATTTGGGTATGTAATATCTTTTTTAATGATTTCTTCATAAATTTCATAAGGATCTTCTGCTTCCTCTCCAAATGGAACCATTCCACACATAAACTCATATAAACATATACCAATAGACCACAAATCCACTAAGCAATTATATCCTTTACCACATATTATTTCAGGAGCCATATCTAAAATATAATGTAAATAATTAACAATGCGGAGTTCCTATAATTGTATATGTACGAATGATTCCTTATTTGCCTTTTATTATTTTAGCTGTTCCCAAATCAATTAATTTAAGAAATCCTTTATCATCAACCATAAAGTTTTCTGGTTTAATATCTCTGTAAATTATATTTTAATGATGTAGGTATTCAGTTATCAAAATCATTGAAGCTACATAAAATTAAGAATCATAAGTTGACAACAAACCTTTAAATTATTAAAAAAATAAATTATACCAATATCTCTGATTACATCAAATAATTCCATTCCTCGAACATATTCAAGAAGGAAATAAACATCTAAAGCATCTTTAAATGTTTTCATAAAGGAAATAATAAATGGAAAATTCACTATTTCAAGTACTTGCTTCTCTTATTGTAGGTACATAAAAATAACATTAAATATTACTTCTCTAAAGTTTATTCATTAATTTGATTTTTATTAAAAGCCTTTAAAACATATAATTATTGATTATATCTTGCTTTAACTAAATAAACTGGACCAAATTGTCCATATGCAATAGTTTTAATATGTAATAATTCAGACTTCTTAATATTTTATGCTTCTTTCTTTTTAGTTTAATCTGATTTCTATAATTTCTTTTCTAATATTTTTTCATTTTTTTTAATCACTTCTTCTAATTCTCCTCCAATACAATCTATAAAATTATCTGCTGTAATTTCAGCTATAACTCCATCTGTTTCCATAACAATATCATCATCCAAACTATATAGAATATTATTTTAATATTACATTTTTGCTTTGTTTGTTTATAAGAAGTATTCTTCTCCCCATGCTTATGCTTTTGTAGCTACTGTAATACCAGATTTGCTCTTTTTTAAACTACCTTCAATAATCACAATAATTTTTTAATTTGCTTATGTTCCTTTTTTCAATATAACATCTCCTGCTTTACATGATGATATTTTCATCACATCCAACACTTTATCTATTTAGGCTTTTGTTAATTTGCTTAATAAAGCATTTTTTTCAAAAGCCCATTTTTATAGATTTCTAAATGTAACAACATGAACTTAATCTCCTAAAATTTTAGTTAGTGAATCTCTTCCCAAAGCCAAACATTTAACATCATCTTCTGCTCTAACTGTCATTTATCTAACAGTATTATAATATAAAGCTTATTCACCAAATGAATCACCTTTGTATAATTTTCTTACTTCTTTGTTACCCTTCAATACAGATACTGTTCCCTTAATATTTCAATTTTAATTCATACTTCTTTTATTATATAAAATGATGATCCTGGATCTCCTTCATTTACTATTATTTGATTCTTATAGAACTTTTAGACAATTAAAACTGCTGCAATTGCATCTTTTTATTCATTTGTCAAATTATCTTTCATAGTTATATTTATTTACGAAAGAATCTAACTACTTCCATGAATTTTCTATTTTCTTCATATTCTTTTGTAATCATTTCTTCTACTGCCCTTCTAAAAGTATTTCTATCAATTCCCCAAAGATTGCAATTTTCAAAACATTTTACAGATGCAGATCGAGGTGCATTATATAATAATGCTAATTCACCAAATCCATCTCCTGTTTTCAATTCTCTTTTTGCCTAAGTTTTTTTCAAATGTATTAGTTTACTTTTTCATTTACAATTACTTCTAAGCTTCCTCTTTGTAAGATAAAAAAACAAGTTGCATGGTCTTATTATTTAAAGATATAGGTTCCTTATGCTGCTTCACAATAAAACATTTTGTTCACAATGTTCTCTCTAGAAAATATAAATCATATCAAGTTACAGTTCAGCCTCGCTTAAATTGTAAAAAACAAAATGATTTTTTAAACAAGTTAAAATAAAAGTAGTATCATTTAATGTTTTTTTCATATCAATTTTTTTGACATTCTCATGTATTACCTCACCTCCTTCATTTATATTATGTTTAAAATTTTAGAGTTTATCCTTAAAAATTAGTAAATTATTACATTCTCATCTCCTCCTGAACGTTAGTCCTCATCCCCGTCACAATGTATTTAATTATCAGAGTTGTTCTATGATCTTGGATCCATAAAATATAATTTAATATTTATATTTATAAAATTTAGATTAGAATTGAGCTTTCAATTTCTATCAATCCAAAAACGATTCTAAATATTTTAAGAATATCTATTTAATACTACTATTAAGCAATAAGTCTAGTCATCAATCAATATATTTCAAAGTATATTTTGAATTTCTTTTTATTACCTATTACAAGATATAAGAAAATTAATTAATTATTAAGAATTATAACAGTTTAACTAATTTTATTATCTGTTAAGCATATAAAAATGTAAAATATAATATGGAATTCTAATTACTTTTTTTATTAAATTATATTATAATATTAATCAATTTTTATATCAATAATTTATTATATGTTTTATGTCTCTAATTTAAAATTAATCAGCAATCTCAAGAAATCCCTTCTTTATTGCTTTTTTGTTTTGTTTGAATCGAGAATTATTTATTATTTTAAACTTTTTTGTTATTTTTGAATAGTTAAGTTCGTTATTTAATTTTAGTTCTAAGAAATTCCGAAGAAAAGTTTTAAAGGAATTTTTAATTTCTTGATTTTAGTAAAGAAAACTTATTTGAAAGAGCTTTTAAGTTTTAATCAATACTGAAGCTTCTTTTAATGCAAATTAGGCTAGATCAAGAATATAAGATTAAGGTTAATATATTGATGAATTAAAGATTTTTTATTTGAAGATATATAAATTATTATCACTCTAATTTATAGAAGATAGTAATTAAGTTTCAAAGCCAAGTAAAGTCATCCCTCCAGGATTGTTTATGTTTCCTTTTGTCTTCAAAATTCTCTATAATTGTTTTTGAATGAAGGGATTAAATGATGACAATTTAATTGTAAGATGAGGACATTGTCTCACGATTTTCTGAAGGTTCTTCGATTTCTGCGTCATCAAGGGTTTATTTTTATAATTTACTCAAAGGATTTGAGAAGTAGCACTTTTAGTAAAAATGAAATCGATCCATTAATATAAATAAATTAGTTGTTTTCAATTAATCCGAGAATTTAAAAATCTCCATTTTCTAATTAAGAATCTTAGAATATTTCTAGAAATAAAGTTTCTGGAAATTGTTTCAATGAAAAGTTTTATTAGAAGAACATCTAATATATTTAAACTTACAATACATTATTAAATTAATAATAATTATTATTAATGGAATTTTATACATAGAAATTAGAAGGGCAGTCAAATAAATTATTAATTGGATAATTCATTTAGGTAAAAATCCAAAATTGTTAATTTGAGGATAAACTTTGTAAAATCTACTTTGATTATGAATTATTGAATCCATTGAGTACATTGATGGATGATCTATCTGTAAAATAATCTTTGTCAGAATTTTTAAATAAAATTTAAGATGTAAATAGATGGATTATTTAGATTACAAGTTTAATCAATTTTGGAATGAAGCCTATAGGTTTATATTTTAAAGGTGAATTGCCAGAGTATTGTAGAAATAATAGCATATTAAAAAAGATTTGTAATGTTTTTAATATTGAAACATTATTATTATATTCTCAGAATTAGAAATTAGTATTCTCTTCAAAAGTAAATTGAAATTTTTATAATATAAGAATATAACAATAAATGCAGCAAATATTAAATTAATAGATTAATTTGATTTAAGGAGAATAAAGTTGAAAACAAGTTTTCGATATAATCTAGGATAAGAAATAAATGTTTAAAATGCATTGGAGAATTTACGTAGAAGTTATGAAAACTTAAACCTTTTATACGGAGATCAGATTTTGGTTTAATAACAATAATTGAGTGAACTAGCACGAGAGAAGGAAATAGTTTTAGGTTTTTTCAAAGCTTAGACATAATCAAATGAATGTGTTTAAAATGATGAAAGTAATATTCTTTAGGGGGATATTTATACTATAATTTTGGTTGATTCAAAAATAGCAATATCAGATTTGAAAATGGTATGAATAGAATTAAAACTATAGTTAATAGTGAATGATATATTGGATTCATTGAAAGTAAGATTATCTTAAGAATTGAATCCTCCATGTTTTTTGGCAAAAAGATTATTAATTACATTTAAAGAAAATGATTTAATACTATAAAATTACATAGATCATGAATTCAATAGAGATTAAGAAATAAATTACATAAATTAATATTTTGGATATTTGCAAATTAATGAAATAAAGGTTTTGGAAAGTAGATAAATAATAAAAATAGAATAGGCAAAAAGAGTAGAATAGCAATAGACAATAAAAGAATAAGTTGAAGTAAAGAAAGAAGAAGTAGCAGGATAATAAATTTAGTAGGAATAATAATAAGAAATGAAACAAGAGATGAAAGGGAAATTGAGACAAGAATATTTAATAATGATTGCAATATTTGGTGTACTGATAGCAATATATTTGAAGACATTATTTTGAATATTTATGTTGAAATATGTATTTTCAATAATCAACATTTAATGTCATAGCTACATCTTAGAAAATCCAGTGACTAATATGTTCTTGACTTCTTAAATCAGCTTCTAAAACTATCATTATGTCTTGATTATGTAACATTGACAGGTGTAGCAATGGTGCTAATCTTTCTCCACATAGCAGGTAAGTTTCTTTTTGCAATCTTCCCATGTGTCCTTAAAATTATTAACTTTATCACTAGCTTTCTCTCTTATTATACCAATTTACATAGCAATTCTAGTAATAATTGGATTTCTTATAATTTAACTGTAGAATGTATGATACTAAACTTCTCCATTCATTAATATTTAAGCCTCTTCTATTGATTTTACTATATCTTCAATCATTCCTGTTGGCTTTCTTACTTTCTTTTCAATATCTCTAAATTCATTAATAGCTTTAAGACAATTATCAATAAAATCAGGAATTCCCAAAGATGCTAAATTTAAACATTAATGTTTAGGTTCTAAAGCACTATTTAATTTCATAAACTTTTTTCTAATGGTTATAATGTATGAACTGCTTCATCATATTCTCTTAACATTATTTATAATCTATCAATATAACCATAAAATTCTTTCTCAAATTTTGATATATTAATAGCTCTCTAATAAATCTTAAACCCCATTTTTTTCAATTTCTTTGTTTCCTTTACAAAGTCTTAAATTCATCTTAAAAAAACATCGTATATCGACGATTCCAACTTCCTTTCTTCTTTTGGTTATTCATGTTTAGTCAATATTCTATTTTTTTAATAATTATATGGACTATTAAGAATAGGAGTTATTAATTATTTAACATCTTCAATTCTTTTATCTATTTCTTAAGCATTTCTTGTTAATTTTTTAAATTTGGACTCAAAAACACTTAGAATTTTCTGCCTGTATCAATTACCTTTCTCAATTCGTCCAATCTATTTGCCATGTATTCAATTCTCTCTTAAATTGTTCTGAAAGTAAAATCCCAATGATCAAGATTCTCTTCTTCAATAACTAATTTTGTTTTATGATCTTTCCATGACTTAAGTATTTCAGAACCTTTTAAAATTAAATTGATGCTTGTTTCCAATTACATTTCATAAATGTAAATCATCTCTTAATGTAAATAATTAAGATTCTACTTTTATCAGTCATTAATCCTGAAATCAATTGTAATAAGTTCTACGTCTTATCTGCTTCCTTATAATGTCGAGAAATAATCCAAACTTTCAAGAGTTATCAGAAATTAAACATTATCCTTTGTATCAGCTTAGCCTTTTGTTAATTCTGCAAATTAACAATTAAATTCAAGAACAGATGATTAATTATCTTCTAAATACGTTTATTAATCTCTATCTAACTTTTGCCACAATTGGTTTTACTAATATTAATAATAAATTGCAAATACAAGTTATTAATATAAAGTACTCAAATTTTCTGATCTCGATCTCTATAACATAATATCTGTTAGAGCAGAATTTTTTTCAGTTTTTCTGCTAGCTTCCTTCAATATAGTTTTCCTGATTGTTTATGACCATTTCCATATATAATCTTCATATTTTTCGATTAGTTCATAATTCTTTAGAGCAGTTTCATCATCGATTTAATCAACAACATCTGGCAGTTCAATAGTAATTGTGCCTGAGACCTGAAATTTTTATTTAAATAATTACTTGTTAACTTGAATGTTCTATTTGACTAGTAAACTTTTAGAGAGTGGTTCGCAATTCAACTTTTGATTCTAATGGGATATACACTCTCTCAACAAGCAACTATAAAATTTACAGTTGCTTGATGTTGGTTGGTTTTACACTTTAAAGTGCACTTTTTGAATTCATTAAAAATAATTATGATAAGATATTTAATTCTGATTGGTTAATAATTGCAGAGTAAATATATTATAAAATAGATAAAATTATACGATTCTTCAGCTACTAATAAATTATTGTTTTGTTTGAGGAGTTTTAATTTCAGATAGTTAAATTTATAATTTAAGTTCTTCCTCTTCCTCTGAGGATTAGGGATATTAAAATTTAAAGTAAGGTTCTATTTTAAATTAATATTCTTAGTTAGATTTAAAATCATTTGCTTCATTGATAAATTCAATAATTCTTTATAAAGTGGTGGATGGCCTATTAGAATTATGATCTCCTTCACAAATATCTAATTTTTTAGGCATTAAACAATTTTCATACAATTTAAGAGTATATTAATAAGAAATGAGAGTATCAGATTTGCCAGCAACAAAAAAGAACTTTTTATTAGGAATAATTTATTTTAATTTATCAATGGGATTAAGTAGATTGATATCAAATTAAGCTTGATTTATTATTTTTCTTCTTAAAATGGGAATAGCTAGATATAATATGAAAGAAAAAACTCCAAATTATCTATTCCCTATATCTTACAATAATTATCTAAATTCTGAAAAAGCACTATCTATGATATAAGTTCTAATTTTTTAATAATCAGTTAAGAGGAGTGCAGTAACTGCTCCCATACTTCTACCCCATAACATAAATTCATCTACTTTTCCAAAATTGATTTCAATATATTTCATGAGTTCTATAACATCTTAACTTTCATATACTCCCATAGTAATATGATCACCTTTAGACATACCACAAGCAGCAAAATCTAAGACACATAAATTTATATCCCATGAAGCCAATATTTCAGCGTATCTAATACCTTCTAATCTGCAACTTGCATTTCCATGTAAGTAAATCATGCATCTATGAGTTTATGCTTTTGTTAAAAAATAACTTGCATTCAATTATATATTTCTGGATTCAAATACAAAATCAACTCTGACAATTGCTTTAGTTTATAGAAATCGTATTTTTGGTCCTTTTTTGTATTGTAAAATGTATTACCTAAATCGCTGATCATATATTATCTACGGGGTGGTCTAATAATTTGACGACAATAAGAATCAAAACAATTCATAATTATTATGATAGTAGAGAATGTTAAAAAAAGTAAATTCTCTTTCTCTCGGAAGAGTGATTCTGAATAAACATGTAAATTGGATTAGTTTAAGAATAAACTATAAGGTATAGTATTTTTGTATGCGTAGGAGATGTATTGCAATTTCTAAAGAATACTAAGTAGGATGATTAATCATTATAATCATTCTTGTAAAGGTTAGGAATAATCTTAGAAGGTGATGAAGAAAAGTATATTTTGGATATAAAAGAATATCATAATAAATATATAGAAGGAGATATTTTAGGAGAAGGTTGTATAGGGTTAGTAAAAAGTGTGAAAAGAAAGAGTGATGATTTTGAACTTGCTTGTAAAACAGTAAAGACTGACTCTGAAGAGATTGTAAAGAAAGTATAAGTTTAAGTATATTCAAAGATGATAATGGAATTTAAAAACCTAAAGAAATTGAAACATCCACATATTGTATCAATGAAAGAGATCTATATTTAATGGAATGAAGGATTCTAATCAACTGGAATGGTGTGTGTAATAATGGAGAAAATAGATGGGAGAGAGATGTTTGAGGTTATTTAATAATAAAAACAATATAGTGGTATTATTTTAACTAAGAAAGAGACCATTGCTAGGGTGTTGTTCATACAGATTTTAGAAGCCATTAAATATATGCATGAAAACTATTGTTGTCATAGAGATTTAAAGCCAAATAATATACTTTGTGCTCATGATGGTAAATCTATAAAAATAACTGATTTTAATGTATACAAATTATCAAAATAATAGGTTTCAAAATTTAATGATAGTTATAAAGAATTTGGAGATCTTAATTAACATGGAAAGATTGAAATGTGGACATATACAGGAACTGTTGCATTCTCAGCTCCTGAGATATTTTCAGGAAATCTTTATAAGTAATTCAATTTATGTAATTAGTGAATAAGTTGATTTATGGAGTGCTGGAGTCATATTATATGTCATGTTAAGTGGAGAATTACCTTTTAATTCTGAATATTTAAATGATCTTATTGAATAGATTAGACAATGTAAATATGAATTTACTGGAATCATTTGGGATTAAATCTCATAATCTGCTAAAGATCTTATTACTAATCTTTTATAATTAGATCCTGATCAAAGATTCACTCCCGAATAGGCACTTAATCACCCATGGATTATGCATGAATAAAGTAGTTCAGATATTCCAAGATATTAATTATAAATTAATATGCCTCGTATCTTGAGAGTCAAAAACATTAATCAAGAATCTAAAATTAAATAAATTTGCTATCTTTTCGGAGCTGGAGATATTTGGAAAAGACATTCTCTAGGTTAAGACACTAATCTAGATCTATATGACAATCTAAAGAAATATAGGTCTATTGATATATCTGATAGTTGGAAAAACGCTGAAATTAAAGTAACTAAGGATTCAAATAAAAAAGGTGTTTATACTATAGATTATCCTTTTAGTGATTCTGATTGAATTATATAAATTATTATTTTTATTTGGCTTTATTTGTTCAATCCTTCATTCTTAAATGATTTTTTCTTATTTCTAATTTTAATTACCTTTTATATCACATTTCTTTTCTCTATAAGAATAGATTTAAAATATTAAAAACAAATATAAATTAAATATTATAATCTAAGTTTTATAAAATAATCATAAAGATCTGATCTTTATTCACTAAAATCCTTTTACATCTGATTATTACTAAATATTTCTAAGTTCAATTTAATCCTTATCAGTTAATAATCTATCCTTAACTTCAATTTGTGAGTTTCCATTCATCATTGATTACATAATTTCATCATAAGTTATAATCTTTTATCCCCATTATTTATATTGATAGTAGATGCCAAAACAGGCTAAAATGATGATGCAAGTAAAATAAATATAATATCTATAATCAGAATTTCCTGAAATACTTTTAATTTCTGAAGGAAATCCTCCAGCAATCAATCCTATAGCTTTAAATACTAAGTATGACTAGATAAAATTGATATAAATATATATACTCCCAAAAAACTTGTGCTAAATATAATTAAATGATCGAACAATCTAAATGATAAAAAACTAAACAAAAAACTTAACACTCCCATTATTATATATAAAATATATTCTGAGGAAACAAATTGAACCAATAATGCGTTCCATAATAATAAAGACAATACTACTCCTAATCCAATACCTACTGCAATAATTCCAACTTTATCCAAATGCATTGACAATCCTCCTACAAAAGCTCCAAGCAAAACTGCTATTATCATTGCAATCCATAAATAAAAGGGATTATCTCCTATATCTAATTCACTTGATATATAGAGAGTGAAAATAAAGCCAAATAAGTAGCCAAAAATAAATAATGTTGGCTTTAAAATTTTCTTTCCCATTAAACATTCTGTCAAACCTATTATTATCAAAATTGCTGATAAAAATTTCTTATTATCCTATAGAAACTCAACAATCTTAGAAAATAAAACCAAAGGGCATCCATTATCTGCTTCCATATCAATAATATATTCTTATTTATCCTTCTCATAAGATATCTCTAATATATTTAGGCTTTCTTATTGCTCTGAACAATACAAAACATATTTTATAGAAAAACCATTTAAAGTGCTATTCTTCTATTAAATCAATACTTATTGAATTCTCCCACCACACCTTTTTTTGATTCATCCTTATCTACTGGTTCAAAAGAATCTGCAAAGTATTAATCTGTGTTAATCAAAGAAATGCATTATTATTCTTATTTTCCCTCATTATTTATTATTACAGCAAATGTGTTAACTGCTAACTCTGGACATTTTAAAATGGGTTAGCAAAATCGAAAATATAATGTACTTGTTTCTAAATCATCAATAAACCAATACCATTTAGAATTTATTTATACTCCTTTGCTTATAAATCATCAAATATATAAATTGCATTAGAATTAATTACTTTTTTACATTTGCTTCCTTAAATTGTTATTAACAAACATCCTAAGATTAGTATAAAATATTTATAATTCATTATTATTAAATCATATTTATTATTTATTAGAAATTATTGAAATTCCAATAAATTATAATTCTATGTTAAATGATTAATAACAATCTAAAAAAACATTATATTTTCAATTTTGTTTTTTTATACTTTAAGTTATTTAAGAGGCTTAATTCAATATCTGATCAGACCATTTTACTACTTACTTACAGTATGAACAAATAATTGAACCTAAAAAAAATAATATTCAACTACTTTAAGGTTGATGCAGAATGTTTGCCAAACATGTAGGGCATTAAAACACTTCATATTAAACTGGAATTTTAACAAATTTTCCACATGTTATATTTTTACATTAATAGGGAGTGTTTTCTTCATTTTCTTAATAAGCCAAACAAAATGAACAAATTGAATATCTTAAATAAAATTGATTCAAAACTTTTTAGTAATTTTTTAAGGATTTGCAACAATGGATTTATTTTATCTCATTTCTGGAACAAATTATATTTCTTCAACCTTAAATTCTTCATATATGTAATTCTGATTGTTAAAACTCATGTGATATTTTCTTATTTTATTGATTTTTTTTTTAATAAAAATAATTACAGATTAGAAAATTGCTGTAAATTGCAAAACATTCTATTCAATATCATTATATTTAATAGGTGAATATAAAGTATAAATAAAAAGATTAGAATCTTGGTTTATAAAAGAAATCAATCCAATTTAATATGAAATAATTTTAATAGTTAGAAAAAGTAATCAAGATTAATTTCTAAAGTTTTTTCCTCAATATAATTCAAAATTGGATGAATTTTTTTTAACACATTTTCATTAATATTTAAGTTGATATATTAAATTGATATCAAACCATCTCTATCTGAATCTAATTACTTAAATATTTTTTCAACAAAACTAACATCATTTATTACATCTTTTTATTTATGAAAATTATTATCATTTTTGTTATTTAATGTTATCATTTTATTTGTAATTAATTAGGCTAATATCTAATCTTATTTTTCAACTTTCTTCTTAACTAATCTAAATGTTTAATCTTTTCTAATTAATGGTTTAAAATACGGTTAATTTGTAACCTTATCTTTAAAATTTGACTCTTATGCTAATCTTTTTTATTATAACTTCAATTTTCGATTATTTTATTCTTCAATTAATTTTTCTGCATGATAGAGCTGTTCTTATTTCGAGGGTTTTTTGGCAAAGATTAAACCACCATTTGGATGAAATGGATATATTTAACTCATTACTCTTTCTCTCAAAATTTTTTTTTTTCCTTCAAGCAATTTTGCATCTTAATATAATTTCGAATGAATAGGATCTGCAGAATTACCTCTTTCTTTAACAATTAAACGAGATATTTCATTAATTTTTGGTATTGCATAATTTATTTAATTTTATTCTTGATCATATTCTTATAAAGCAGTTGTCAATCTTTTTTTCTAATTATGAGCATCTGCATAAAGTTATTCAAAAACATCGGTCTCTTTTATTACTATATTTGATACCTGTTTTATTCCTATATAATTTTTATACAAGTTGTTAAGTATTTAAAGAGAGGATAGAAGTATGACGAGTTTTTGCCTGAAAAACTAAAACAAATTAATACTGGCACTTTTAGCTATCTTTTGATCTCTGTAATTATAAATTATTTTCCTTCTTATTTAATTTGATGTCTATCACAAAAAAATTAGGTCAATAGTTCAATATCATCACCATCATAAATACAAATCTATTCTATTTTATCCCCTGTATCCAAACTAACAATTGCTTACAAATTAATCATAAGGCAATAAAAATTATTTAAAATGTGGGAAAAATTAATTCAATTCTAAATAAAAATAATTTATTTGATTGGATATGAAAGTGTAAATAGAATTATTTAACATGTGTAAAATAAAACAAAATTGTTTATAGATATCATTACATATATCAGATATTATAATTTCATTAATAATAATATCCATAAATTCTAACTGTTTGATGTGAATTCATAAGTAATAGAAAATTGTTGTAGAACGATTAATTTAAGATATTGAATATCTAAATAATTAAAATCAATATCTATGAATTATTTTATGAAAATTTATTTAATTACAATATAATTTATTTAAAATATTAAAAAGGTTTATGTCCTTAAATAACTTCTTTAAAAAGAAATAGTAGATATAAAAAGAAAAAGTGGAAAATGAAAAGTATGACAAATAATAATATTTAAGACAATAGAAAAAGATAGAATAAGAATAAAAACGTAATATACAATCAGTGAAACTGAAAGCAAGGGCCTTAGAAAGAATAGAAAACTTTTAAGAAACAATGATTTCTAAATAATTTGTTGAGACAATGAAAAATGGTTCGTATCCTTTATTGTCTATAAGCAAACACTCTTTTAGAGATAGAGAAAAGGAGAAAGAATTAGAGAAATTGGGTGGGATATATGTGAAAACGTAAAATATTCTATAAGATTCTATAGATTTTAGGAAGCTAAAGATAGAGCATCAACAGCTTAGAAATAATTTAATTAAAATCATTTATAAACAGGTGAATTTGCATAAAATCCTCCAAATAAGAATTATTAACTTTGGTTACGTCCTCCTGATTAATCAAAATAAGAAAAGCCTTTAAGATTTGGAATAGGAGAGAGAACTGAAGTTTAAAGATTGAATAAGCATATTTAGAGTATAAGCACATAATTAGATTTTGAAGTATTGATAAATATGTATTTAAGAGTAGAGATTTAACAATGTAAAATTTTCCTAGTTGGAAGAATGATGAAAAATCTAAATGGTTAAATAGCAAAACCTTCAATATTTATCCTTGTCTTTATGACGGAACAAGAAGTTACTTTCCATGGAAATAACATCCTATTAATTTGAATAATTAAAATAATTAATATGTGGAAGGTTATGAAATAGTAGGAGATCTTTCAAGAAAAAGAGAGAAAAATTAAGAAGTACCATTTTGGATTATAATATTAAGCACAGAAGAAGTGAATTTATTTCTACAGTTAAAGAAGATTAATTAGGTACTACAATTCACATTTCTAGATCCTTGAGATCAATGAAATAGGATAAAATTTTAAATATGTAATCTAATTATGATGAATATTCTACAAATAAATAAATTGACTTTTACAAAACTACATTATTACAAACAAAAAGTATAGATCATATAACACCTCATGAACATAGTAATAAGTAATTTAATATTCTTATCTAGTTATAAAGGTCATTCTTTGCATAATTTAAGACCATCATAACCATATAAACTTTATAGGTAGTCTATTAATTATCTAAATTAAAAAATTGGCTCAGATAAACCTTAAGAACATTTAGCCTAAACCTAATTAACAATTAAAGAAGATTAAACAACATAATAAATTCTAACAAGTGAATTGTAATTACCTAAATAAAAACTAACATAAATTCAAGAGGTTCCTCAAATGTAAATTACAAGTTAATAATCTAATAAACCATTCAGTAGAGACACCTTAAATTCATAAGGTGGTTCCAAGAGTAGATTTATGGATTAATATAATTCAAGACGATCTCAATAAGCAGATGTAAAATTAGGGTATCCTTATAGATTGGAAAATGATGAAACTACAGCTGAAATTATGGGAAAATATTTTAATGAAGAAAATAATTGATTTATCTTTTTTATTAAACGAGATATTCACTAACAAATATTATGAAAATCATCTTCAAATTTTAGTAAGATTTCATTAGCTTCTTCTGCTATCTCTTCATTATTTGATAAAGCGTATTACTCTAAATGATTAGGATATTCCATTTAAAATGCTTGAACACTATAAAAATTTAACAAACTATTTAATGATTATAAAATTTATAAGGTATAAATTTAATCAAGAGAAATCTCTTTTAATAAATCTATTAGTATTATGTGAACTTCCAATTCAACTAAACTTTATATTTATAATTCGTTTGAATTTTCAATTAATATCTTTATACAACGAATAGAACTTTCTCTCACCCTTGATGGATTGCAATCCTCACTAAATCTTATTATCTCTTTTAAAATTATATTATCTTCATAAAAAGGTTATAATAAGCTATTACTAATTTATGATAATTAATAAAATATTATTGTTAATAAATTTAAAATCTGAGGTATTAATTCATAATTATTTAATCTTATTATTGATTTTGAATATTCAATAATATGACTTAATAATAATTAATAAAAACACTCTGGTTCATTTCTACATAAATAATATAGTAAATTAGTAATTTATTCAACTATTATTGTTACATTCAAACTTAAATTTATCAATTTAAGTATCAAATCTTGATCTTATTGAATAAAGTTTAAATTTAGTTTTTATACAATCATACAATATATCTCTATTTAATCTAAAATAAATTATTATCTTTCTTTTAATCCGTAGTTTAATAGTTTTTTTACTAGTTTTATCATATAGTTGCAATCAAACAGTATAAAATCTTCACATACACTGCTAAAGAAATTTTTTAGACATTTTGAAATTAATAAAATAGATTGATTTTCGTTTTTAGAAATCGATAAATCAACAAGATCATTTATTGATATAAATAGATCCAATTACTCTAATTTCTAGGAGTTAGGATTACACCAAATATTTTGTAAAAGTTCAAGTGCAGTTCGAATTTCGTTTTGATTCTATAACAACTTCGAAATGATTTAAAGTATATTAAAATTTGTTAGTAATTTGTGCAAAATTTCATCAGAAAAAAAAGTTAAATTGATAAATATTGTTAATGACTCTAAAATTAAGGTATTTTTATTGGTAATTTAATATATTAATAGTGAAAGTAAATTATCAATATTTCTCTAAATTAAATTGATTTGTTCATCAGAGAGTTGTTAATTAATGCAAAATAGTAAACAAGAATTCATTTCTTTTAGATGTTCCTTAGTAATTATTCTAGCATTGATTATCATTTCGATCAATTGATTGAATGAAAAAGCTTACTCTATTTGTGTATTAGTTAATATTCTTTTCTATTTGAAAACATTTTAATGTAACTGCTATCTAATTTGAGTTCTAAATAATTCACGCTTATATTTAATCATATGCAGAAAATTAAATAATTTAATTATTATTTATTCTCTTAAAAATTAATTTATATCAAATCTGATATCAAAATAAAGTATTATTTAAATATAATGCAGAATATTAATAAAATTTGTTTAAATAATTTAATATTAATTGATTTATTAAAAATAAAAATTTTGTATATATTGATTGTTTTAATTATACATTTATATAAAACAACCTAATATTTGGAAAATTTTATAAAACTTAATTAAGTTCTGAAATTTAGGTATATATGAATAAATGACCGATTTCAAGAGAGTCTTATAGAAATATAAAATAATTGATTGATATTAGAGATGGCATTTATCTTAATAATAAACTTTTTTTCTATGATGGGTTTGTCATAAAAGGATATAAATCTTGTCTTTATCATAATAGATAAGGAGAGGGATGATATTATTTAAACTTTTAAATTTCTTTGTTTCAAATAAATATTTTTTTGAGATTATAAATTTGTAAAAAATATAATGTTCAAGTTAGAATAATGGTATTCTAAGTTTCAATAGGTAAGCAATTAATTTTAAAAGTTTTTTAATCTTAATAGATAAAAAAGTTGACATTTTTTAAAGAGAAAATGATTATTTATTTTATGTTAATATAATTGTCTTAGTTTACTAAGTATTTTAGTGATCTATAGATTAAAAAAATTATTAAAAATAATGAAAACAAGAAATTCTTAAAGATAATCGTAACGAGAAGACTTATCAGTGACTTGTTAAGAGGTATTATCAATAATTTCTCAAAAATCTCATACCTTATATATTCACTATTTTTTAAGCTTTATTTTAGAATGTATCTATGAGTGAATTTCCCCTTAATAGCAGTGCTTAGACCCCAAGAAAAAAAAGAGGACCAATCTGTAAGAAACACAAATATGTACTTCTGTTATAAATATAAAGACCACAATAAATTTGAAAAAACATAAATCCTCGAAATAATTTATCTGCTATGAAGACAGAGATTTAAATATTCCCGAGAAATACTAATCAATTTTATAAAAACATGTAAGAATTTTATTTAAAAAAATTAAAGAAATCAGATGATGATAGAGATTCTGATGATGAATAAATAAAACATGCCATTAACTACTTGTATAAAGACTTATTATAATGTATTGAGAGAGAAAAGAATTGAATTATATTAATTTTATAATGCTAAAAAAGTATCTCTTGTAATGCAACTCTAAAGACTACTTTCAATAACAAAGAGTGCATACCAAAGAATCTGAACATACTAGACATTTTGAGTAGCATGTACATCTGATAAACTATGAAAAAGAATTATTTGAAGAGAAGCATAGCAACAGAAACTAAGCCAGCATTAAAACCAATTGACATGGAAGAAACTAGAAAAGAAGAGATTTCTAAGTTTCGTTCTATTTCACTTTATAATAAGAAATAGGTTCGATTACCATCTTCAGCTGAGAAGTGTCGCTCTAATGAAAAAATTAAAGTTTTTAATATATTCAACAGTACTCCTAGAAATGTAAAGATTAATAAATCTCAATAAATTTTGAATGGATTTAAAGAAAAAGTTGTGTATTCATCTCATAATAGAGTAATATATACTAATAAAATATTAGTAATCATCTAGTGCTAAACCACCAATCTCAAATAGGATCATTGAATCATAAGAATTATTTTAAAAGGCAATTAAACCTAATATGATTCCATTAAGAAGATTTTTTAAAGATAATCAAGTCTAGCAATAATAAAATATTAAATTAGAATTAGAAAAACATACAAATAATAATATTTTAGAATTACTTCTTTTAACTACAGGAGAATTAAAGAAAAAATTCGAAGAGGAACCCAAATTAAAAGATAATAATAGTAGATAAAACTCAGAGGAAAGAGTAAGAATCAAAGTTAGAAATAATCATAAATTTCCAAAGGATTTCTTTCTATGATTATATTTATTAATTAATGCTTAATGTTCTCAAATAACTTTAAAATGAAATGACTTCAAAAGATGATTAAATAAGAGCTAAAGCAACAAAATAATTTAGAGAATAATTAGAATCATTATAAGTTCAACAAGAGGAATCAGAATTTCTAATTGAGTTTTTCCTCCACAAATTAAGTGATCCTTAATCCTTACTTGATACAACATACATTTTATTAACTTTAAGTAAATCTTAAAAATCTGTTCATCCATCCCTTATGAAAATGATTTAGAACAAATAATTAATTATTCCTTCTTTATCAAGAGAAGCAAGAATCAATTTTTATTAAATTTTTCTTATTTATCCTATTACTTTTGAACTTGCTTCTGCAATATTATAAAGTATAGTAGGAGAAAAAGATCCAAGAAATATTTTAGTTGCATTTCAATTATGTGATGCTATTCTATAAGAAAAAAATATTGGAATTTAATATAAAAAAGAAATTTTTGAGTTTTTAGATTGCTATTATCCTATAGAATTTAATGAAAGAGCAGATCCAAGGTAAAATATAATATTTTTTTAGATTCTAAATTAAAAAAGGAGAAATAGAAGATATTCTAAACAAATGTCTTTTTAATGAAATTTTAATAAATGATTCTATTTTATTACTTCAAGATAAAATTATATCAGCTTATGATCGAGCTTAAGGTTCAGCACTCAAAAGTGTTATGTGGATTATCAAATATTAAAATAACATTACTACTTAATTAATTGAAGAAATTTATGAATCTATTTAAAAACTAACAGAACAAGTTATAATGGATGATGATGTTATAGAATTAATTCCTATTACTTTAATAGAAATTTCTAATAATGAAAGGTTTTCTAAAGTAACCGCAAAAATTAAAAGGATTTCCTTAAAAACTATAGAAGAAATACCTGCAACTTAACAAGGGTTTATTTACTTTAATTTCTTAAAGCTTTACGTGAAAAATCATTAAGAAACTATTTTTAAAGAAATTGTTTAAATATTCAATAAAAAGTTTGACACAAAAAATATTAATGTAACTTAAAAAAGACTAGAGAACATCATTTCTACAATAGCAGAATATAAAAATAACAATAGAGAATTCTTTACTGAATTAGATAATAATGAAAAATAATAACTCTATAATTCCTTACATTTGGGTATAAATCATAAAATTTAAAATGTTTTCATCCTTACCCTAAAATGTCTTACTGATATTATGAAGCATTACGTAGATTAATAAAATAATTTAGAAACAAATTTATTTAGTCAAATAAATAACAGAGAGCTTATAGAGTAATAATGCATTTTAGATTATTTTGCTAAGATTGGAATTATTGATAAACAAAAATATTAAGAGTTATTATAATTTTGGTCATAAAATAACTAGCTGCTTTATTAATATAGTTTATCATGCTCTTTATATAATATTAAGGATTATTTTTCATAATTTACTTTAAGTTTAATTTAAAATTAGTATTTATAAATTAAATAAGAGTAAATATCTGCACTTCAAAACTATTTAGATAATTCTATTATACCTTTTTTAGATAGATAAAATTAGGCTGAATTAGTCATAAATCATATATATAATCCTTTAAATAAGAATAGAAAGAATAAATTAATAAAATAGTTAATTAAATTCTTGTTGAAAAAATTTTCAATTAGTTAAAATATAGTTAAAAAAATTAACCTGGAGTTTATCCTTAATCTTGAAGATGAATAATTATATTATTATATTCCTTTAATGGATTAAGAATTGAATGAAAATCTTATCCAGTCGATTATAGAACTAATTTATAAAGAAGATTTTATTTAATGTGAACAATAAATAAATAGAAAATATGCATACAAATTTATTTAGTAAAAAAATAATTCAAAATTATGCTAGCTCTTGTTTATCAAAATATCAGAAAGAATTAAATTTAGAGTTTCCATAAATAAATATAATGGAGAAACAATTCAATCATTATTAATTAAATCAGTTATAATTGTATTTAGTATTGCTCAGATAACAAGTAATTAAATTTAATCTAATTTTTAGTTTGTTTTTAATAATAAAAAAGCCTTTGAAAAAATATAAGAATTAGCTTAGAGTCATCCTTATATGATCACTCAAATTATAAAAAATTAAGAAGTATAAAATAAAGAAACCTTACAAAAATCTATCATCGAAATAATTAAATAATTAAATCATAAATAAACAACAAATTATTTAATAAATTAAATTGATGAAGAATTGATTACTCATTTAGCAAATCTTGAATTGTTGTAATTACTAATTGAGCATTTCAATGACATAAAAATTGATAAATTAAAATAACTTACTTTAATTGTGAATTGGTGTAGTTAACTAAAGTTAAAAATAATTGAGTAATTAGTCAAAGTAGAAACTAATGATATTAAGGCATTATATACATTAATTAATATTGTTATGAATAACTTTGAGGAAGCTAAATATAGTTTAGATCTTTGTAATAAAGGAATAAAATTATTTAAAAGATATTTAAATTATCCAAAGAGAGTAGTTAGACAAGCTGCTTAAGAAGCAATAAATGAATGGTGTATAGTATTTTGTAAAGGCTTATGATATTAAATGAATTAATCATTATTTTTTAATCTTGCTAATCAACACATTAGTTGTTCATTTTATTAAAGGAGATTTACAGTAGTTTAGCACATTTTTAATTCAAATTTTCTACTTATGCTTTATATAGTTTTATTTTTTCTTATAACTGGATTCATTTCCATCCCCAAAAGGATTTATATCTTTTTATTTTTGCATCTATCTATGTGATTTCAATGATTTTATTGGTATAAAGTACAAACTACGAGCATTCATTGGTTATCGATAACTCTTCTTACCATTTTTTTTTGAATAGGTTTTGAATAAATAAAAATCTTAATCCTCTTATTCTGATTACTATCTAATTGATTATCTTTCTTAACAATCTTATTATAATTTCCGAACTACTTTTTCAATATTATTTTAGTGTAATAAAATTGTCATAGATCTAATATTATATTATTTTAGGTTAAAATTAATTGAAAAAATAAATTAAATAATATTATTCTACTAATACTTATTAAAATAATATAATAGAATTATGAAAAAAGGGAATCGATTAAAATTCTTGACAATTTTAATTACTAAGATTGAATTAAATGAATCTTTATGTTTAATGAGGATTCATTCCATTTTAAAACTCAAAAAGTTAATTATTTTTAATATTATATTCAATTTTTGAATTTGAGAAACTTTGAATAAGTTCTAATTTTTTAGAATATAGATTAAAATAGTAAAATCGTTACTGATAACTATTTATAAATATGGAATCTATGATTGAAAGGAGGGAAATCTAATATTTGAAATTTTAAAAATAAGTATAATATGATATAAATTACGGGAATTTAAATAATATTAAAAATGATAATTTTATTAAAAATAATAACAACTTATGGCGTCCATTGAAATAAACGTGTAAGAAGTGGATTATGATATATATGGTAAATGCAGTGATTTGAGAGTAAATAATAAACACATTATAAATAGGCCTTTCTAAGGTAGAAAAATCTTAATCAAATTTCAGAAAAATAAATAAAGGCTGTAGCATAATTAGCAAATACACTAATTTAAATTTTAAAGGAGTCAGGAGCTTAAAATCTACTAACTTAACCAGAGTATCATGATATTTTATACATTGCGAAGAATAATTTATAATCTAACCTAAAAGTGATATAAAAGGAAAAATAATAATTTGAAGCAATGAATTTTGATTTACAAAATACAATTAAATAATAATCTAAAATTATAGAATAATTAAATGATCAAATTCAAGCAGAACAAACTTAAAATAACAGATTATATTAAGAAGTAAACTCTTTGTTTATTTTAGAATAAAGCTAATAAAGATTTTATAGAATAAATATAAGAGGATTAAGAGCAAAGTAGTATTTAATTATAGGAAGAATATAATAATTTAATTTGCCATAATAAAGAATTACAAAATGAAGTCAATAAATTAAATTGTAATCTAAATTAATAGGAATAAAAAATTAAAAACCAAGAAGGAGAAATAAAACAGCTGGAATTAAAATTAAATTAATATAAAAATGATAATAATTAAGACCAAAAACATGAGCTCTTTGAATAAAATCATGATATTTTTTTAGAGAATGAAAAATTAAAAATTGAAATTAATGAGCTTAAATCCCAATAAAATCCCTAACAAAAATCAGATAATGAAGAGGACAGTCAATAATCAGAAAATACAGAAGAATTAAATCCATAATTTATTTAGAATTTATAAGAGATTAAGAGTAATATTCAAAAGGATTTTAATTATTTATTCTGGTTGATCATTTTGCTTTCTTTTAGTTATGGAGTTTCTTTAATTTTAAAATTAAATGAGTGATATATATTTTGTTTATAAATATTTATTGAGAGGGATTGAGTATTCTTTTGTTTTATAACATTGTTTTTTTTAGATATAATTATAATATTAATTTAATTATATAAATAATAATAAGAGATGGTAACTTATCTGATATATTCAAATAGCAACCATTAAATGACATAAATGTAGATGAAGTATTAAAAGGGTTATCAGCTGTAGAAGGAGCTAATGGTTATGTAATATTTAATTAAGATTGTAATAACTAATCGTTATATTATTTAGGTATTCCACTAAAAAGATCTGAAAAAAATATTACTTATGAAAAAGCTGTTCATATGTCTGCTTTAGTTGCTGATTTATGGAATGTAACAAAGAAATGCATTTAAAGAGATTTGAGAAATTCTGAAGTATTAAATTAATGAAAATATTTAGAATGATCTTGAAATAATCAGGATAAGAACAAAAGCCTAATCTGAATATATAATTTCATAATGTAATTTAGATTTATAATTATATAAGAGGGTGATTATACAATGATAGGAATATAATTATGTGGAAAAGCTATAGAAGAGGCTAAGTTAGCTGCAGCTGCTGAGGCTTAGGCTGCTGCTGAAGCAGAAAAGGCAAAAAAGGGGGATAAAGAATAAAGTTGATTTTATCTATTAATTATAATATAAGAATATTTATTATTATAAATGGAATTCTATTAATTGTTACTAAAGTTATAACTCTGGCAGTAGCTCACTACAATAAGATTATCAGTCTTTATTCTTTTAATAGATATTATTATACTAAATTTAATGGTTAATAATTATACATCTTCTTTATATATCTAACCTGTAAGTATTAAATAGATTTCTGGAACTATCAAAAATCTTATTATTTTAATTTTAATTTATTTGAGTGCTTGCCTCAATTTAATTCAAATAGGTTAAAAATTCAATTATTAATCAGATATTAATGAATGTAAATAATTTGAAATAGATTCTTAGAGATTATTCTTAAAATCATATATATAATAATATGACAAGTTATCAAATAGATTTTGTTTTTTATATTAGTACTTCAATTAAAGAATCTATTTAGGCATTTTAGAAATGATATTAAAAATACACCACTATTTCATGAAGAATGTATTAAAAAAATTAGTCTATAATAGCGAATAGAAATGGATAAATATTAGAGGGTAATTTATTTATTAATTTATAGTATTAAATCTTATAAGATATAATTAAATTTGATTAATGCTTAAGTTAATCAATTTTTGATAAATTGCTCATTAATTCTATTTAAAAAAAAAATTAATAAAGTAAATGATCAATTATGATTAGAAATATGAAGGTTAAATTAGTATATATTGAAAGTTTGATGAATTAGCATGAATAAAATTAGAAAAGATTAAATATATTAGATTTAAATATATCTAAATTTAGAAAGAATAATAAAATAATTAAGAAATATTCTCGAAAATATGAATAGAAAGGTTAGGGAATATGATGAGAACGAATTCTCTAAAGCAGATTTAAAAATCATTTTATTAGGAGATTCAGCAGTTGGAAAATCAAAATTAGTTGAAAGATTTCTATTAGATGATTATGAAGAAAGATAATAATCTACATATGCATTAACAATGTATAGACATAATGCAAACTTTGAAGGGAAAATGTATAAGATAGGTATAGATAAAAATGAATAATTTTAGACTTATGGGATACTGCTGGATAAGAATGTTTTTAGACTTTACATGCTTCATATTATTATGGTGCTCATGCTTGTATTTTAGTAAATTGAATAAAATAAATTAGTGTTTTGATGTAACAAGGAAAATAACATATACAAACTTAAAGAAATGGTATGAAGAAATGAGATAAAATTGTCCGACAATTCCTTGTCTGTTGGTTGCCAATAAAATAGATTGTATATAAAAATATATAAAGATTTTAGTGGATCCTAGTGTGACTGAAACAAAATTTAAATTTGCAGAGAGTAACAATCTTCCTATTTATTACACATCCTCAGCAGATGGAACAAATGTAGTTAAGGTATTTTAAGAGGCTTTGAAAGCAGCTATTGAACATAAACAAAAGCCTGGTGGATAATTTATGGATGATTTGATGGATTATTTGTAGGGTTGAAAGGATTTATTATAGATAATTATTCATTCATTATCAAATTCATCATTTGTTTCGCAATCATCACAATCACTGTATGGAATTTCTAATTTCTTATCAAAATTTAATTATTAGTGTATCGTTACTGTTTGAACATCCTATAAGCCATATATATATTCCTCTTCATATTGAAAATCATTTATGTCTCCTTCCACAATCATTTCTTCATAATTATTAAATTCCTATTATTATTGATACTATCCTTCATTTTATTCTTCAATTTCCTCTTATTTTATATTAATTTCTTCATCTGAAAATACTCCTGGCTGCATTTATTAATGTTGGTGTTAATATTTTAATAGACTTCTTAAAAATCCCATTTTTTTATCACTTACTTCATTTAAGTCTATGATTTATTCTGCTTTTCTATATAATCATTATATATTAAACTTTAATAACTAATGATAATCTTCTAATGTCTTTTTTGGTACACCTACTTTTTCTGCTGCCTATTTAAGACTGTATTTTATCTTATTTCCATTTTAATCAACTTCTCCATTCTTAAATAACTTTCTCCACTCATCTACACTTTGTTTTGCATCCATTATTGTGCGTTCTTTTACTCTCCTAAAGACATGTCGAGGTTAATCCATTGATTTAAAAAAAATATTAAATTAAAAATTTCTTTTCTAGAATAAGTATTTGTGATATAATCTACTCATCCAATTTTTTAAAAAATATTTATTATTATTGAATGACTGCGCCAAAATATATTCATAAATATTATTTCAATTCTAGCAGATAATATTTCTTTAAAATAACAAGATGGTATAATTATTGATGTATGTTTAATGGTAAATTAGAAAATTATTATGATTATATCATAATTTCATCAATCTAAGTTAAATATCTAAGCAAATTAAAAGCAATAATCAAACTTAATAATTTTTATAGAATCATTTTAAAATTTTATTTATAAATCTTTCTTCTTCCATTAAAATAGCTTGATAATAAAGCTTATTTAAAGATTATTTTTGTAAAATTACAAAAAGACTTAAATTTGATATAAAGTTGTGAGATAGATTTAAACAAGAAAAATGTCTCATTTATTTTTATTCTTTATATATAAATATAATAAAATAAATATAAGAATTACTTAGAGAATAGCATTTATTAAATTAAAACATAGGAATATGCATATTATATGACTGTATATAAATGTTTACCTTTCAAATATTTTTGTAAATGTAGTTCTTATATGGTATGTGATGTAAGTACTTAATGTTAAAAGGATTGGTATATTATGATAAAGAAAAAAGAAATATATAAATTTATTTGCAATAAATATTTAACAGGAAATCAACCAATATTTTGTTTATAAATAGAGACCCATATGCAAAATTTTGCTTAAAAATATCATTGGTTCATTATTGAATTAAAGTAAAATAATTTAAAGAATAAAGGTTTAGTTATTCATTTTGTTAATATAGAGGAACTTTTGAAGAATGTGAAAGTAGATATTAATTATTGAAGTGTATAAACAAATTAATCTATTGCTTTTTAGGATTATGATATTATGTTGTTTTATTTATGCTAATGTTTCAGTGAATTTATATTAATATTCAATTAATTTATGAAATTAAGTGTACCTTAATCCCATTCTCCTTCTAATTTCTCTAAACAACTTATACTACAGCAAAGATAATTGTGCTTATTAAAAGTACGGAAATAATTATAAAATTTGAATGATCCTTTTGACTCTACCGAAATATCTCGAGCTCTCAAAAATCTAGAAACATAACAATAGAGAAAATAATTATTAGATTCAATTATCAAAATGAGAGAAACAAAAAGAACACAAGAAGAATAGTCAAAATAAGAATAGTTACAAAGATTATGGGTTAAAGCAAATTAAACTAATAGTAGAAAATTAAATACAAATTATGTTTATCATCGAGATTTAGATGACTTTGAGTCAATAAAATAATCTAGATTTAGATTTGAATCAGAAAGAATAGAAAATTTCTATCTTAGAAATGAAAGCAAATAACATCGTAATTTACATAGAGTAAGTAGTCTTGCATGTTTAACAACCGATTTAGATAAATAAAAGAAATTGACTCCATTAATCATACGAAAAGATAAAAAGAATTTCACTATAGTGAATTGATTGTTTATTTATTTATGTAAGTATATTATTTAATTTTGTATTTAAATTAAAATGGAAGTCCTTTAATAAGAAGACAATCAATTCAGATATAAGCTTATGAATGTATTCTTCTAATATATAAAAAATGCCTTATTCCTTCTCCTTATTGGTTATGAAGGAATTAAACTATTAAACATAGATCATGATTGTTAATTATCGGAAACAACCTACATAAGTACTTTATATCATGGAGGAATAATTTTGTTACTATTTAATGTTGTTTCAGCATGTTACATTCTTTACTAGAAACATTTCGTAAGAATTGAATATTTCATTACTTATGGATTGAATGTGTTAGTTTTTGTGTGTATGCTCTTATTTTCCTTATAATAATTAATTTAAGGAAGATGTAGTATAGCATAATTATCAGTCAAGTATTACATAATACTATCAATAATTACACAATTAGATGTTTTGCTAATAATGATGTTTAAGCATGAATTTTCAAACAGGCAAACAAATATATGTTCAAATACAGCTGTTGTTATATTATTATTAATCACTAAAATTGATAATGATTGTGCAGTCAATGCAATTTCTTTGGAAATTTAACTTGTATCTGCCAATATTTTAACATTACTATTTTTTACTGTTCTCAATATAGCAATCAATCTGTTTCCTAAATTAAGAGAATAACTTACAAATGCATTTAAATTTGTTTGTGTTTTAGTTTTGTGTTTCCTTATTCTTAATTATTTATTAATAGTTTATTTTGTTTAATCAGTAAATAATATTATTAAATATATTAGGGAGATATAAAGGAAAGTTAAGAATGTATGCCTCTTGATTTTATTACAAGAACCTATTGTTTTTTGGCTCCTGTTAATTTAATGGGAATGATACCAATTATGGCATCTTTCAAATTTGAAACTATTGATGATGATTAAGAAGATGCTCCACAATTATAATAAGCAGAGATTATTTCTCCATCTAGAGGATTACCTATCTAAAATTCACCTTCTCCTTTTTAATAATCAAAATTATCTTTGAATAATAATACAACTCCTTATAAAATTCTTGTAAATAATAATCAATTATCTCCTGATGAATAATTTTTGGTTGGCAAACATCAGCAACAGCAATACTGATATTAATAAATACTGTAATATTTTCATATATATTTATGAATACAATAAATAAAATTTTATAATATCAAATTTTTATTTAATTTCTCTTTTAAATTCTATAACAGATATCTTATTCATTTTTGGATCTATCAAATGTCATAATGAATAATAAATTTTTATTTTATTGATACAATATTTACAGTTGAAATCATTAGATTAATTTAAATTAGATAAATTTAAGCCATTTATAATCCAAATAATTAAAATCCAAATGAATCATGTATTTGATTAAAATGCTATTAATTTTATTATAAGTTTTCTAATTGAGTAAAGTTCATATATTAGTAAGATAAAAAGAATGATGGTTGTTATTACTAATAAATATATGTCTAAATGTTATTAGTAATAATCATCCTAAATTATAAGTTGATTTGATATTGTTTAAATTTAGAGAGTATGTTTGTGTTTGAATAGATGATAATAATTGATAAATATATTATTATATAAAACATAAATAATGGTGAATGAAAATTTAAATCTTTTTTTTAGATAAAAATTAAATGAAGGTATTAGAAATACCCTATATATGTAGATCTACGTTGATGCATTCAGTGGAGAAGAAATCGTTTCTGACAGTTTTAATATGGAAGAAAAGTTTGAAGGTGTTATTGGTGAAGTCCAATCTCAAGATATTGTTAAAGGAGCACTCAATGTTGATGTTGGTAAATCATCTCATTATTATAATCTTTAGGTGCTGGAGGACATTTTGGTGGAAAGAACGAAGATGAAGAAGATGGAGGTGTTGATGATTAAGCTTAAAAAGTTAATAACATTATAGATGCCTTTAAATATGCTGAAACCTAATTTACTAAAGCTGATTATGTCACCTACTTTAAAGCTTATGCCAAAAAAGTTAAAGCTTATTTAGAAGCAAATAAACCAGATAGAGTAGCTCCATTCTAAAAGGGAGCTGGCGAATTCATTAAATGGGTTTCTGCTAACTTTAATGATCTCTAATTGTAAACTATTTAAATTTATCATTTAGCTATTGTCCTGAATCATATGACATGGAAAACCATATTGTTCTTGGATATTATAAAGAAGGATAAGCTTCTCCAGCTTTCGTTTACATTTTAGATGGATTAAAAGAAGTCAAAATGTGATATAAAATAAAATACAATTGTATCTGGTAATATGATATTCCTGATCATTAATTCTGGTTATTCTCACTTTACAATAATGGAACCTTTTCTTCTACTTCGTCACGTTTGCTAGTACTAGGTGTAGAACTTTACACTTCTTTTTTATTCTCTTCTATTTTCTTTTCTCTTTATTTTAGAATTTCATCTTCCCTCACTACATATAACCAAGGTAATGGTAATAAAATAAAAACACCAGTAATTGCTATAAATAACCATAATCTAGAATAATCTGTTTAATCAATTTTCATCCAAATCAAAAAAAGAGCTCCTAACCAACTTCCTAACATGGAACCTATTAGTTTATAGAACTTAAATTATACCAAAATTAATAGTACTCATCAACATTGCATACATAGTAGCTTCAATATGTTTTGGACACATTCTACAAGCTAATACTAAAATTGGCATAATATTTAATTCTCCAACAAATTACAACATTACTTAATCTCCTATGCAAAATATTTTATCGTTGATTCCCCATTCAACATTTTTTCTAGTCACCAAAATTATTATTGACTAATAACATAAATAATATAAAAATGTCGTAACTAAAAATATCTTTCTAAAGGAAACATCTCTCAAATAATTATTATATATTAAAACTCCAGATATTGAAGCTACAGCATACTTAACAATAATAAACTCTTTATACCATAAATTTTAACTATCCCAAAAACTTTGGATCAAATCCAAGTACTTCAGTATAAAAGAAAAACATTATTGTTGAACTTGATGGAGCCATCATAAAAGCAAATATTAAGATAACTGGTTTGTAAATTAATGGATTTTTAAAAAATTACCAAAAATCTTTCAAACATTACACAGTATTATTTTTTCTATCATTTTCATCTAATTATTGTATATCTATTCTTTATTCTTAATAAAATAATGAAACAAAAACTAGAATAGTAGGAAAAATTGATGTTATCAAAAATACTATTATTCAAATTTTATTATACTTTGTTAGTAAGTAAAGTAATGTAAAAGTGCTCCAGATGAATATGCACTTAATAAAGAACCAACAGCTCTAACTCCAAAGAATATCGATACATTTCTTGATGCTCCATGTTAAAAATTCTCTTATCGTTATTCTCTTTATGCCTATGCTGCTACCTCTACTAAAATAGCCTCTCCAACTACATTAACAAAGCAAATTGATAATTAAATTAAAAATAGTAGTAGCAATACACTTAATAAACTACCATCTTTATTTTTAGACATCATAATCCAACCTAATGCATCCAATACTCCAAATNTATTCTCACTTTACAATAATGGAACCTTTTCTTCTACTTCGTCACGTTTGCTAGTACTAGGTGTAGAACTTTACACTTCTTTTTTATTCTCTTCTATTTTCTTTTCTCTTTATTTTAGAATTTCATCTTCCCTCACTACATATAACCAAGGTAATGGTAATAAAATAAAAACACCAGTAATTGCTATAAATAACCATAATCTAGAATAATCTGTTTAATCAATTTTCATCCAAATCAAAAAAAGAGCTCCTAACCAACTTCCTAACATGGAACCTATTAGTTTATAGAACTTAAATTATACCAAAATTAATAGTACTCATCAACATTGCATACATAGTAGCTTCAATATGTTTTGGACACATTCTACAAGCTAATACTAAAATTGGCATAATATTTAATTCTCCAACAAATTACAACATTACTTAATCTCCTATGCAAAATATTTTATCGTTGATTCCCCATTCAACATTTTTTCTAGTCACCAAAATTATTATTGACTAATAACATAAATAATATAAAAATGTCGTAACTAAAAATATCTTTCTAAAGGAAACATCTCTCAAATAATTATTATATATTAAAACTCCAGATATTGAAGCTACAGCATACTTAACAATAATAAACTCTTTATACCATAAATTTTAACTATCCCAAAAACTTTGGATCAAATCCAAGTACTTCAGTATAAAAGAAAAACATTATTGTTGAACTTGATGGAGCCATCATAAAAGCAAATATTAAGATAACTGGTTTGTAAATTAATGGATTTTTAAAAAATTACCAAAAATCTTTCAAACATTACACAGTATTATTTTTTCTATCATTTTCATCTAATTATTGTATATCTATTCTTTATTCTTAATAAAATAATGAAACAAAAACTAGAATAGTAGGAAAAATTGATGTTATCAAAAATACTATTATTCAAATTTTATTATACTTTGTTAGTAAGTAAAGTAATGTAAAAGTGCTCCAGATGAATATGCACTTAATAAAGAACCAACAGCTCTAACTCCAAAGAATATCGATACATTTCTTGATGCTCCATGTTAAAAATTCTCTTATCGTTATTCTCTTTATGCCTATGCTGCTACCTCTACTAAAATAGCCTCTCCAACTACATTAACAAAGCAAATTGATAATTAAATTAAAAATAGTAGTAGCAATACACTTAATAAACTACCATCTTTATTTTTAGACATCATAATCCAACCTAATGCATCCAATACTCCAAATAAAATAATATAAGATTTTCTTCTATAACCTAGTAATGGTTTTGAGTCTGTAATAATTCCCCAAAATGGTTTAATCATCCAAGGGAGTGTCGTATAGCTTAAATAAAATCCCATCATAGCTGGTGAAAGTCCATATTCATCTTTTAACATGTAATTTACAGCTAAATCTGATAAATGTTGAATTCCTTAGTTGAATGCTGTCACACCAATGATGAAGTATGATGGATTAAAAGAAGAGTATAGTTGATTAAATTGATCAAACAACTTTGTACAAATTATACTCATATTAATAAAGATAAATGAGTATCAAATAATTGTTTTTAATGATTATCCTCGTATAGATGATGCCTTGAAACTGTCTAAGTAATCTGAATTTTCGTGATTGAACATTACTTTCTCAACTCTGGTTAAAATTTTTGGTAACTTCAAAGACTTAATTATCGTTTTTGGCGAAATTTAACTATCAGGTATTACATATTTTGGTCTTGCTGCTGCTGGAAATATCTTAAATAACTATTTTAAAGATACTTTATTAATTATACTAATTGAAGAACCTTTGCTAGCTTCCATTTGAAAATATGCTTTGTCCAAAGATAAAGATTCTGTATCTTTTAAATTAGCTAAAAGGAAATTAATATTTTTTCTAAAATTATAATGTGCTTGATTAATATGGCCATTTCCTTAAAGCATTTAATAACCTGTAGGTTATGTAGGATTTTTAATTCTCTAATGAGAATTGTTTAGGTTAGATTAATTTAACATTTATTCTATGAAAGGAATCTCTCTATGTTCAATAGGCTGAGGAATTTTACTTATTTACTTAATAATATTATGAGATTTAGTTCTTTAACCTATTTTTTTTAAATCAAATTTTTATAATTTTTATATTGCTGCTCCTTTTTAAAAGTATTACAAAAATCTTTGTTTATCCAATTAGAAATACTCAATTTTTTAACTTATACTAATAGCTCTATATTCTCTTTTAATTCCAGCTAATACTTCTTCATGTCCAAAGATTTATCCAGGTGTAATAATTGAAATTCTAACTTATTGTAATTTAGGTTGATTTTGAATAAAAAATTTAGATAGTTCAGGATTGCTTGATGCCTATAATGATTAATTTAAATCAATATTAATAGATAATTCAACTTCTCCTGATTTTAATAAATAAATATAACTAGAATTAATTTAGTAATTGATTACTTTGCATCTTCATTTTCTTTGTATATTATTTAAAATAATTTTTTCTCTCCTTATTTAAAGTGATAGTAAAGTTAGTTTAACATTTAATCATTCCAGTCTGAAAATATTGCCACTTTGCTTAGAAACCCGATATTCATCTTTTATTATGCTTCATAATATGCAGACAATAATTTATTAAACTAATCCCTTGTCACTGTGGCAAAATGAGTATCTTCAGCTGCTACAATTGTTGCTGTTCTTGGAACTTGTTTTGTTAAAGCTATTTCTCCAAAGCTTTCTCCTGAATTTATTTAACCGACCTTTTATAAAGTAGGAAATTAAGTCTCTAAGAATTAATTATCTGTCATAGTAGCAAAGATATCATCTAATGTTACTTATGTAATAAATGCTTAGGTCCTCATTTTCTTACTTTTAGCCTTTGTATTTCTTCTGACATTTTCCATTATCTCTTTGTTTTTTTCATCTTTTAGATCTTACTCCTATTTTTGATCTTCCTCAGTAGGACCTGATCCATCTTACAACCCTTTCTTTTAAACTAATACCCAAACACTTCCTTTCAAAATTATATAAAATTTTTTGCCCAAATCCCCTATATTGAAAACGGTTTATCTCCTATATGATATTTCGTAACTCAATTGCTTATATAGTCCAGAAACCATTTCTGCTCCCATTTATTATTCCAACTCCTAAAAAAACTTAAATCTAAAGAAAGACAATCTAATTTTATCCACATCCAATTATGTTCTTTATGTTGGCTATTTCTTTAACAATTAAACCATTATCTGTAAAATAAATTTTATTCATATTTTTACATTCAATTCTTCATCATCATTGAATTCAGGATCAGACTTCTTCAGAACTTCTTATACTACATCCTTTATAGTCATTCTATGTACTGATATATTTCCTTTAACTTTTTCAATTACTGCTTTCATTAAATTTAATAGCTTAAACTAATTAATATATATCATGATATTATTCTACTCTCTATTATTTTTTACATCCAAAAACAATAGTTTATGATTGGAATCATATGAAAATATTTAATAACAAATATCATAAAGAATCAAAAAAAGATTAAGGTTTCACAACTTTACCCATTTAGCTAAAATGAATAACAAAGCATCAATCATTATAGGTTTTTACAAACAATCATGAAATGCTAACTTCTTTATTGCCATCTTACTGTCTTCATCTTAAAATCCAATTAATCCTATTAATCTTGTTTCCTTTTAATACTCAGAAAGTACAGCCTTTATATTAGCACAATCAGAACTTAATTAATCATTTAGATATTCAACTCCAACAAAAATTATATGATACCCTTTACAACAGGTTTTAAATTATGAAAATTATTTCTTTAGTTAATCTACAATATGCATTCTCTACATTGTATAAATGTATGGAATTTTGAGGTTGCTTAATTAATGAGATATAGCATATAAATCAAAATCATTCTATTCACAAATTAAAATCTTCGGACACTAAAATAAAATTTACATATTTACTTAGCATTTATAAATAAATTACTATTATTTAATTCTCTCCATTTTCTCAAAACAATCTAGTAATTCATTTGGACCTAAATTTACTGAAGAAACTCTCATTGAATTATAAACAGATGAACGTCCTCCAAAAGTAAGTAATGAATCTCTTTAATTTGATTAAACTTATTATGATACTTATGGAGTGAGTCTTGATTAGATTATACTAACAGATATTTTTCTTGCTTGAGGTTCTTTAACACGTATCATAGTTTCAAGAAATTAAGAAGGTTTTTTCTATTTATCTATTTTCTCAATTTTTTCATTTATTTAAAGTGATGATTTACTTGATTAAATATCACCATCAAATTCTGCCTTTACCATTTCATCCTTTGAATCTTATGATGAGGAACTCTATTATGAGTCATCCTATTCTGAGATTTAAGAAACAGAGTAAGATTTTACAGGTTATAAATTATCAGATTGTTCAGACTATCCAAATTATGGTAATTATGTATCCATTTTTCCTGAAATTGTTTCTTCTTAAGATTCTCTTTTCATTTTTTTTAATTTTTCTTATACTTAAATTCTACTTATTTCTGTTAATCGTTATGATTAATGCCTTTTAAATTAGCTACTTTAACCAAATACTTAATGATATTGAGATTTATTTGCAATTAATGCAGATTATCTTTTTTATGATAGTTACTTATTAAAATTTGGATTTTCATTTTTAATCAATAAAATAAAATAAAACTAAGTACCATCATCAGTTTTTATAGAATTAAATTCAAAAGGCATAATAGCAACAGCTAAAGATATATAAAATGCTGTAATGATAGAAAAAGAATATTGTTTTGATGTTGCAACAATGTCTATTACTTATTTACTAACTAAAGTCTATTATTTTAGATGTTTTAATGTTTATTCAACATCATCTAGAATCCCTTCATTAATACTTTGAGCCATAACTTTTATTATTATTTCAATGTGATCAACCAACAAAGGTGATTTTTAACAAGAAATTTCTATACTTCCATTAATAGTAACTTAGATAGATTTTACTAAAGTTAATTATATTATTACTTAACAAATTCAATAAAATTTATCGAACTCTATTAGGATCAGTTCTTAAAAACATAGGAACATTTTGTTTTATATGTACTTATATATTCAATCCTCTAAATATAGCTTAAGCTTTTATGATGTTTAAACAATCTGAAATAAATTCTCTTGTGTGAATATCCATTAAATTACGATCTAATTTATTTTTTTTATGTAAAGTAACATAATCTTAGATGTCATTTGCAGTACTTATAAGTAATTTACATCCAGCTAAGGCAGGATCTATATATTTAGTTTATAGATCTAAATTAACTTCTTTCTATTTTAAAATAATATAAATTAATTACTTAAACTAATTCTAACATTGATAATGTACAATTTAAAGGTTCTTTAATTTTTTAGGATATAGTTTGAATTATGTCATCGCTATTTTTTAGATACTATTAAAGTTATAGAATAAATGGTTCTTCAGTTAAATCATTTATGTATAATATAATCTAAGGTTTGTTTTAGATGATTACAGGATTTAAAATGAGTTGAGTGTAAAGTTTATCTATAAAATATTATTTTAAGAATAACCTTTTTTTAAATAAATTTTTAATGAAAAATCTAAAGCAAAGTTTGTTAAATTAAATTTTATATGTTAAAAAGCAAGCAAATGTTCTATTAAGGTTTGTACTTACATTTTTCTACAAAAAAATTGAATTTCTTTTTTTTCTTCAGTTTATAAATTTTCAAATTATATATTCTAAGTTCAAATATATTGTTATATTAATACTCAAGGGTTTAAGTGAATTTGATAAAATTACTGATGTCTTTACTTCGATGAAAACTTGGTAAAATGGTACATGATTCTTCTTAAAGTAAACCAAAATCATATAATTCAAGTTGGGTCAACTCTGGATTTAATAATTCATTGATTAAAACAATATGGGACATGAATGAATTAATAATTCTCATAGGTTACTAAGCATTTTCAAAAATATAGATTCCACATTAAAAATTAATTAATAGTAATTCATACTGTTCTTCTAACTGTTTTAAATTGTTGAGATTTTCGAATTCATCATTTTGTAAATCTTGTATGTTATTTTTTTATTTTTGTGGTTCAGTTACTTCTCTTTAAGTATTAGTATGAATCGCTCTTTAAGTAAGCAAAGGAGTTAAATTTCTAGAAATGAATGCTTCATTAGAGTTTTAAGTTTGATATAAGTGATAGAGTGATAAAGATTAGATTATAACATGTCCAAAAATGATTCTTATAGATCCAATTGTTTCGAGGTTATTAGTAAATGAAGGAAATCTAAAGTTAATGTTTTAAATTATACCTTAGAAGAGAATAAAAGAGAGAAAAAATGATTATAAGTGTTCTACAAAGTTATGATTCAATGGCAATTAGAAACAATATCATAATTCCATAAATTTCAAAAGAATAACTTCTTTACTCATATTCATTTGTAAAAACTAAATCATAATTAGTTTCACACCATAAAATAATTAGACTGAAATATTTAAGCAATGTGATTATATTAATTAAAAAAGCAGTTTCTCTCTTCATCTTATTCATTGCAATATGAAAAGCAATGATTAAAAATACTTAGATCTAAGATATTAATTAATTGCATTACCATGATGCGATAAATAAAAACTAGTTTTTGTCCTTCAATCTCATAATTCAAAGCTGAAGAAATGGTTAACACAATATCGAAACACTAATACAAGGATACAATGGTCATCGTTGATTTCCATAAAATAAAGTGCTAATATGTATCAGTGTTTAACTTAAAGTAATTTGATATCATGAGCATATATTACTATATAAATTATTTATTAATTTAACAATCACAATTTGACCCATTTTGCTAGTATAAACAATAAAGCATCTATCATTAAAGGTTTTGATAGAAAATCATGAAATGGTAGTTTCTTAATTGCCATCCTATTTTCATCATCATGAAATCCTATTAATCCAATAATTCTAGCTTCCTTTTTGAATTAAGAATTTATATTTTTAATCAAATTACATTATTCTCCTAATTCTTCATCTACAAATTCTACACTAATCAATATTAATTGATATCCTTTGCAACATGATTTCTCTACCTCATAAGCAGTTTTTAGTTTCTCATGTATTTAAGTTCTTTACATAGTGTAATCATAATTCATTCCAATATTTCCTAATTAATGGGATACAGCATATAAATCAAAATCATTTTACTCACAAATCAATATTCTTGGACACTTTAAATTAAATTAATATAAATACTTAACATTTTTATGTATATTTTTATTGTTTAATTCTTTCCATCTTTTCAAAACAATCAATTAAATCATTTGGTTACATAATACTAGCTGAATATCTCATTGATGAAAACATACTTGATCTACCACCAAATGTTAAAATTGAATCTCTTCTACTTGGTGTAACATTATTATTGTATGTATATGCAATTGATTATTACATCACTACCAAAGGAGAACCATTTTCATTTATCTATCCACTTTCATTTGTTTATTTATATAAAAATTAATCTAATTGCTTTCCTACATCTAAACTATTATGAGAACTTTCATTTTCACCTTTTGATTCTTTTGATTCCTACTCTGAAACTATCGATATATCTGATTTAGAATGAGAAAGCATTTATTTAATCTTTTTACTTTGATCCTATGACTTTATTGTTTTAAAAGTAGGTAAAAAATCAACATCAATATCTCCTTAAGATGTTCGTGGTACTATAAAACGAGATTAATTTTATTAACCAAAAGATGTCGATAATTTAAAGGCTGATTCTTTTCTTTAAGGTTAAGTAACCAATACTTAAGATTAAGATTGTAATTTCTGTTATTATTATTATTATTACTATTTCAATTTCTATTTCTCTAATTATCCTTAAATTGATATGCTTGCTTTATCAAATAAACTTTATCGCGATGATTAATGCCTTTTAAACCCTTAATCAATTTAAAATGATTATTTAAAACTCTATTATTGAATACTAAGAGCAGATTATCTTTTAAAATTTAATTGTTATGAAAAGTTTGGATTTTTGTTTTAAATTTAAATTATAAAATAAAACTCTTCATGATCTATATTCTTCTCATAATGATATTCAAAAGGAATTGTTGAAATACTTAATGATAAACAAAATGCTATTAAAATTGATTGACTATATTTACGACCAGCATTTGCTAAATCTATCATAGTTGATGCCAATAAATTTTAAGATTTAAAAAATCTTACAGTTTTATCAATAGTTTTTAAAACAGATTAATTGATTTCTGATGCTTATACTTTAATAGTAAGTTCAATATGATCCTACATTAATGTAGATTTGGTTGCTGATACAACAATTGTTCCATTTATAGTAGCTTGAATAGAACTTACTAAAAGATTTAATAATATTTATCTCAATCTATTTGGATCAGTTCTAAAAAATGCAGGCACATTATGTCGAATATTAACTTGTATCTACAATCCTCTAAATAATGCTTATGATTTTATTATATTTATTGAATCAGATATAAATTCCCTAATTTTATTTATTAAACATACCTTATATGAACATCCATTTAACATAATTCTAATTTACCTTTTTTTCTTATTGTAACATAATCAAGTATATCATTTGCTGTACTGATCAATAATTTACAACCTGCAAGAGCTGGATTTAAATACTTCTCCTAAATTTCAAATGGAACAGAATGCTAATTAATTATTATATAATAATATACAATTGTAATTTCCAACATTGATATTGTACAATTTAATGGTTACTTAATTTTCTAAGATATATCTGAAACCAATAAATCACTATTCTAATTAAATTAATTTAATTGTGTCATAAATGGTTCATCTGTTAAATCTGATACAAATAAGATTAATTAAGGTCTGTGTCTTGATAATATTGGGGATAAAACTACACATGTATAAAGATTATCTGAATATTATATATTATAATATAAAATACCTTTTTTAAGATATATTTTTAGAGAAAAATCAATTAAATTTTAACATTAATTGAATTTAAAATGCTGAAAAGGTAATAAATGTTCAATCAGTGTTTTCATTTTCATGGACTTATGAAAAAATTGAACCTCCTTCAATCCGATATTTCCATTTTCATAATTTATACTCTTAGCACAATAATAATAAAAAATATTCTTACTCAAGAGTTTGCATAAATTTAACAAAATTTCCAATATCTTTACTTCTATGGAACTTTGGCAAAACTGTTAAATTGTCCTCAAAGGCAATACCAAAATCAAACATTTCATAATTTAGAAATTCATCACTTAATTAATCATCCTTTAATACTAAATGTGACATATAAGGATTTATAGATCTAACTGAACTTTACAAATTATCTAGAATAAATATTCCTATTTATATATTATTTAACACATTTTCATAGAATTAATCTAAATTTTACCTCTCTACATCTAATCTATTTTCTTCAGATTCTGCAACTTCATTTTCTTTAATATTATTCTTTAATCTTTATTTTTAATCAAAATCTTGTTGATTTATATACGTAGAAAGTCTCAATTATTAATTTATTTATGATTATCTATTACTATGAATTGGAACATAATTTTTAGACTGCTAACCCAAGAATACAAGTTAATTATTTAATTTCTACTTCTGCTATGGTAATGACAACAAAAATATTTAAAAGCTGACATGTATTAAAACTATCCTAATTGAAGAAAGAATATCAATTTTATTTTAGAATAGTTAGATTCTATATTTTATAATATATTTATACCGAAAAAGAGAGTAGAATAACGAAAATAATAGAGATATTGTTTAACAAACTTAAGATTCTTGCAATATCACTAATGCTAATAACAAGGTATAAATTTCAGCTGTATAACTTGTATAGGGTTTCATCTATTCATAAAATAAATAATAGTCAGTTTCAGTCCAGCAAATAAAAAGTGAAATAAAATATATAAATGTAGCAACATTTAGAAACCCATTTTTTAATTTTCTTAAACAGTTAAAAATCAACCAAAATAGTATCAGTAATCCTGCTTAAACCTAAAAGATATATATTATATATACAATAATTCTTGCTATTAAAATTCTTCTTGTACCATCTACATTTTATATGCATGCATCTAATGTTGTGATAATCATATCAAAAAGTTGGTAAATAGAAATCATATTTGTTACTTTTGTGTGTTGATGAATGTTCGTATATGGTTATGAGTAGATGTAAAAATAACCCTTAAGATTATCTATCATAAGACTAGGAGATTTATATATATTATTTTAATTGATGTGAGATAAATTAATATAAGAGGAAAATAGAGTTAATATATAAATAAATTTATCCTTAATATAATCAAATTTTTCCAATAGCATAGTCTTTTTAAAATGTTTACATTTAGAAAATTATTTTAAAATAACCACAAACACCCAAGAAATTATTTTGTAATTTAAAACGAAAATTAATTCAAAATAATAAACTGAATATATTTATTAAGTGAATAATTAAATATTTATCTGCCTTAATAAATTACTATTATTTATTGCAAATAATGGCTATTTAAAATTTAAAAATTTATGCTGTAATTTTCAAGATCTACAAAACCATGAAAATTTAATAATATTTAATCTTAGTAGCTTTATAAAATGTTTGGGTAAATATCATAAATTAAATTTATATTTATCTAATTCAAAATTTGATAAATTATCATGCCTTATATAATATTAAGTTTTAAATAAGATTGAATGAGAAAATGGTGATTTTTTTTATTTTAGGATAAGATTTGTGACTTTTTGCAATTTAAATTATAAATCAGTATGTAGAAATATAAAATAAATAGTTTTTGAAGCAAAATTAGTTTGGACAATTAAATAAGAAAAATAAATAGTTAAAATTGAATTTAGAATTTAGAATAAAAATGCGTCATAAAAAATAAATTAGATTTTGAGAATTGATAATGAAGTTAAGTTTTTATGTAATTTTGTTGGCATTTATATTTGTCAATATTTTAATTATTTTGTCATGGATACTCAATTCTTTACAAGTAGTACAAGGTAAGATATAAATAAATTGTATTAGTATGAGTTCATCATCATCATCTAGTTCAAGGAAAGGATCTTAAGAATGTTTTAGTGATTTTGGAATAGATAAAAAATCTAGGAAAAGTAAAAAAAGTGCAAATAGAAGTTGCTCCTTTGCTTTAGGTTCTGTGACAGAAGTATCAGAAGATATTGAAGATTATTTAGTAAGAAATATTATAAAATAATTTTAGATGAGTCGTTTACCACACATCTAGATGCCAAACGATAATAATGAATTTAGAGAAAGAATTCCTCCAAGATTAAAAAGGACAGAAAAATACTAAAAAAGAAGGGCATCATTAAGTCCACATGGTACAAATGGATTAGCAAAAGTTGAAGAAGTGATTGGAGAAGATGATGAATTAAAAAACAAATGCATATTTAAACTTGGTTTAATGTTAGATAAAGATGAATTTAATGATAAAAGAAGAAGATTTTTATAATCTAAAGAAAGAATAAATGTTGAAAAAGCAACAACTACAAATTTAACTATTTTAGAAGATGCTTAAGAAAATATCAAAGAATTATAATAACATCTCATGAGTCCTACTTATAAATTAAAAGTTGATGAAGTTGATTTTGAATAAGAAAAGAAATAATGGCAACCTTAAGAAATTATAGAAGTTATAGAAGAAGAAAAACCAGATAATGTAGTAAATATTAAAGAAAAAGAAATGTTTTAAAAAAGTATAATCATTAAAATATAAAATAGTTAAAAAGATTTTACATGAAGAAAGAGATTTCTTAAAAAGAATTTTAAAAGGGGAGTTAATATAATAAGAAGATATTTTAAAAAAATAATAATTTCAATCTGAAGTAGGAGAAACAAATTGGAATTAATTAATTTAAGAAGCAGAAGAGTAAGTAAATAGTGATGAAGATTAATAATGATTTTTTAATTAGTTATATATTTCCATTTAAGCAATAATCATATATAGATTATTCAATGAGAACTTTTATTTAGTTCTTCAAAAAAAAATCCAATTTTTTCTGAAATTTCATATGTGAATTGAGATATGTTATTATGATTCATTCCAGCAAATGTTTCTAATTTCACTTAAGATTCTGGATGTGAATTTTGCTATCTTTAATGAAATTTAAAATTTACTTTTTATTTAGAAAAATTGAATGAGTATGAGGAATAAGAGTATCAAGAAGACCATGAATATATAATGTAGGACATTGAATATTTGATATTCTTTCCTCATTATTAAACCTTTCCTCCATAAATTTACTGACTAGAAAACCTATTCCAAAGAGCATTCCTCTAACTTATTATATTATAGATCGGTAAGCAGATATAACAATCAAGCCTTTACATTAAACTTAAGATGCAACATATATAGCTGGTCCTGTTCCTATTGATCTATTTCTTTTAAATAAATTTTACCTTCCAAATATTAAAATTTAAGAATCCTCTAATTTATATTCTTCTTTTATTCTATTATATGCTTGAATAGAATCTTCTAAAATTATTTAGGCATTCGTCACATCATGATTATATATACCATATTAAGGATACTCTATTAAAAAAGCATGAAATTTTAATTAGTTCATAAGCAATTTAACAAATTCTGATGCTTCATCACTTTTTTAATATAATCAATCATTTACATTGTTTCTCCATTTCCATGAAAATAAATTACATAGTTTTTTGTATTTTTAAATTTCTCATTTTAAAGAAAAGCATAAGGAACAGTTCTTTTACATTCTAAACTTGAGCAATTTTAGTTTTAAATCTCTTGTTCTACTATTGAAATAATTCATACCTAATTTTTCATTTTTTTTCACTACATTAAAGTAATTTATATCCTTTTCATTAATATATTAGTATTTGTTGCAAGATCTTGCTGGAAATATTAGTTTATCTAGAAGACTTCCAGAATAACATTTTATTTTTTTAATAAATGAGGAACATTTATTAGGTGAAATTATAAAAAGTATCAAGGCTAAGAATGCTAATATTATTAATAGAAGGCATATCCATAAAATTTAATATTTATTCATTATTCTATTATATTTATGAAAAAAATTTAGGATATAAAGTAAAAATTCTAATAGAATTACTGTAAAAAAACAATAATCAATATCTCTTTTATTTTAAATCAATAAAACCTTCTAATATTGATTTTGCAATATCATCTTCAATATCATATTCATTATGAGTCATTCTTGGTTTCAAATATATTTTTGATTATTACTAAATATTCGAAGGAAGACTAACTATATAGTTGTATAGATACTTTTAGAAAATTTATTAAGAATGATAGGATTTAATTAAAGGATCATCTAATCCATGTATCATTACTATGGGGCATTTTATTTATTAAGATCTTTCTAAATTTCTGAAGAAATTAGGTAAACAACAAAATAAATTTAAAATGCAACCACATCCATAACAAAAATCATTTATAATATGTCTAATTGATTTATAAGCAGACATAGTTATTAATCCTTTAATATTTCTTTGACTGGCTAGATAAAATGAAGGTCCTGTACCAATTGATCTATATATTAATTCATAGTACCTTCCAAAAATATAGATTTAATCATCATTTAAATTGAATTCAATTTTAATTTCATCATATAATGCTAATGAATCTTACTCTACTAAGTTTGAAGTAGGTTATATATTCTTATATATTCCATACCCAGGATATTCTATAACAAAAATATTTGCATTAATCATTTTCATAAGATATTCCATAAATAAAGCTGCTGAATACCTTGAGGTATTTAATATTAAATTTACATGTCTTCTGCATTACCATGAAAATATATCAAATATAAATTCGTTTCTGAATATTTATTTTTTATATAAACGTAAGGAATACTTCTGACTTTTTCTAAATTTTAAGAATAATCAATTGGTTTTCCATTAACTACGTTTATTTTAGTTTTACCCAAATTACCATCTTAATTGTAAATACTTGCATAATGAAGCTAATCTTAAAAATCTTTTTCTTGATACATAGGGGCTGGAGCTGGGAATATTATATTATTGAACTTTCCAAAACAATGTAGGATCATCAAAATGAGTAAGTAAAGTCCTATTAATATACTAAACACTATTATAATAGCCATGTGTGATGAATCCTAATCACTCATTTTTTAAGATAAATAATTTATATAATTATTAACAACACAAAATATAATGAGAAATGATTAGCCATGTTATTTTTAATAAATAATTAAATATCATTCATTTATATCAATTTTAGTTTCCATAGAATTAATAAACCTAATTGCAACTGAAATATTATTGATAAATTTATAAGAATAAATAACGAAAAATTTAAAACAATTATAAGAGTACAAATTAAAATTTTAATAATCTTAAATAATAATTCAAAATTCAAAAGATCTTATAAGTGCTTTATTTTTTTATGTTGAGGGTCTTGATCCTGATAAATTGTAAAAATATTGTTTTGTTTAATTCCATTCTTTGTCATATTATTATTTCGAATATGATGATTTTTTAGTTTAAATATGTTAAAACAATATTAAATTATCTCTTCTAATTTATTCTTATTCATTTTTTTTTCTTGAATTTAAACTGTTTATTCTTTTTGGTTTATCAAGTTTGATATTGGTACCATTCATTATATTTGTGATCTTCTCTAATAATAATCTATTATCCTTTTCTATTTGTGTGTATCTATCTTCTAAAATCTAAACTTTCTTCATATTTGGTATTCTTTCAATATTTCTAGGAATGGTTATTAATGGTCCTATTGATTGAAGTCTACTCTACCCATCTAACATTTCTTTTTCTTAAATAACTCTTATATAGGGTTTGGGTCTGTGCATAAAACAATTTTTTTGATATATAAGTAGTTATTTGTTTTTATATTTAATTTTATTAAATGTGAATTGATATAATAATATACTCATTTTTTTTTTAATAATGCAACTTCTAATTCCTCTGTCAATAATTTTTATTCTTAAAATGAATCATATAATTTTGACTTTATTGTTGGGTTAAACTTTTAATAATGTTTCAATATGAAATTAATAAAGTATTATTAAACTTGCTTAGGGAACTATGGGAATATCTAAATTAAATAGATTATATCTTTACTTTTTAACAATCAAATATCAACATTTAAACAGCTGTAATATTAACACTTTAAATTATTCCAACGATGTCTTTGAAAAAAAGCTTAAAAATAGCAGATGATGGATATCTAATTTTAGCAAAGCTTGAAAACATCTGTAATTTTTAAAGGTTGTTAAATTAATCATATCTTTAAATAAATATTGATTCTAAAAGTTTAAAAATTTCAGCTGTTCCATGTCCTAATTATTTATACAACATAAATAAGGTTGTTATATTTTAAGGATTTGTTGTTGGGATATTATTTATTGCTTATTCTTCTAATAATTTCCAAAATTCAGGAGATCCATTTCCAAATAATGCTATTCCTGTTCCAACTCTAAAATAATTATATACAATTAATTAAACCTAATTAAATCTTCAAATTGCATCTCTGTAACCAAACTTTGTTTTTCTAAAATCTCATAAATATCTTTTCTTTTAATTCTAGCCAATAACAATCCAAAAGCAAAATTTTTTAAATCAATTGACTTAAAATGATCTATATATTATTTGAAATTTAAAATTAATGAATTTTCTACTTCCTTATTATTACATTTTGTGTACTATGAAACTTAACCATAGATAAACATAGACAATCCAATTTAAGTAGGAGTTAATTCAGGAGCTTATGATACTGCTGCAACAAAATTGAATAATTATTAATAAAATTATTTTGAGTAAGTTCCAGGTACCAATAAAGATAATATATCTAGAGTTTCTGTCAATGTAGCTTACCTAATTATTATATTATAATTATTACTATTCTAAATATAATTAGGTTGTTCTATCGAATACTTTTTATGCATAATTTTCATCACTTATTGATTAAGTTAATGTTATAGACACCAATTCTCTTATTTCTTTATTTTCAAATTAAGGTAAATATGGCTTCAACTGTTGTATTAATCTTGATACCTCTTTGAAATTTAATCATTCATTTACATTTATGATCTGATTGTTTTCTTTAGTGTATTTAGCTTAATTAAAATAAAATTGCTCGATAATCATCTGCTTTTGTGGCTTAACAAAATAAATAATATGGAATTCTCATTGTATGGGGGAATTTTTATGATGTGCCCATAGTGAAAAATAATCTAAGGTATTACCTTCTCATATTAAATTTATTAGAAAATTAATGAATTAATTATAATTATCATAAGCATAGTCACCAAGAGAAAGTAATTATGATTATGAAGAATAACCTCAAACATAATCTATATAGTTATTTCAAAGTAGAGCTGCTATTTCAATTATTACTAATGTAATCTAATTCATATATAAGGAATTTAGATATAAATTTTAGTAGCTATATTTTAAATATTGTTAATACTTTTTAATTCGTATATTGCATTTGATTTAAGCTATAAGATATCCCTTCTATATGTAACAATTTTACATTTTCTGTAAATCATTCGAATAGGTGTTTATAATAATAAGTAAATTTAAATAAGTTAAATTTGTCTAGAAAAATATACAATAATCAATACTGTTGTATATAGATTTTTTGGGGAATTATCGCTATTTCTTATTATGTAATATTATCATATATCTTTAAAGGGCTGCTTAATATATTTTTTAGAAAATACAGAATTTCCAATTTAGTATCCTATACTAATGCACTTAATTTTTACACTTACTTGGTTTGTTTTGACATTACATAATTATTTAAAAAATAAAAATGAAAAAAGCTTTATTTTAGTTGTAAATTTTGTAAACTAAATTAGTTGACAGTTCTATTTAGATTTTTTTTGGTGCTTTAATAAATGATGATCAATTTGAAATAGATTGAATGGATAGATTGGGAATGGATTTATGTATTTACGATTCTTTGGATATTTCTATCAATAATTTGTATTTTTCAAATTATCTTTTTGTTTGATTTCATCTATAAAGCCACATAATTATTATAATAAAGAGATCCAATTAGTAGAGAATCAATAAATCAGTAGAGTATAATTATTAAGCAAGTTTAGTTATAGGATCATTATGGATTAATTTATTAATCTTATGTATTTCAGGACTACCTACTTTTACTATGGTTTGTTATACAATTAAGTTGTCAACAGGCAAAAACAGTTATAATTCTCTATCAATTACTTTATCAGTAATATATTCCCTTGTTTTTATAGTCTATACCTTATATTATAGAATTTCTTTAAGGTTAGAATATCATTATTAATTAAAGTCTTTTTGTTTCTGAAATATATCAATAAAGAATGATAGAAAACAATCTTGGAATAAATACTGATAATTTATAAAGATATTAATTGAATTCTCCAAGTTCTAAACATAAAAATCGTTTGACAAAAAGTAAAGAATAGATATTAACTCAACTCCCTTAATATTTGGTATTTATAAACAATTAATGTTAAGATTAGATTATCATAAACTTACTTTTTGCCAGCTATCGATAATGATAATCAATAATTAAAACAAGGTTAATAAATATAGTAAGAACAACATATAAAAAGAAATAAAACTGATCAAGACTAACCAAAATTAAGTAATCGTAATTCTCTTACTGAAATTAATTCTGACAAAGATACATAATGCTTTAATTGTTATTAAAGTGAAAGTTGTGCTGTTTATATGCCATGTGGACATGGTGGATTATGTATAAAATGTGCTACAGAATGGTTCACTGAAAAATAAGAGTGTTTAATTTGTAGAAAAGTAATTGCTTCGATTAATTTTAATTTTAGCCTGTTGAATCTGTTGTAAAAATTTTATAGTCTGAATAAAATAAAGTTTAGGTCATTGATGTATTGGCTTTTTGAAAAATTCTTTTATTATTTCTATCGATAATTATTAATTTATATCATATTCATTATGAAATCAAAAATATTGAACACTGGCTCTATTCCTGAAAAAAAGCCAACCGTTTATTTAAATGATGGACAAGGAAGAGATACTTATATTTCTTATAACAATGGAGGAAATTTTGCTTAAGAGTTTCGATTTTTAGTATCACCCAAATAGCCAACTTCTTTAAGATTGAAATACAATCTTAGTGTATAATAAGAGTATTCAACACCTAGAATAAATTACTAAGGAGATGGAACAGGTAGAGATACATATATTTTGTAATATTATATGTTAATATTAAATAGATAAAATGTTAAAGATAAATGTGGCTCAGGATAACTTAATTATAAATAAATGCTTAGAAGTGAAACCAATTTTGGTATATATCAAAAAAATAGATATTAATTACCTCCTCTTGTAAAATAAAAAATGAATTTACAATATTAATTATAAAAAGTCTAATCAAGTAGATTATCGATGCCCAAAAGTAAACTTTTTTTTAATGAAGAGTGATTCTCTAAAGATTTTTACATTTATAAATTTTTTATACATTCATGTGTGAATCAGTAATATTTTTTTTATTATTCCAAAGTAGAATTCTTTAAGAAAGAGATTAGCTTTGAATTCAAATATTTTAATTAACTGCTAAATAATAATTAGATAATTTAAATTCATTACAAATATTTTTGATGTTGTAATAGAAATCTAAAGATATATTTTAATTATTTAACTTAAAAAGTATTCATATTTTTATAAATTTACTCTATTTTTCAAATAAATTTCATACTTTTATAAAACTCATTTCAAAAAAATAATAAATTTAATACATTTTTCAAATTTAATGGCATATATTGTGAGGATGTTTATCTACAAATATTATCAGGATTATATGTGTTTAATTACAGGATTATTTTTAATATTCTTATACATATTTGCCTTAATTTTTCTATTTTTATTCTCAATTCCCACTAGAGGTAAATGAATTAAATAACATCATTGAATGGCAATTTTATTATTTAATTTTATTCTGGATTTATTTGATAGGTATTATATTTTTGGTAAATGGTAGCATGTATATTTTTAATACTTATTTTTTTTTGAGTTGAGATTATAATTAGATATTAAATTATAATAAATACTAATCAAATTTGAAGGCATTAACAATCATAATAATAAAATCTTTTTAATATTTTAAAGCTAAATATTTTAGAATTATTTTATAAATTACAAAATCAACTATTAATTTTAAAATAATGTATTTAATATATTTACTGCTCTAATATTATTTTTGTTTGAAAGCTGTTTAAGTCCACAATTTACCTTCAGATTTATCCATTTTCTTTATTGGAATCAATAAAACAAAAACTAAAAAGTCAAATTTATAGAGATATAAAATATGATTCTTAAATATATATTAAGCAGAAAAAAAAAATTTTTGTAAGAGATTATTAGAAATAATAATTTGATAATTAATAAAAAAGCCTTTTGATTTTATTAATATGTGTTATAGAATTATAAAAGAAAGATTTGTAATTACGTATAAAATTATTTGGGATTATATTATATTTTATAAATTATATTTTAATTTATTTTAATGATGTCTAAATGCAAGTCCTGTAATGATGAAGGCTTCCTAACATGTCCTTTATGTCAGAAAACAACATATTGTTCAAAAAAATGTAGAGATTATGATTGGTAATGATATGAATACTAATTAAGAGGGCTGTTTCTCATAAATTTGAATGCAAAGCAGAATTACCAAAGAGAAATGTATAAGACTTTGAAATAGTGAATTAAGGTTCTTTAGGGAGAGGAAGCTTTGGATGTGTGAAATTAGCCCGTGATAGATAAACAGGTTTATTATATGCAATGAAAATAGTAAAATATATATTTAATTAAATAGATTGAAAAATCAGATGTCTCAATAGAAAATTTAAGAAGAGAAATAAGAATATAAAAAAGACTTTAACATCCTCATGTGATTCAGTTATTTGAATTTTTTGAAGATGAACAATACGTTTATTTAATTTTGGAGTATGCAGGTAACGGAATAAAAATATACGATAGAAAATGGTTCATTATTTGGTTATTTAAGAAAGAGAAAGATTTTACCAGAAAATGAAGCTTTTGTATATTTTTTTTAAACTTGTCTTGGAATAGATTATCTACATAAAAAATAAATAATTCATAGAGACTTAAAACCAGAAAATTTATTACTTGATAAAGATGGTAATATAAAAATTTGTGATTTTGGATGGTCAGCAGAGATGATGATAACACAAACAAGAAATACGTTTTGTGGAACTATTGATTATATGACTCCAGAGATGTTAGAAGATAAACCTCATGATTAAACTCTAGATATGTGGTGTTTAGGGGTGTTACTTTATGAGTTAATTCATGGTTAAGCACCATTTAAAGGAAGGAATGATTTTGAAAAATGTTAGAATATTTTAAAATAAGAGTAATTTGAAATAAAAGCAAGTGATTAAGTATAATATTTAATTAATAATATTAGGCTAAAGATTTGATTTTAGGATTGATGAAAAGGGAATCTAAAGATAGATTCACTATGGATTAAGTATTTAATCATTCATGGATGTTAACTATGGCCAAAGGATATTAATTAGAAATTAAAGAATATATTTTTGAAGAGAAAAAGAATTTAGATTAATTAAGTAGTAGTCTAAGACTTGATACTAAATTTTCAAATACTAACACTACAACAACAAGATTATCTGGATCAAATAATAAATAAGAATGTGTATCAATAGCATTTTCTATGTATTCTGAAGAATTATAGCCTCCTTTATAAACTAGAATTACAAGAAGAACTTAACATGTAAGAAAAGAAAGTGGATTCTTTGAAACACTTCTTTAAAATCTTGGTTGCACTAAAAGAAGTTGATTATATTATCATTTTTTAATAAAAAATATTTTTTTGTACATTACTAAGTTAATTTAGTCAATTTTGTTATATAATATTAATTAGAAATTCATAATGATAGATTAGTAAAAAATAACACTTGATTAAATATATGGATGCAATTTTAAAAGGGTTCCATTTCTATATGCTGAAATGGAAGGAACAAATCCATTTCCCATTAGTGAAGCTGATGAAGATTTAGATTCTGATAAATAATAATAAAACTAACATAAAATAATATCCCCAATAGAATTTAAGAGTTAATTAAAACCTTTGATTTAAACTAGAAAAAGAAGATAAACAGTTCATAAATCTCCAGTGAATAAATCTCAATATGAAAATCATATTGGATTTAGAAATTCATTTTATAAAAGCAATAATAAGGTCAATCTAGCATCAAGATAGAGGGTTGAAGAATTGAAAAGTTAAGAGATTTCTATGTTTACAAAATATGCCTAAAGATTCTAATTGTAAAAGCAAGGGCTTTGGAATTGATTTGAATAGCTGATTTATAGTTTGAAGAGACATCTAAATTTTTGTTTTTTAATTATTATTAATATTAATCATTTATTTAAAGCTAACAGTTTAAAATTATATATCGATTTCCTCTATTATACTGCTAATATTTATCCTGTATTTTATTTTGAAAAATTATTAGAATTATAAAATGATGAATTATTGAAGAATCTTATAAAATAATATATAAAAATAATCATGGATTAAGAAATATTCATTGAATAGCCTTTAGATGACGAGAAGATTGATCAATCTGAACAGTAAAGGAATGTTTAAATTTTTATAGATAATCTTAGTTAATGTAAAATGAAGAATCACTAGAACATTTAGTCAACTAATTAATATAATAATAATAGCCAGATTAAGATGATTAATTTAAATAATAAATTGGAAAGCGTAGAATTAATGACTAAAGGTAATTTTTTCAACAATATCAATTAATGCTATCAGATTTACATTCTAAGAAGATAAGCGTATCTTGGAATTAGTTTAATAGGTTGGTCCTAATTTTAACAAAATAGTCAAATAGTTTCCAGGAAAAACAATGAATATGATAAAAAATAGGTATTATAAAAAGCTGCGATACATTAAAGAAGATCTTTAAAATGATTAAGAATAAGTGAAAAAGCATTCCAAATCCAAAAAAGCTAATTGATTTTTTGATTTATTTATAGACTAACTATGCCACTTTTGTTTTGTCTTGTAAAGGCCATGCTTTTAATAATATATTATTCATATACAACATATAATTATTTTTATTAATTAAAATATTTATATTAAACAATTTTACTTCTATGCAATCATAAAAGAGAGGATAACAACATAAATAAGGATATCAAGCAGATTTAAATAAATATTTTGGAAAAAGACTAAAAATTAAGTTGAATGCAAAACGAACTATTATTGGGACAGTTATTGGGTAAATATTAAATCCATATTAATATTAGATTTGATATTTTTATGAATCTAGTTCTTGATCATTGTAAAGAATTGATTCCTGGATAAGGAGCAGAAAATAAGGATAATCTTTATCCAGGCTTTTCAAATGTCACTGATCAATTAGTTGATATTGGATAAGCAATTGTGAGAGGCAATTCAATTATTATGTGGGAATGTTTAGATAAAGTTAAAGACTGACTGAATATATTAATAATACAATAATAAACAATTAATTTATTGATTTATATTTTAATATCTCTTTCTGCTCTATAATTGTGGTTAAAGGGTTTATGAAAAATTAAAATATTTAGAATTCTTTTTTCTCAATATAATCATTTTTTTTTGATTAACAACAAGTTTATTTTATTTTTATAAAGTAGATAAATACAGTGTAGAGTAAGAAATTAAAAAGCTCATTTTTGATAATCAAATTAATTTATAGAATAAAAATTGAAATTCATGATTTTGTGTTATAATATATGATATATTCATGGTATTCCTAATCAAGTTATTCAATAAAAAATAATAAATTAATTAGCAATGTTATTTGTAATAATTAAGAATACCTTTTATTTCTATATTTTGATACACTCTGTATTTTCTTTGCTGAGTTTGTTGATATGTTTAGACAATGATATAGATCATTTTGAAATTTAATGTCCAAGAGTAATTATTTAAATTATGTTAGCTGAGTAATGAAATAAAAGAATTAGTGGCAGGGATATTTAAACCATTTTTGCCAGAAGTTATAGAATTCTTAGTTGGAAAAATATTGATGTAAGATATAAGAATTGTAAATACCTTGATCTTTTCAGGCATACTAGAAGTTTTGTTAGTGATATTAGGAGTATTGTAAACTTTTGAATTTATTTTTAGCTACTATATAATGGTTGAAACTCCAAAACCAATATAAAAGAGCTTGAGAATAATTGCTAAATTCACTTTCTTTTTTGGATTAATATTTTGGATTGCAATTTATTGTAGTGGAATAGGGTTAAAGAAATTTCTTGAAATAGTGCATATAGTTTATTAAAACCCATAAAATGTAGAAAATTATTCAAATGATTTATCAGAATTTATCTAAAAGAGACAAGAAGAAATTTTGGAGTATTATTTTTGATTTGTAAAATCATATTATAAATTATTATGAAAACATACTTAATTAATATTATAACTTCTCAAGCTTTCTTGATAATCTTTTGTATACTCATTATTGATTTCAAAAAACAGAAATTCTTTAAAAGTTGCTCTTAAACAAGGATTATTGAACAAAATAAAAAAATTAGAAAGATTTTTTATATTTAATTAATTGATTGTAAAGGATTAAAAAATATTTATACTCACTTAATTAGGCAATTTCGTGAAATGCTTATTTAAATAATCTTGAATCTCTTTTACTACTTCTGAATACTTTGATTAAATATATATTTTCTTACTTTTATTTATTATATTCTAGTAATCAACCTTAATTGTTCCTCAAACTACTTTAGAAAATTTTATAAATGTATTATCTATGGTACATATATTTTTTATATCTGAGCTTTTCATTAAACAATTTTTTGCCATGATATTGTTAATGCAATGAGATAATGATAATTTGCTTTCATCATTTTCTTATAAAATTTAATTGTTTCCAATCATAATTTTAACCATTATTAATCTGATAAATTGAAGTTGATATTCTAAAGTGATAAAATTTAATTCATTTTTTAAAATAAAGTCTATCTTTTATTTAATAAAAAGTAATAGAAAATGATTAATTCAAATTCTAGCAAACTAAAAAGGAAATATCAATAATTAAATAAATGAAAATAATTTATATCTTATTATCTACTGTTTATCTATGTAAGGCATAAATAAATATGGCATTTTGTGACGAATATATTGAATATGATGTGAATAATTTTGGAAAATTTATTTCTAATGTTAAACTTTCAAATAGCACAGATGCCATCTTAGCTGAAAAAAGAGTTCTTATTATTGATGATAATCTTAATGTATTAAGTTCAGTGTCTATACCTAAAACTTAAACTCATAACTGCGAATGGATATTCAATTATAACAATGATACTTTCTTTGTTGGATGCTAAAAGAATGGAGAAGCACCTTATTTAATTGCTTATAAAAGTATTAATAAAACTCATTATGCATAATTTGGTGATATTGTGTACTTCCCTAATTTAAATGAAACAGTTATTAAAGTTACCGGAGTCTTAAATACACTTTTTACAGTTTAGGCCAAGAAAGTAATATTGTTCACTCTAGTAATGTCGGCAGCAGAATGGAGTATTAAGACAACTCAAAATGTTTTGGATAAGAATTATTTTGCAAGAACTACTGAAATCAATGTCACAGATATAGCTTATGCACCTTATTCAGAAGATAAATTATAATATTATAAATTGATTGTAGTTGAATTTAGACTTGGAGCATTTTGGGTAGATGCTGTAGTAAAAAATGATATACTCTCACCTTTTAGAACTGGCTTAATTAACCTTTAAGCACATTTTAATGAATACTATTCAAAATAATATCAATCAGTTGTCATCCATTCCACAACCTAAAATGTATCTTAACTTAATTTTAATCTCTTTTTATATCAAAAGTATTATGATCTAAACATCAGGGCAGTTTATGTATCAACTTCAAAAACGACAATTTAAGTTAATAATTATTTTTCATCAAATGGCTGGCCAACATGGGGTAAACCAATTGTATTTGGAAACTTGTAAGGGATCCTTCGTAGAAATACATTAAAATAAAGCATTTTTAATGTTTATAATATCATGATTCCTTATGCTTCAGTCTAAAACGAAAATAATTTAACTGCCACAACTTATGAACCAGTAGATACTTTCACCTCTCCTCCATAAGATTATTCTATATATTATTTTAATTCTGGCTATAGAGTGGTGCATAGTATAGAAGATAATAAATTATAAAGTTGCGATCTTTACAATTACAAATTATAAATGGAATGATATTATACATAAATAAGTAAATAAAATACAATCATATTCTACCTTTTATAAAAGAAAAAATAGATTATATTAGAATTTCTTATTATTATATAGCCTTTCCTTTTTGTTTTAATTAATTTTGTTTCTTTAGATTGATATTCTTGCTGCTCCTAAGAGTATAAAATCAATTTTAGAAACTGTAAAAATCATCTCATTTAAATTCTTTTTGTTATATAATTTAAAACAATAAATATATAATAGAGTTTATTTATCAATCAATATTTTATTCTTTGGCATAATTTAATCTTAATTAATATGATGTTTAAAATCAAATCAGCAAATTAATATAATTCAATATATTTATGCAAATAATTTGAGTAATAAGTCGGTTGATGTGAAACAAATAACTATAAATAGAAACCCAATAAATGGGGCACTTACAACATTTTTTACAAAGATTTAAATTTGGTTAATATATCATGTGTAGGTGTTTCATAGTCTACAAAAATGAGAACAATTCCTCTGTTTAGTGATCTTATATACTTCCATATCCTGGCAGAATGATTTATATAGTTTGTCCTTCCTTAACCAAAATTGAAACATTATAGAATTCACTAAAAAATGAATATTTTAAAGCTTTATGTTACTTGATATTTGCCAATTCAAATAAGCTTAGAAATTCTCAAAGGTTCAGTTTCTTATTTCACTATAAAGCTATTTATATTTCATCTTAATTCATTTCAAGCAAAATAATTTTATATTTTTGCAGCTTAATGAGATGTTGAACAAGAAAACGTAAAATTACCAGATTATTGTCACATGGAGAAATGATTAGAAGGGTAGTTAATTTTCTAAATGTATTTCTAAATTTATATTAAAATATAGATTTACATATAAAAATTACATAAATATAGGAATTAATTCAATTTTATCTAATTTATGAATACTTGCTGCTGTTTTTATACTATTTGCCTTCACCTTCCAAATTAAACACATTGCTTAAATTAATACTTTCATTAACTTCCCCAGGATGATAATTATCATTATTATCATTTTTTTTTTCGGGTTCTTCCTCAATTACAAAAAATTCCTTCTTTGTCATTGATGTGTCCATTCTGTTTTACAATTTTTCATCATCTTGAATTTATTCTGACTTGGGTACATCTTTGAAATTTTTCGAATTATTTTAGTATTTAGGTTAAGATTTTTGTTTCCTTCTGCATAACCTATACATAATTAGTCCAATTATTAAAATTCCAAAGAATACTCCTAAAATGAGAATCCAATCAGTTGCAGAATCAAGTTGAACTAGTAATCTTGAAACCATTTACAATGAGTTTTAATTTAAATAAACAATAAATATATATCTAAAATGATGATGATGAACAATGTCACAATTATTTCCATTTGCTATTTATTCTTTATAAAATCTTTTTCTAATCATGCTTTTATCATTTTTACATCAAAGTTTATGAAAATTAGATTTCTGTAATATTAACAATATTTTTATGAATAATTTATTAATCTAATAACAATTCAATTGCAATAAGTTAAGCTCCCTTAAATCTATTATGAAATTAATAAACTGATTTATTATAACAATCTTCCTTTTAATTTCATCAAAATTATCTCTTAATAATTTTTTTTGTTAGATTTTCTTCTAATTTTTTTTTTTTTTAATTTCGATCAATTCAGTAACATATTGATGTATAAATTTAAAAAAAAATGCATCATTGCAATTATATATCTTATAATATTCTTATTTATTTTTTATAAAATTCAATATATGTCTCACTAGTCCCTTTAATCAATAAATTTTCTCTAGAATCACATTTTCCTTCTATATATTAATAAAAGATTGCTAAAAGCCGATAGAAGCCTTGATAATTGTAGAATGCATTCTTCTATTTATTAATCTATACTAAAGATACTTTTTATTTGATCTAATTTTTGATATAATTCTAAATTGACAAAAATAAACAAGGCAATATGATATTTCATTTATTAGAAAATGATCAATTATTTACATAATTGATTTCTACTCATTTTTAATGATTAGTTCTACATCTAACTTATATTTTAATCATTACCAAAAGTTTCATTAAAATGTTTTTTAATATTTATTTTTCAAGAAATTTAATGAAATACCTTTTGATAAGATTTTAATAGACCAGATATTAAATTTTGTAGAGTAAGTTTTCCTTAACAAAAATAAGGTGTCTTCTATAATGGAGATCAACACAAGATTTGAAAAATTTTGATGAATATAATTATAAACATATTTAGCAAATCCAGAATTTATTAATAGAATACCTGCTATTTTAATAATTCCTTTATGATGTTGGTAGATTTAAATTCCCTGTCAATTATAACTTATAAATCTCTTAAACCATTAAAAATTTAAAACATAATTTCTTAAGTCTTTTGAAATATTTGATAAAGATATTTATGCTTCTTCTTCTTATAATCTTTTCTTTTAAATAAATTGTTATAAATATTCATCTTTACAAAATTCAGTAATGATGTATAAAGATCTTTGAGTTGTTATATATTAAAGAAGTTCACGATATTAGGATTCACTAACAGCTTAATTCCTTAAATTTCAAATAATGGCAAATTCATTTTTTTAATAGCAAAAAAATCATTAGTCTTAAAATCCATTCTTTAGTACACTTATCCATATGCTCAATCTTTAAAACAATGCCTTTAATTATATTGATATTAACAGATCTATATGACTGTTCTATTTAATTGACTCATAAAATGATATATTATAGTATATTATATTATAATAAAATTTATTAAATATATAAAATATGTACAATAATATTGGTTTAACAATATGGAATAGGTTTAGGAGAGAGGATTACATTTAAATATGAATATTTTTAATAAAATGAAACAATCTATATCAGATTTATAAAATATAATATAATTAATTAGATCATGTGGTGATATTTGATGTTTATTTATGACGGATTACTAGTAATTTAAATTGAGAATTGTTAGTTAAGATAAGCATAAATATTTTTTTAAAATATAATGAACAATATCGATTAATTCTTCATTTCTCATATATAAAAGTTTGTTCCATCTTGGAGCCATCTTTAAAGTGATGATTTGAGAATCACAAAGACTATAGGAATAACAAATAAGACATATATTATTGAAGCGGATGCTACACCAAGTAAAATAATCTTTCGTCATTTTGGTGAAGTTGGAGTTGGATTATTTTTGAACAGAGAATAAGAATTAGAGATTGCAAGATAAGTAGCAAAATGTAAAATGGGACCACATTTTTATGGTCACACCTCTCATGTATTAACTAATTTAATAATAAAAGGTTCGTTTGGAAGAATACCTTGAGAATGAGGTCATGAGTTAAGAGTCTATGAAAGATCCTGAGACTTATGCTTTAGTGGCTTAAACTTTATGTAAGTTTCACTAGATAGATATATCTTGTCAAATGAAAGACAGAACACCTTTGTTTGAAAAACATTTGGAAGAAAATTCAGATTTCCTATAGCAAGTTAGAGACAAAGTTTTTTCTAATTTATTTTCAGAAGAAGAAAAATCTATTCTATCTAACATGGCTAATTGGTTCTCAGAAGAAGAAGTTTCATTTTTACGATCAATTCTACCAAAAGATGACATTGTTTTTTCTCATAACGATTTATTAGCAAATAACATACTATTGATTCCACCTGTAATTATATATACTTATTTATCAATTAGAACTTTGATAAGGTTGTTTTCATTGATTTTGAGTATTCTTCTTATAATTTCAGGGGATTTGATATAGCTAATTATTTCATTGAATCATAATTTAGTTATTAAAACCCTAATCCACCTTATTTCTATATTGAAGAGGAAATGATAGATGAAGAAGTATTGAAAGACTTTGTTAAAGTCTATATTGAAAAGTCAGGCTTGCAATTAGACTATCAAAATTTACTACATTAAGTCAAAATTGGGCAACTGTTCTCGCATTTCTTTTGGGCGTATATAATTTATTTATAATTTATAGAGCATGGGGAGTCATTATGGCTAAATCAAATGATATCGTTTTTGATTATCTTGCTTTTGTAGAAGTTAGATATCATAAATATTACTAACTAAAGAAGCATCTTTTTGGAAAAAAATGATTAAATAATACATAGTTTTATTAATATTTTAATCCAATAGTCACTTGTTCATTCTTTACAATTGTTCCAGAAAATTTTAATTATTAAAATTTATTAAACCTAATATTAAAAATCAATAAAAACACAACCAATTTACGTAGATTTAATTATTATCTTGATATTGTAAAACATAAAAGTATATACGAGTAAAATTAAATTCTTTTCAAAAGTCTTCATAAAATTAAAGAAAAAAGACATTTAAATTTAAGAATTGCATGAAGTACTTGATTTATATATTAAAATCAGTTCTCAATCTGATCATTATATTAAAGTTCCTTAAAGAAATACCTCTCTAAGAATCTAACTAAAAGAAATACAACCCCCTTTTCATTCAAGTGCCATTTATTATCAAAGACTCTTTCATTTACATAACTATTAATAAAATCAGCAAAATCTATAATAGTCTAATCAATATTATTGATTCACCATAATATTCTAAAAGATGAACTAAATTTACTTAAAGCTTAATCATAAGGCTTATCAATCCTAATTATCTTTTTTCAATCAAAGAAATATTAAAATCAATTTATAGTTTTTGTATAAACATATAATCTATTGATGAATAGCATCACCCTTCTATTGTTTAATTATATAAAAATTAGCTTGTAAAGCATTTGAAAATACTTGAAAGATTTTTGAAGGTTTTACAATAATTGGAAATTTTTATAGTAATAAAAATACTAAGTTTTCTAAATTTAAACCTCATAATTCTATGATTCTCATAGGGATGATAAGTTATCCAAAAAGTATGAGATTAATTTAAAGATGAATCATATAATTTTAATTTACATTAATAAAGATGGATCAAGAAAAAAAGAGATTCATTTTTATTAATTATGTGAGAAATTAAATATATGTTTTTATGTTTAATATAATTAAGAATATAATAAATATATCAAATTTAACAAAGTTGAGTCTTTGTAACTTAACGCAAGTCCTTTTTTATTTGGATAAGATTTTGAAGTCCAAATATTCATATTAGTCTAAACAAAAAATTCTACATCAACAGTTTGCACAAAGAAGAAAAACTAAATGAATAGTAATTGGCTTATTCAAAGTATCAATTCTCATATTACAATAATACCCAATCTACATATTTTTTGAAATATTTAAGAATATCAAAAATGAAAGGGTAAAAATTCTTTGAGTTCTTAAAACTTATTTCTTTGTCTGAATGTAATTTTATATACATAAACAATTCCATTTTCAAATATTTTAATGGTTTTATCTTATAACACTAAGAATAATTGATATCATAATTAAGATTATAATCCTATTTTGGAATCATACTTTAGAATTTTTCTTGAATAACAAAGTTTAAAATGATGGTTTCAATTTTATATCATTTAAGAGTATCATGACATTCCTACGTTTTTTATTTTTATTTTTCTTTAAATTTCTTCGAAAATTATTTTATTACTGAATTCGCTTATGAATCTTCAAATGATGAAATTAATTCAACAGAATTTATTCTTAACGTTTACTCAATTTTCAATCATTAAAAAAGACCTACACTATTCATAGAAATTGATTATGTAATCATATAAATCTAAATCTATTAATATGAAAAAATTGAAATTCCAAATACCAAAATTGATTAATATCTGTCTCTTAATTTTATTCCCGAAGCTCATAATATTTTAATATTTAGAATAAAATAATATCATTTTAATGAAATTTTTATTATTTAATAGTTGAACTAAGTAAAATTTTTAGAATTATTTTAAAATTTAAAAAAAAAAATGGACTAAATATCAGACGAAGCAATGAATGCTATGCCTAAAAAACCATAAAATGCTTATATGCAATTCAGGGCAGACAATTATGATGATCTTAAGAAAAAGAACTAAGAAAAAAGTATGACTGAATTGACTTCAATGATATCATCTATGTGGGGTGAATTGGATGAAAAGAAGAAAGAAGTATAATATCTTTATTAGAACCTTTTTATTAGAAATACAACAAAGATTATGACAAGGCTTTAGAATAATATAAGACTGATTATGCTGGGTGGTTGAAGAAGTTCAAATTAGATGAAGACAAAGTTAAAAAGTGTCTTAAAGAAAACAAATAAGCTAAAAAAAAGAATAAGAAGGGTTCTAAGAAAGTAACAAAGGCATCAAAGAATGAAGAAGAAAGTGATGATGAAGATGAACAAAAAATTTAGTCATTGAAAAATAAGAACTAGAAGAAGTAATAAGAATAGAAGGATGCAAATGGACAAAAAAATACTTAAGACTAATAGAAACATAAAGTTAACCCATAACAGAAAGAGAAAGATAAAGAGAAGGAGAAAAAGGATAACAAAAAAAAGTGATTAATTTTATAATAAATTATAATTAAAATTATTCCAATAATGCTTCAAATACAATAACTTTGTTAAGATTCAGGTTTATCTTGTGGAAGAGGAATTTTTATTGGAATATATTCTGGATTAATTTTTGCTATATCAATCTATTGTTTAATAAAGCTTTATGGATTTATGGGTAGAATTTCATATGAAATGATCCCTTTAACTACATGTGCCATACAATCTTTTTTGCATTTCATCAATGACATTTTTTTAGTTACTAACTCTTTATAAATTGTTATTATTTACTTTTGTTTACAAACATTTATATTGATATCTCAAAGCTTTTTTCATTTATACTATAAAATTACGTACTCCAAAGAAGAATTTTAAGGATATAGATTAAAATAAAAATATAGCTTAATTATATTTTATATTGTATTTACTTCGATTATAATAATAAATTTGATTAAAATAGATGATAATAATTGTTTAATATATTTTGATGTAGGATTGGCATTATAATTTATAATAATATTTTTTAGTGTTTTAGTTTCAATACTTTATGGTTAAAAATTAAAACATGAAATGAACAGACATGAAAAAACAAATGTGACTAAAATTGCAAATTACTAGACTACAGCAGTGCAGATAGTTCTAAGTTCATCCGCAATTTTAGAATTTTTAATGTCAATTTTATCTCTTACTACATTTTAAGGATTATTTTGTAATTTACCATTAAATAATAAAAATGATTCAGGATTTACACCTGGAGAGAATGTATATTTAACTTTTTTCTCAATGATAGAAATGACACCTTGTATTTTAGTACCTATAATATTTTTTTATTTGCCTTAAATACCATAATAATAGAGTCAACAAAATGAGTTTAACTTAAATGATACATTTTTATTATAAACTGCAAGATAATCATTAGATTTTAGTGGATTATTAAGTATGTCTATTGAATAAAAATAATGAAATTATTTAAACCTTTTTTATTAAGTAATAAATAAAGAGTTTTTGTGTATAAAAATAAATTAAGAGTTTTTGTGTATAAAAATAAATTGGCGGAATATAATAAATAATTAATTAAATATGCCTCCTAAAACTAGTTAGAGTGGATTGATGTCGGTAGATTAGAGATCTGAAATAGGAGATTTTTCTAGACATACTCCAGCAAGATCTTTAATATAGCCACGTAATAGATAGATATTAGGGACTGTATCAAGGAGAACAGGAACATAATCTTAACATTCACCAACAAGAATGACAGTGGAAACATAAGATGCAGTATATTGGGGTACAAACATAGATGAGAAAGCAGTGGAAAAATAATTTGATAGGTTTTTAAAAGAGTATAGATGTGGAGGAATGGAATATTATATAAATTAATTGAACTAATTGAATGAAACAGATTAATACATCTTAAATATTGATGGAAGACATTTGTTAGAATTTAATAATCATTTATATTAACAATTATAACATTATCCAGCTGAAATAATTCCAATATTTGATACAGTAGCATAGAGAGTGTTTTATGATGATTTTTTATCATTAAAAGCTAGAAATGAATAGGAGCGAGAAGAATACAGATTATATGCTTAGAGATTATTGATAGGTATAATAAATTTGGAGAGAAATGTGTAAGTAAGAGAATTGAATCCAAAGGATATAAATAAGTTAATAAGTGTAACAGGAATAGTAATAAGATGTAGTGAATTATATCCTGATATGAAATAAGCTACATTTAAATGCACAAAATGTGGTCATAAGATAGGAGTTAATATAGAAAGAGGAAGAGTAGAAGAGCCAATCAGTTGTTAAAGATGTAGAGATAAAGGTTCATATGAATTAATACATAATCTTTGTTAATTCACAGATAAACAATTTGTTAAATTATAAGAATAACCTGAGACAGTACCTGAAGGATATACACCATAAACCGTTAATTTGGTTCCTTATGATAATAATGTAGATGATGTTAAACCAGGAGATAGAATTATTGTTATAGGAGTATATAGAGCTGCACCTATTAGATAAACAAAAAATAGAAGAGTTTTAAAATCTATTTATAATACTTTTATAGATGTTATATCATATCAAAAAGAAACTAAAGTTGAATAAGAAAAAAATAAAAATATAACTGAAGAATAAAAATAAAAATTAATGTATCTTTCTTAATAACCAAATATTTATGACAGTTTAGTAAAGTCTATAGCTCCTTCAATTTGGGAGATGGATGATGTTAAAAAAGGAGTTCTTTGTTAACTTTTTGGAGGAACTAATAAAGAATTCTCTTAAGCAGGTAAAGGTAGATTCAGAGCAGATATAAATGTTTTATTAGTTGGAGATCCTTCAACAAGTAAATCTTAAATATTATAATGTGTTCATTCATTATCAAGTAGAGGAATTTATACATCAGGTAAAGGTTCTTCAGCAGTTGGTCTTACTGTTTATGTTTCTAGAGATCCAGAAACTAGAGAAATCATTTTAGAATCTGGAGCTTTAGTACTTAGTGATATGGGTATTTGTTGTATTGATGAATTTGATAAAATGGATTAAAATGCTAAAACTATTTTACATGAAGCTATGGAATAATAAACTATATCTGTTGCCAAAGCTGGTATTGTTAGTTAATTAAATGCTAGAACTGCTGTTTTAGCTGCTGCTAATCCTCTTAAATCTAGATATGATGTTAAATAATCTGTGGTTTAAAATATTAATATGCCGCCTACTATTTTATCTAGATTTGATCTCATTTATTTAGTACTTGATGAATTTAATGAAAAAAGAGATGAAATGTTAGCTTATCATATTTTAAATATGTATTCTCTTAAAGACAAATAAGATTATTTAAATCAAATGGAAGAAGAAGGAAATACAGAAATTATTGATCGAGAAACTTTATATAGTTATATTTGTTATGCTAAATAAAATATCTTTCCTAGATTAACTGAAGATGCATAAAATGAATTAATTTAAGCATATGTTAAAATGAGAAGTGCTGGAAACTCTTCTAATACTATTACGGCTACTCCTAGATAATTAGAATCATTAATTAGATTATCTGAAGCATTAGCTAAAATGTAATTCAATCAAAGAGTTGAAAAATATCATGTATAAGAAGCTGTTAAATTAATGGAAACTGCCATGAAAAAAGCAGCACTTGATCCTATTACTGGTAATTATTTTATTTCAAATTTTAGGTAAAATTGATATGGATTTATTGGCAACTGGTAGATCTAATGCTTCAAGAGAATTAGTTTCTAAATTAATAGTTGAAATCACTAATTTAATTAAAGCTAATTTATCTGATTATAGAGGATAAGGTGTTAGATTTTTTGATTTTGTAGAATAAGTATTCATTTTTTAAAATATTTTAGATTAACACACTCATATCTGCCTAAACTAGTGAAGGAATGATTAATGATAAGAGACAGCATTAAAAGGAAATCTTAGAAGCTCTACATTTACTTGAAGAATAAGGTTTTGTCTAATTACCAGGTGACAGAAATAAACCGAAAATTAAAGCTGGTATTAAAGCTCTTTAATGATTTATATTAAGTAATTTTATATAATATTACATTTTTTAATTAACAGATGGACTCCCCTTTAAAAGATATGACAGGAACGATTGTTAATAAGTACAATTCATAATAAATTAGACAATACAAACTTATCAAGAAATTAGGAGCTGGTGCTTTTGGTGAAATTTATTCTTCGTAATCAAATGGATTAGAGTATGCTATAAAAATAGAGAAATCTGATTCGAAACATCCTTAGTTAGAATTTGAATCAAAATTATATCACTATTTGAATAATCATAATGGATAAGGAATTCCAAAATATTATGGCTATTATTCTCAAGATGGTTATAATTTTTTAGTAATGGAATTACTTGGTCAATCACTTGAAGATCTCTTTTCTGAAAACAATCGTATTTTTACACTACAAACTGTTTGTGTTTTAGGAATTTAAATGTTAGAATGTATAGAGTTCTTACATAGCAAATAATTCATTCATCGAGATATTAAACCAGATAACTTTTTAATGGGTAAAGCTTAAAAGGATAGAGTATATTTAGTAGACTATGGATTAGCCAAAAGGTATATTTCAAAAGATCTTCATATCCCTTATAAAGATAACAAAGCTTTAACTGGAACTGCTAGATATGCTTCTATTAATACACATCTTGGTATAGAATAATCTAGAAGAGATGATCTAGAATCTTTAGCTTATGTTTTGATGTATTTTTTAAGAGGATCTCTTCCTTGGTAAAATTTAAGAGCAAATAATTAAAAAGAAAAATACGATAGAATTATGGAAAAAAAATTAGCCACATCTTCAGAAACCTTATGTAAAAATTACCCATCTTAATTATTGTAATTTGTAGATTATACTAAAAATTTAAAATTTGATGAAAAACCAGATTATTAATTTATTAAAAACCTCTTTATTTCAATCATGTAAGAAAATGATTTAAGAATGGAATATATCTACGATTGGGATGATGAAAATACTTAAAGAGATAAGATTTAAATTAGAAATGAAGAAAAGAATGTACAACTTAAAACAAATAAATAAAGTAGTAATACTTAATAAAGAGCTAATATACATTAAGAAAATAAAAATTTAAATGCCAACAGTATTTATATGAGAAATTGCAGTAATGTTAATAATAAATACAGTATTGGAAGAACAAAAACCAATTCTATTGGATCAATCAATAAAATTATAGTAACGAAAACAAAATAAATAACTAATAATACTATCAATAGTTTGACCAATTAAAATACAATACCAAACAATAATAATAATAAATTGCATTAAAACTTAGCTAAATAGATTATTAAGAAGCATTCTAGTTTACATTACTAATGATTAAATTAATTTGAATAACAATTGTCTTATATAAAATATGATTTTTTTGATTTCTTATTCTTAATAATTTTGACGTAATAAAAATAAATAAATTTGATAAATATTTATTTTATTTTTTATTAATCAAATTAAAATATGGAACTTAATTCTTATTTAAAAAATTATAAAGTATAATTAACATCAATAAATTTTGAAAAAGAATTCCTTATAACAATAATTATAGCATCATAAACAATTAACTAATATATTGAAAATTATTGGTAATTTTTGGACTATCCTGGTAATGACCTAATCTTCCTTAAAGTAAAAAAGCAAAATTCTTCCCAAACCTTGCAAATTATTATAAATAATAAACTTTAAAGAACAGCCAATATAAAACTATGTAGAATTAGCTCGAACAACTAGATGTTCCAAGAGGATAATCTTTTACATTTGATTCCAATCGTCCATTTATTTATTACTATTCTATTGCCAAACCAATACCAGATAATATAGTTGATGATTTAGTGGTTTGTTGCTAATTAAGAACTTTCTTAATAAAATAATTACCAAAAGTTTGGTTTTTGATGGCTAGTACAACAGCTCACATTTTAATAGAAAAACAGCAAAAATTTGTGACACAAAATTTTATTTTAGACATCTTTATTTATAGTTGGTTGTCTGATGGAATTCAAAGCTTTAAAAAGGAATTAATGAACAGATTAAGTAAACTAATTGTAGAAAATGAGAAGTTAGATAGACTTATTGATATTTTTACATAAGAAATGGTCTCAATCTAAGAAGAGTTTTCAAATTTTCATAAGTCAGAATGCTTTCTCTAATATAATGATAGTTGTGTACAACCTTTAATAGTATTTCGAGAAAAGGGGAAAAATGAGAATTAATCCTTAATCAAAAGAATTGATGAATTAAATATTGATGACGATAGTAGAGATTCAACTTTATCATCTTCTTAAATTTCATAAACTTTTACAAATAAAGATACTGATAGAAGTAAATCTGATATCAGAGAAGTTACAGCAGCACTTCAAAATAACAAGATGAGAAAATTTACAAAGTAAATGGAAAAAATGACACAAAATGTTTTTGCCGAATTAATTAAATATAATTCATAAGATTAATAATGGCAAATAGCTAGATAATTTGTTGTTATTATTTTAGAAACTAGCGTTTAGTCTGATCATTATTTAAAAACTACAGAAAAAGTTAGATTTCTATAACCTGCCTTGCTCTTCTATAAAAAAGCATTATAGGTTTGGATCCTTACAAAATTTTCAATCTAATAATCAAATTAAACAACCAAAAATTTATAAGATAATAAAGTAACCAATAAAATAATTTTAGATGAAGTTTAGTTAATTCTTATGCAAAGCAAAAAACTTTATGGGAAAATTTTGGAATGAAAAATTAGTTATCCCTCTTCATACTGTATTTTAAATTGCAGAATAGACATATCCTGAAGTTTAATAGGAAGTTAACATAATCGAAGTATATCTAATTTTAATTAATTTAGTAAATGAAAAAATTTTCTATTTTATTAAAAGAAAAATTAGTAGCATTATGGGACCAAAATCTGGCTCATTGCACAAAACAGCTTATTTAATAATAATGATTAATGATTAAAATTAATAAAAAATCTAACAAATTAGAATTAAAAAAAAAATATTTATTCTCATCAATTCTTCTCTGTTACACTTGATTAAATATTTAACATTCCAGAATTCATTAAAGTCATAGACAATTAAGCTTTATCTTTTCTAACTTATTTCAATTGAGATTACAAACTTTCTATCTTAGCTTTTTATGAATTTGTTTCATCTTTCAACTACATTATATGACTCTCATATTCTTAAACTTATTTTTCATTCAAAATAATTCCACTAATTTATGATGACATTATTTATTATTTAATTTCTTTGTTATTCATTTTCAATTCAGAAATCAATTAATTTTTCAATTTGACTTCTTCTTTTAAACTTTAAAGTAAATTTTCTAAATCAACAATTTATTGCTTATATTCATTTGTTTTTTATATAAGATGTTTATTTAACTAATAAATAACTACAAGTTTATACTTCTTTTTCTTTATCATAATTATCTCCTTTAAAACCTTATTTTTAATTTCCCAATAACTGAATATTATTTCTAAGTTCATTTATTTAATTATTCAAATTAACTTCATTTTTTATATATTAATCAATTTTTTTCTATAACTCTGCTATAGTTATTTTTTATTACTTAATTTAATTAAAATATGCTTCATTTTCTTTTTCATTATTATAACTAACATTTGATAACTTTTCTTAAAATTCGCTTAATTGAATTTTATATGTAGAATTTATTTCAATTACTTAATTTAAATTATTAATTAATTAATCTAATTTTTCTTTCTTTTCTTCTAATTGAGTTCTAAGATCTAAATTTTATGATTTCAATTCATTTTAACAATAATTTGAATTCTAATTTTAAGGCTAGGCAGACCCCATTTCTTTTAATTTTTAATTAAGATAAGCAATTTAATTGATATTTTCTCTATTCAAATTTTTAGCTTGGATTTCTAACTAAGACAATTAATCTGTAAGGATCTATATTTTATCTTATTACATTTTAACAGTTTCTAAAGTTGTTTTATATTCTTAATTCAATATTTATACTTTTTACTCCAAAAATAATTATTATTGATCTTTGTTTTATTATAAATAACTTTTTTCCGAATTTATCTTATTAATAATTTCATCATAGTGTTTTTAGATTTACTATTTTTCTATTTAGTTTTTTTTAATTATTTCATCTAATTTCTCATTTAATTCTTAGGTATGTAATTTTTTGATAGTTTCTACCTCTTTTGCATTTTATTATTCAATATTAATAATTTATTAACTTAGAATGATGTTATGTTATTTTAGTTCATCAATAAGCTGCTCTAAAGAAATCACATCTTGAGAATGATTTTAAATCGATTCTTTAATATTATGTTCATATTTTTCAAGGGCTTAATTAAACTCATTTTATATTCGTTCTAATTCGAGTTATTTTTCGGATAATAATTCTTCTTTTACATTCAAATCTTCAATTCTTTTTTCTAATTAATTTGATAGTTCTTTTGATTAAAATATAAGAGAGTTTAATTATTCTTATTTATCTTTTACATCCATTTATAATGAATTAATCTTATTGTTTAGTAGTTTGGTAGCTTAAGTTAATTCATTAGCTTTTAATGTATATTTTTGCTACCATTAACTTTCGATTTATTATTTTAATTAATTTTCAGAGTTTTTTAATTACTTAATTTCTTTTTAGTGTGTAAGTTGAACATTTAGAATCTAGTCATTATATGATTTTTATTATATTATTTTATTTTATTCGTTTGCAATTAATTATTATTTCTGTTCTTCATTTTGCTTAATAAGTTAATCCAATTGTTTTTGTTGTTCATTAATTTTATTATTTGATTATTAAAGTGCTTTTTTTAACTTAAAATAGATGATTAATTACTTCATTATTGGATTACAGAAAGAATTCAAGTTATTCAGCTTGTCTTAAGATATTTGTATTTTATTCTTTAGTTTTTTTCTGATCTTATGGGATATTTAATGCTACACATACACTTGAAGGGGAAGAAAGTGTAGGTTATAATAAAAAATCGTTTTAATTTTGAAAAGGCGTCACTTAACTTTAACCATAGATAGGTGCCAAATTTCTTCTAGGACTATTTTAGTTTTATATTTAATCTAATTTTGCCAATAATCCTGATACATCCCTAATGTGATAACTATATTTTACTATTTAAATTGTTTCTAATCCTTCATTATAGATTATAGAACTTAAGGCTATTAAATTTGGTTATGTGTAGTTGAAGGAATAGATAGTATTTATGATGGGTCTAAAATTATTTGAGTAAATTACTTGGAGGCATTGGTTAGTATTACTAAATCATTGAACTAATATTAGATAATTTTTATCCAAGTTATTGATTTTACATTGAGGATTAGCAGTTAATATAAATTTGTTAATATATAATATTATTTTAAAAAAGAGAAATTATAAAAATAAATAGAAATGAATAATATCTAATAATAATAAGTAGATATATTCAAAATCAATATAGATTGATCAGTTATTAGGAGATTCGTCAACATTAAGCCATTTTGCTCTTTTTCCACTTTCCCACAATCCTTCTTTTTTTTCTCCATTAGGTAATGTAATCATTCCTTTTCCATGTTATTTACCATTAATCCAATATCCTTCATATTTTCTTCCATTTTCCCATTAAAATATACCAAAACCATGTTTTTTATCATCTTTGTAATCTCCATCATATCTTTTCCCATCAGCCCATTAAGTAATACCTTTTCCATTCATTTTACTATTATTCCATTAACCTTTATATGATTTTCCATCTTTCCAATAATATTCTCCATAACCAGTAATTTCATTCTCAACAAAATCACCTTTATAGTAACTACCATCTGCAAAAGTGAGAGTACCTTGTCCATGTTTCTTTCCATTTTCATATCTACCCTAATAGTCATATAGATAAATATACTTCATATTTAGCTCCATCTGGCCACACTTCTACTCCTTAACCATGTTATAAATCATTCTTCCAATCTCCTTCATATCTTGCTCCACCTATATTATAACTTATTTAATAACCACTATGAATATAAACTCCACGACCATTTGCCATATCATCTAACCATTAACCTTCATATATATCACCATCAACATGCACTTTTATTTTATAATTTTAATCTACCTAATTTACCAAATCCATTTGCTTTATCTTCTACCCATTCTCCTTCATAAAAACTTCTATCTGGCCATACATATTTCCCTTAACCATCTCTTAAACCATTTTTCCATTCACCTTCATAAACTCCTCCATTCTTCATTTCTATTGCACTCAATTTTGTTCTTGTTAGTTTTCCCTTTGTTGATTACACTAATTATAGGTATTAATCTTCTGGTTTATTATCATCTAAACTTCTAATATAATATTATACCATTTTCTCTTTTCATTAATTTTGGAGAAGAACTATCATCAATTGAGTTATTTCTTGCTCCTGCCATTTATGCAACATCTTCATCCTTTAAATGTACTCCTATTTTTTCTTTTCCCTATTCATTATTATTTTCTTTTGTACATCAATTTCCTAATTTAAACCTGCTTCCATTTTTGCACTTGGTTTTTATTAACTTTACTGTTTTTAATTTGTATTCAGTTCTATTTCTTCATTTCCTTTTGCCTAACACTGACAAGAACAACCATTACCCATTTGAATTGAATAGAAATTAAATTTTATAATATTTATATATATATTCAATCAACTTTATTTATTTCATTCCCTCTTATTACTAATCTTATTTCTTACTCCATTTTTCATCAGCTTTTTTTATTATAAAAAATTCCAATTACTTTTTATTTAATCTATTTTATAATTAAAATTAATAAAAACAATGAAGTGCTCTTGCAACAATGATTTGATTAAACAATTTTCAGATTTCAACTTGTATATTTAAACTTGTATATGAATTGTTTCCATTATTCATAGGTAAAAATTAACAACTAATCATTAAATGTCAAGGATCACCTGAAACTATAAATGAAAGCAAGAATCTTGATTCAAACCCTTTTACATAAATTTTTGAATTCAATGCTAATAGTTAATGTGTATAACCTAATATTTATTATAGCATTTTAAAATGTCAATTGATAATGATAATAATTTCAAAATTATGAGTTCTTAATAGCCTGTTATTAATCAGTGCATCTGCTAACATGAATAAAAAAAATAGAAAAAATAAAAAAACAAAGCTAAATAACTGAAACCTAAACCGGATGTTGAAAAATCTCAAGAAAACTCTGATTCTAAAACATCTCAAAAATAATCAAAAATTCATTCTTAGGTGAATGAGGATATTCGCATTTTTGAAGATAAAATTCGATTGTACACATCTGAAATAGATGAATCGAAAAAAAAAACATTAAATCTTCCAATAAAGTGGATAAAAAAATTGGGAACCTAGAATAAGAGAATATGAGAATAATAAAAATACACAATCTTAAAAAAACAAATCATTTTAAAATTTATAATTAGTTAATTTTTGAATTATATATCAATTACAATTAATTTAATATATAGAAATATAACATATAAAATGTAAAATATAAAATCTAAGTTTAGTTATCAATTATAGTTATTAAATAATGCCGATTAAGCTTATGTCTGATTTTTGAGCAAATTCTTCAATTTCTATTCTTTTCAAAAATTAATTTTTTTATTTGTCTCATATTCTAACTTTAAAGCTTCTCTATTTAATAATTTTATTTAATCTAAAATCGTATTTCACCTTATCCTAAGTAGAAATAAGAGTATCATTGAAAATGTTATTCTAAATATTGTAATTTTTTTACCCATTAATATGATTATAATATTATTCTTTTTTATTAATGTTACTCTTATCTAAATCTTTTTTTTACCTGCCTTACTTTTATTTTATTTCTGACTCCTTTTTTCCATCATATTTTTATTGTATTTAAATATTTTTTTATAGTTTAACCAAATATTTTTAATCAATTATCATTAATTGTCTTCAAAACTTTCTTTTTAGATTATTGGTGCAAAGAATCTGGTTTTGGTTTAGAATTAAAAATGAATTTATCTGATAGATTTTCATAAAATTTATTATTAATTAATTTTAAATTTCTGAATATTTTGATTAAAAATTTTTCTAGCATTATCTTTTTTTGCAATCAACATTAATTATTTCTTATGTTTATCAAGAAGAAATTTTATGAATTTATTAGATTTTATTTATGGAACAGACTTTTTTATATTTCATCTTTTCATTTCTCTAACAATTTATTATATTGTTGTTATGATTAAGTTTAAATTAATTTGTTAGTAAAAATACTTTTCGATTACATTTGCTTCAATCTTTTTATAATCAAATTTTTTTTTTCTGATCAATATTTTAACTATCTTTAATTAGATTAATTGAAATAGATTAATCTGATGTTATGAAATAGATTTTGTCTAACTTATAATAAAGTCTAGCGTATATTTAATTGTTATGTAATAAATAATAATAGAAAATGATTAATTCAAATTCTAGCAAACTAAAAAGGAAATATCAATAATTAAATAAATGAAAATAATTTATATCTTATTATCTACTGTTTATCTATGTAAGGCATAAATAAATATGGCATTTTGTGACGAATATATTGAATATGATGTGAATAATTTTGGAAAATTTATTTCTAATGTTAAACTTTCAAATAGCACAGATGCCATCTTAGCTGAAAAAAGAGTTCTTATTATTGATGATAATCTTAATGTATTAAGTTCAATGTCTATACCTAAAACTTAAACTCATAACTGCGAATGGATATTCAATTATAACAATGATACTTTCTTTGTTGGATGCTAAAAGAATGGAGAAGCACCTTATTTAATTGCTTATAAAAGTATTAATAAAACTCATTATGCATAATTTGGTGAAGCCTTAAATACACTCCTTTATTTACCAAAATAATTGGAATTATAAGCTTATTGAAACAATAACATTGAAAAGTATTCTTTATTTTATACTGTAGGCAGATATTTAACCTGCATATAGTATAATTATGTATGAAGAATTAATTTTTTGCTACAATGAAGATCGAAATTTTATAATAAAAGAAAAACAGTATTACAGCATACTTCCAAAATCCTTAAAAATTTATTTATTGATATCCTAAACAATATTTAGAGAGATTTCTCTTTCTGTAAATGTTTATTTTGGTTTTTTGGATACTGTTATTTCTTAAAGGAATCCCATCTCGTATGCTGACTTAAGATAGATATAATTTTGAGTTCATCATGTTACTGTTGAATTCTAAGATTTTCTAATGAAGTATTTGATTCTTTCTACTTCATGATGGATCAATTATAGACTTCATTGGTAAATATAAATTTTTGTGATTGGGCTTATTTATCAAATTGCAATGGTGTATCAAATGGAAAATTCATATATCTTTTTAAATCTAATAGAACCAGAAATCTATTTATCTTAAATCATTATCTTTATTTTATATCCTAATTGTACTCTCCTTATTCTAATTTTTATAAAAACAATATTTTTTTTTCTTTTTAAAGTTATTTCTTTCTATTATTTTCTAATTCTATTTCAATAAGCTGTTTATATAATAGCTTTTTTATTAAAATAAATAATTATATTATAAAATAAATAATTATATTATAAAAATATCATAATTTCTATTTTCATTTTTTTAACAAAACACTTTATATCATTCTTTTTTCGAGCATATATTTATACATTAATTCTTTTAGTGTGGTTTTATCAACGCATTTAAATAAATTTAGATTCTTCACTTCAAAACCTTATGCAGCTATATATGCTCCACGAGAACCAGATTTTCCTTTTTTATAAACTGATCTAAAACTTTTAATAAACTCAGCCTTCAATTATTTATAATAATTTTGTACGATTACAAATTATAATTTACTTAAATTTTTTAATAAATTTTTACCCATCTAAATATGGTGATTTCTTAACTTCCTCATCAACTTAAAAATTAATAATCGTTTTATTCATTTGTTTTTTTATCTCCTTTACCTCTAATTAATTTAAATAATTATAAATACTTTCAATATCTTCCTTTTGTATTTGATTATACATAATACCCCAATATTTATTCCATAACATGATTATTCTTTAAACATAAGCTCCAACTTTTTTTTTGTAATTTCTATAGGATTCAATTACAGTTCTTATTAGTCTTCTAAATCTATAAGTTTTTTGAATTATTTCTCCAATCTACCCATAACTTTTCATAAAAGAAAAGCAAATAAATTCAGCTCTTTTTTTGACTGTGTTTTAATAATTTTAAGCAAAAACACAAAGACTTTATAATGTTTAAAATTTAGTCCTTAATTAAATATTTTCACCATGCTTAATCAGGTATTTCCTTAAATTTAATCTTGTTCTATGTTTTTTTCTAACAATAGTAGCTTCATTCATCTTATGATTAATCATTTACTAAATTAATGATAAAAATATTTACAATATACTAAACACGAATAAGTCTGCAAATATATATAGAATATAGATTAGTTAGCCATGTTTTTTATTAATCCTTAATTTATAAATCAATTTGATCTTTAATATTCAAGATATCTTTAATAATCTTTTTTTTTTAAGAATATTCATATTTTTCTCTGATAAGATCTTGTTTATCTTAATCAATGTTTAATTTATTGACTAGAGTTTCTTAAAAACGTTTAGCTGATTAGACTCTTTTAAGTTATAGTTACTTTTTTTGATTTTAAGGTTCATATTGTCTTAAATTCATATTCATAAGTATTAAATCTTTAGATTATTTCCTTTATAATGCACTATTAATTCTACCAGACATAAATGAAGTCATTGGTCTTTCTTTATCTTCCTAATCTTATTTTTACAATTTCTGTATTTTCATTCCATATTAAAGTTTAGCATGAATAATAGATTATTGTTAACTAAATATAGCCATATACAAAAATGGAGTAGTAAAAATATTATCTTCTCCTGGTTCTGTATATCTTAATACTTATTTTCTTTGAAATGCCTCTTCAAAATTAAATCTATTAGGTGTTAAGGTATGTCTAGAAATGTAAAACTTCATTTTAGCTTAATTTGTAAAAGTAAAATCTAAGAAATTAATGCAAATATTTACTAATAATTAAAGGTTTCTTATGACCAACTAATGGTACTTCAAAGTAATGAAATGTGCATAATTAAAGATGTATAATATTATCTAATTTTGCATCTAATTAAGCTCTTAATTCTGTAATCACATAGCCTTATTATTTTTTAACAACTTCCGTTTAAAAATTGTATTCAAAATCCTTTTTTGAAGGTATGATCTATTTAAGCTTTCTAGCTTCTAATTGATTAAGTAATTCATAATTTGAATGGATATTGTTTTGTTATACAATTGAGTTTTTAAAGTCTAAAGTTTTCATATTATTAATAATGGAATAAACTAAAAAAATATTGTTGGAGATGGATGTTTTTGGAAGCATGAATTGAATATGTAACGATTAGTAGGTGTATTAAATACAGATGTTGGTTATAGTGGAATAATAGATCATCCATGTTCTAAATTAATATGTACAGGATAAACAAATCATGCTGAAGTAGCATTAGTTAATTATGATCAATCAATTATAAAATTAGAACACTTACTCTATTCATTTTTTAATTAACATGATCCAACCTAATTAAATAGATAAGGATTGGATGTTGGAACTCAATATCGTTCATGCATCTTTTATTATGATGATGAAGATTGAGAGATAATATAAAGAGTTTTAGAAGAAGTTAAATAATTTAATAATGATGATACTATCCATATTCAAGTTTCTAAAGTCTAAAATTATTGGAAAGCAGAAGAAATGCATTATAAATACTTATAAAAAGCTGCAGATAAAGGTTGTGAAGATATAATTATGTGTTATAATTGATTAATAAAATTAATTATTATTTAATGAGACCAAGTTTCCTATTTATCACTCTACTAAATTTGGTATATGGGATCAATTATTCCATTAGAGGATAAAGCAATCTCTTAGATTTAGATTCTAATAATGACAATTTATAAATCAATGAAGGATTTAGAGAAGCAGCAGATCTTATTTTTGGAACCCTATTCTAATATTTGCCATATATAGTCCTAGCACTTACATTTATTTATTTTGCTAACAAATTCTTTCCAACCAGATAGCCAAAAAAAATTTTGAAAAAATTGCCAATCCAAAAACGATGATTATTATTTTAATTGATATTAACAATATCCCTCTATTTTTGTGTATATTTCATCAATTACTAAAGAACTTTCATCTTTAGAATTAATAGGATTAATTAAAATGATATATTAATTGGTCAGAATATTTAACAGATTAAAGAATTTAAACAAAGAGCAAAACATTAATAAAATTATTAAAGTTAATATTTGTTTTTATCATTTTCATTTATCCCTTTTTGATTTCCAATCTAGTAAGGCTTTTAAGTTTTTATCACTATTTGCTACTAATTTAATGTAATTATCTAAATTTATATACAATAATTGATACCCATAAAAGCATTTGCTTTTGCAATACCATAAGTAACTCTAGCTCTATCAATCAATTTTCTACTCTTTTATTCAGGTTTCTCTGATTTAGCACAATCAAAGTGTTATTAGAAATATTCCAATGATTTAGCAGTGTTTCCTTTGCTCTAATAGAGTTTAGCCAAATGCAATGCAGCATCTGATTATGAATTATATAATTTTTAATCTTTTGCCAATGCATAATAACTCTCTAAATGCTTTTAGGCTTCATCTACATCACCTTTCTTTAAATAACATTAAGCCAAAGATGAATGTGCTTCCATTTCTTTTTATTTTGAATCCTTAAATAGATATTACTATTTATACTTCTTTATGTAACTATTTCACAATTTCCAAAAATTTGTGATGATATTATATACTTTTTTAAATATTCTACATTTTGAAATACAAACCACCAATTTTATTGCAAATAACTCCTTCTGATTCTAAATCTCCAGCTTTTTATGCAGCCTCTCTACATTTATCATAATATTTTAATGATTATGCTATTTGATCATTATCTCCTTTCTCATATTCCTAGGCCATTCTATTATAGATCTTGATTAATTCTGTTGACATCTATTCAACTACTGAATCCAAATTCTATAATTATTCACATTATTTCATGCTTTCCTCTAAAATCTATATTGCTTAATCTATCAATCCAACTTAATAATGGCATTTTGCATAACCTAATTTACCTTTTCCTTCCGCTTTAGCTTCCTTTTATTAATAAGTATTTTACAGTATATTATCTTGATATCTATATTACTCTTTTATAAAAATAAGCTGCTACTATATAATCTTGATATTCAGTAAAAAAGAATTCAGCCAAATTTAAATATTCATTCAATGCTTAAGTTTTGTCTGGTTTTTCGTATTTAGCATTTTCTTCAGCGCTCTATAATCTTTTTTTTAAATCCAATAAGAATTCTTCATCTTAATTAATATATTTTTGATGAACTAATTTCTATACACAAAATACTTCTATGATTTGAAAAATGTTCCTCTAATGAAATTCCTGATGGCTAATAAAATAATTTTGGGACAGTTTCATTAGTCACATAAAAGAAATCAGCATAGGATTACACATAACCATTTTCTTTTGAATTATAAATAAGTATTACACAATATCTCTGCAGCAATTGATTCTTTATTTACTTTACCCTAAAATTCTATTCTTTCTTCTGATTAAGGAATTTATTATTGCTAATCTAATATTGTTATATACTTTTTATATTTTCTTTTGAGGATGTTTGTCTGTTGTAATCTATTTTTAAACTTATGCATCTGCTAATCCTTTTGCTTTGATAGGCATTTTTATTGGTTCAAATTTTTTTTCCTTTTATTGCATTAAATATAAAATTTAATGGATACTAAGTTAGTAATACTAAATCTTTTCAAAATCAATTAACTCTAACAGATAAAATTATATATCTGTAAGATTCTTAGAAAGAGCCACCTATGGAAAAGTTATTTTAGCTTAGAAAAAATAGATAATCAATAGGTGGCTATAAAAGTGATCTAAAAGAAATTCTTAACTAGACTAAATATATAAAAAAAAGTCTTAGGAATAAAAATAATACTAAGTATATATATCTTGAAAGGGAAATACTTTTGTATCTAAAACATCCAGAGATTGTTTAAATATTTTTTATTTTTTTGATAGTTGATGATTTCTTTGATTTTTAAAAATTAATAAAGGATACATATAAAGAGCTTTATAGTTTTATCTAGCCTAAATAATTTTAGACTAGAATATATTCATTGCTCATCGAGATTTATAACCTTAAAATTTGATGTTATCAAAGAATGGGTATTTAAAATTAATTGATTTTGGTACTTCTGTAGTTTTTAATGAGAATAGAGTACCTGCTGAATTTTTGTAGAATAATATACAAATAAAGTCTACTTTTCGAATTCAATATAGGTCCTTTATTAATAAAGCCTCCTTTGTAGGAACTGAAAATGTATCCCCAGAAATTTTAGAAGAAATTTGTGGGTATGCTGCAGAATTATGGGTTTTATAAATTATTTGTTATAAAATGTTTATAGAGGTAACTCCATTTAATGATAGTCAATATTTAGTATTTTAAAATGTGAAAAGTATAAAATTAACAATACCTGACACTTTTCTAAGTTAGGAATTCCAATGAGAGATTATGCAGTCAATCTATTATTTATCTGAAATCTCATCTATTTTTAAAGGTATTTAGTGGGAAAAAATATTTTAATAATAACTTGAACAAAATTGGAGGCTTTATTTAGAGATCATTAGATTTAGTATTAATTGAGGGCAAAGAAAATATGGGATTAGCTTTGATTGATCCAGAAACTGAAATATGTTAATAAAAAATTTGATCAATCGAAGAAGAATTAGTTTTTTCATCCAAAAAGTGGTTATATGGAAATTAAAGATTAGAATAAGAAATTCTAAATTAAAGAAGTTGAACATTCGATCGATAAATGGCTAGAAATTATCGAAAAATGTAGAAAAAATTAAAAAGAAGTTAAAAAACAAGTAAAAAATTACGAATAATATTATTATAATTCATAAATTTATTTTTTGAAATTTTTATGTCTGAAGAACAAAATAGAACTCCAAGGGATATTAAAATTGATGATAATAGTTTTACAAACAGAAAAGAGACAACTGCAGATAATCGATACTCTTAGAAAACTTATATTCATCCTTAATAAATTTATGTAGATTTTCAAATTTTAATTATTAGTAAGTTTAGCAGTGCAATAGTTCGGTTTAACCAATATTTATTTAAGTAATAACAAGAGAAGAAATAGAAATTCCATTTTTAAATGAAATCGATATGCTTAAAAATAAAATTAGCAAAGTATAAGAAGAAAATGATAAATTATATGAAAAAATTCATTATTTGACAGAATAACTACAAGAAAGATAAAATTTTATAGATACTTATAAATAAAAATTTATTGACCTATAAAATTCAAAAGAAATATTACTATCAGAACTTGAAAAATTAAATTAATAAAAATACCCAATTAATAACTCTGTTTAACCAATTTAAACTAAATTTGTGTTTTAGTAAAGTTAGTATTCCGATAGGTCTAATAATAATTTAAATATGGAAATTGAAATAGATAAACTTAGAATAGCTTTGAGTAATAAAGAGGAAGAGATCAGAAGACTTTAAGAAAAATATTAATAGCTAGAAAATTAAGGTTTAGCAATGCTAGAGGAAAAAATAAGAGCATTAATAAATGAAAAAGAATTTTGGAAATAAAAATTTGAAGAAACATAAAAAATACGTTAATACAATAACTTTAAATTTGCATGAAATTATGATGACGGTGTAATTATTGATTGTTATAAAATTTTTTAAATTTTACTCTCATTATATATAGTATTGTTATGGATTTAAAAAAATAAATTAGAATTTTATGAATAGTTATCGAATAACTTTAGATAGTAAGTATGAAAGAATTTATAAAAGGGTAATAACATATTTAGTAAGATTTAAAAAGTATTACATTTATACAAAATTGATCATATATTTTAAATTCATTAAACTAAACTATTATAAATTTATTCGTAGGCCAACTATTATTATTTTGATCTTTAATTAGATGAAAGCACTAAGCAAAGTGCTTCAGTTGCTAATCTATGATTTTTTTCCTCAATTAATAATTATATTTTTCTAAATGTATTCAAAGCAGGCTAAGAATAGTTAATATCAAACCTCATCATTTTGATACGATACATCGTTAATGAGTCGAGTAATTAGTTCTGATAAAAACAATTCAACACCTTTATCATCATTATTTTCTTTATTATCAAAAGATTTTCTAAGATGTAATGGAGCTATTCGAGCTTATTTTTTATCATTTTGGCCATGAGCATATGGACAATCAGTACCATTTTTACAAAATCCTTACTAATCATATTTACATAAAACAGCTTAAATTTATAATAAAGTTACTTTTGTAGTTTGTGATAACGATATTGCTATCAAGAGTAGGTATATGAATAGGTATTGGATCTAGAATAAATCTATATATAACCATCTGGATTTCTTAATTCATCTAAGCCATGAGCAAATTAGCATTTGGTACCAATAGAACAATTTCCATATTCATAATGCCTACAAATAGATGTCTTATACAAACGACCATTTCCATGTTGAGGAATGGTAATAATCGAATGGTGCATTAAATAAATTTATTATGGATTTAATTTAGTTATCATCGATGATATTAAACACACTCTTATATGCAACTTTGTATGTGATGAGCAAATATATCTATAGAATATAGAAACAGAGTAATAGATTAATTTTAGTAAGAATTATCGACAAATGATAAATAATTGGCAAAAGTGCTTCGATATTAGAGAAGGAAAATAAAAATTATAATTATGGGTTTGCCAACATTATTATGCTTTGTTCAAAATTATTACAATTTATGTTTGAGATACACATAGTCAGAAAAATTGAATATATTTGAATGTTTAAAATAATTTGATACAGAAAAAATAGGGATGGGAATATTAACATCATTTTATATGACACTATTATTATACATAGGTCCAGTGTATTAAGAATTTTGGGTAAAAAGTAATTACTTATAGTCAGAATGGGAATTTAAGAGAGAAATTTAGTAAAATTAGGTTCAACAAATTCAGATGGGATTACTTTACTAAGATTGTTATTGTATACATTTTTATTAAACTTTAAAAGACTCCATTAATTGATGAAATTATATTTAGAGAATTGGTGAATAATGCAATAAATGTCAGATATTAGAATAATTTTGAGTTCATCATATATTCAACATTGTTATATAGTTTAAGTAAAGAAGAAATATAATTTTATTAGCAAAATCATTGTCTTATTAATTAAAATATGGATAGCTATCACGTTATGAATTCTTAAAAACATTAGTATTGGGATTATATCTGTCTTTTGTTTTGGTTTAAACAAAAACAATAGTGACAGTAATAATAAATCATGGACTGATGAATTTTATGGGAAGACCGAACTTTTTAGATTTAGTTAAAGGAAAGTATAGCAACGAATAAAGATAAAGTAAAATGAAATTTAATATTTTAAGAGATGATACAGTTTTATGTGCTTGGTTTCGTAGCCTTTCTAATTTTTTGTGTTTTAGTTTTGTGATTTTATTTATTAATGGATTAATATAAAATAGTGAAGCGATTGGGAGATGGAACCTATGGATGCGTTTACAAAGCAACAAACATAAATACAGGACAAACAGTTGCTATAAAAAAGTTTAAAAAAAAATATACGTCTTGGGATGAATGTGTAAATCTTAGAGAAGTAAAAGCATTATAAAAATTAAAACATCCCAATATCATTAAATTAGTTGAAGTATTTAAAGAAAAGGATGAGTTGAATTTGGTTTTTGAATACTTAGATAAAGATATTTATCAACAATATTTAGAAAATCAAAATAATGGAAAGCATTTGCCAGAGGATAAGATTAGGTCTGTAATAAAATAAGTAACTGAAGGTTTGGCCTATATGCACAAAGTAGGATATTTTCATAGGTAATTGATACTCATATTGTAGAGATCTAAAACCAGAAAATCTACTAGTTTCAGGGGAAACTGTTAAAATATGTGATTTTGGATTAGCTAGGGAAATAAGATCAAAACCACCATATACTGATTATGTTGCTACAAGGTTAATAATTTTATAATTTTTAGATGGTATAGAGCTCCTGAAATCTTACTAAAATCTCCATATTATAACTCACCAGTTGATATATTTGCATTAGGTTGTATAATGGCTGAACTTTACACCCTCAAACCATTATTTAATGGGAGTTCCGAATTAGATTAGCTTTTTAAGCTTTGTTAAACTCTAGGTACACCAAATATTAGAGATGTATTTCATACAATATGAATATTTTAGTGGCCTGAATCATAAAAATTAGCCAATACTGCAAATATAACATTCCCAACTTATGCTCCTGTCTCATTAGAAAAAATTATACCAAATGCTTCATCAGAAGCTTTAGAACTTATAAGAGATATGTTAAAGTATGATCCTTAGAAAAGACCTTCAGCTAAATAAATTTTGGAATATCCATATTTTACCAATCATTGTTTTCCTATGATCCAATAAATCGAGAATAAATAGGAATTTCCAAAATTAGATAGAATGGAAAGACATGAAAAATAAGAAGATATATTTGAATTACCTAAAGTCAACAATAAAGAAAATAGAAATAAAATGAATGAATCCAATTCTAATTTTTTAGATATCTTAGAATAAAAACTGGCTGAGTTTGATAGACCAGCAAAAAAAGAAATCTCAATACATAAAAGTAATGTCAAGGAATCCAAAGAATTTTAACCACAAAAAGACTATAGAGAATCAAATTTTCCTATGATCTAAAATAATCAACATAAAGAATACAATTAAAATGACTCTATGGATCCTAGAATTGATTCTAGAAATAAAAAAGGTTAAGCTGGATTAAAATTTTTAAGACATAATGATCCTATTGGAGATCAACTCAGAAATCAATAATAATTAAGTATTCAATAATCAAGATCCTATGAACCAACAAAAAGAAATATATATGATTTTAATCTTTTATAAATGCCTATTGCTAAGCCTACTTTTCAACCTAAACTGGAAATGCCCAAATAGAATAAAAATTAAATACTTGGATAAAATTATCCCAAATCTTTGCCTATTGCCCCAAATATGGGATATAAATATCAATAACAATAATAATAATAACAATATAAATTTGATGATATCTTATATGGGAAGCCTCCACTTAAATAGTATTATTGATGCTTATAAAAATCTACATCTACATAAATATACACAACATAATTTTTCAAACATGTATAAAATATTTTCCTACTGCAGTCAAAAACCTTTATTTGTAATCATGTGGATTGATTATTGTAGGGACCTTAAGTAATTTAATTATAATACTTTTCCTCCTTTAAGCACAAATTTTAATAGCCGTTCAGTTTCTTTATCCCAAGTGTAAAATCTTAAATAGTCGATGATTCCCATCCTTATTTTTTTCTGTTTGCTATTGATAATCAATAGTAGAGAATAATCAACAATCTATTTTCTTAATAAAAATTTGCAATCGCTCTAATAATACAAGTAATTAGCATACCTAAAATGCTTTATCATTATAAATATAACAATCATTCTAGATAAGAATCGGTTCTGCATTTCTATCTATAATAAAATTAGTGTCTAATAAAACTTTATTTACTTTCTTTTCCCATCTATTTGTTTCACTTCCCTTTAAATCATAAACCAATAAATCTTTCGGATTACCAACACCATAATATAAATTTTCCATAATTAAATAAAACTCAGGATAACCTTTGTCTCTAATTTCATACATTCCGAATATTTTACAAAGTAATGAAGGTTTTTAGGATTCATAAAAATGTCTGTGCATTTATCTAAAATAATCTAAAGCAAATTATTCAAACATTCTAAATTCTTTTTCATCATCAAATTTCTTTACAACAAATAATTCATTGTCAGATTTGAAGAATTTGGAAGATGATTTACCACCACTTGCATTCCATGATCCTGTTACACTAAGTGATTTAATAAATAAATTTAATGTAATTCCAAAAGAAGCCCTTAATGCTTCGAATTGATTTGGAAAATAAATTAATATTTCTTAAGTTTTTGACTTCTTAGCTTAAAACTACTAATTTCCAAAACCGCTAGCTACTGATTATTATGAAGATATTGATTTATCCTCATCTTGAAATTAGTCTCTACTCATTGAAGGTTTCAAACCCTTTACTTTATCATATTATAATGTGATTGTAATGTAGTTCTTTTCTTTTTTTTAAGGAATAGATTACTATTAAGTTGTATTCACATTAGTATCATTTAGCGTAAGTAAAGATTCACTTGGAAGACTTTAATCTTCTTATTCCCATTTACCTGATTATTATCCAGATTTCATCAACATTAATTTACTTAAAATCAATTTTTATTGTTACTAATCAGCCTTTTAAAAATCTAATTTTAATAATTAAATATACTTTCAAAGTAATTTATTGCTTTAAGATAAGTTGGGTGATTCAAAGAAAATGCTATTGAAGATAATGGTTGACTTTCAAAAATAGCCACAAAAGGAATTATTTTTTTATCACATAATTTTAACTTGTTCTATTCTTCTTAAAATAGACATAGTGGCCATTCCTTTATTAAATGACTTTAAGGATTTTGTTATCTATCTCCAATAAAAGAATGATTGGTGTCTAAATCCTTCACTGAATATGGTATATTAGGAATTTTGTTTGATGGAGTTTTCATTGGTTTACCTCCCATTGGTGATTTTATATCACTAATTTATTCACTCTAATTCTCAATATCTTCACCAACTACACTATCAGAATGATTGATTTCACAATCCTAACCTGAAAAATGAACTTTATTAAAGGGAGGAGATTGATGATCGATATCTTTTTAACTTCGGAACATAGAATTTCTTTGAAACCTTTTCATTTCAACTTTTATTTAATCGTTAAGCTCTTAAATTTGAATACTTAATTAATTGGTAAAGATTTGTAAGTCAGATATTTACTTCATTTCTTAAAACTTCTCTTACCAATATTTTTCATTAGAATATATTTCTATATTATCTTTTATATCATTCTTGGATAAGGGCTTAGTTAATTAAGTTAATTAATAATTAGTATTTAAAATTCTTTGATAAAGTTCTTTTTTTTCATTTTATATATAATCTTCTTCCCATTTTTTTAAATTATCCAGTATTTCCTAACTTAAAGTATTTTATATTACAGTAGAGAAAACTTCTACTTCCCCTACTAAAATTTTCACCATAGACTCATCGTAAGTGAATATTCTCTCTAATTAATGATTACAATTGTTGGACTAACAAATAGTTTGTCTTTCATAAATGTTTGGTTAAGTTATCAATATGGTTTGCATAAATCGAAAAAAAGAAAAATCTAAATTTTAACTAGATAATTTAACAATATTTGAACTAAGATCGCATTTACTACACTAAATATAGGTTTCTATTTTTATCTTTTTTTTTTCCCCTTTTTAATTTGAATGGGATTGCTAAACAATTTTACTGATATCTTTTGCTGTATAAACGTTATCTCTAGGTTCATCATCATTTGACAACTAAGAAAACTACTGTGAAACTTAATTTGATAATTAAGGTGGTTCATTGGTAGATATAACTCTACCACTTCTATTCTTTTAATCAACACTTATTTTAATATATTTATCCCCACAGTAATAAAATGAAACATGGGCTATTTTTGGTAAATGACAAAATTCGCATTTGTTGTCTTTATTAGCTATTTTCAAAATGATAAATTAGCCTAGACAAACATCTTCTCCATGATAAAATACTGACTTTTTTTCTTATGGTTTATTGCACATCCTAGCCATTGAAAATTCTTCCAATTTATCCCTTTAAGTAGGATGTTTTGATTTATATTCTTCTAAACTAGAAAAATCTTTTATGTCATTAAAATTGCTCACATCAGCTATAACGTAATTTATTTTTATGTATTTTAATTCTATAATAAATAATTCTTTTAAAGGGACTTTTTCAAATAAGAAGTTTGTGAAATTTCCTTAATTTGAAATAGTTTTAAGTTGATTGTTTTTAAAAATTGAACATTCAGTAGTTATAAAATGAGATTCAAGATCTTAATGTTTGCCTAACCTAGCACATCCTATAAAACATTATTTTAGCTTTTATAGTAAATCCTCAGAAGGCCCACTGATCGTAATTGTGGCGAATTTTTAACAAGTTTAAGTTTTTAAGAAACATAGAGTAGTATCTTTATGCATCTCACCTTTTTCTGAAACCATTTTTGGAAATGACTTGAAAAAAACTTTCTCGCATTAACCAACTATTTATTCCTTTCTTTCAATACATAACTTCAATGATGACAAAGTTATAAATTTAGCATTTGTACACAATTTAACTCTTTTAAGAACTTTCTTTTTAACGTTTGTTATGACTGTTATCTTTTTCTTAAGACATTCATCTAATGCAATCTTATTGGCTCCTTTTTCAACTAATATTAAATTTGGTTCATAATTTTTATAAATTTAATTGATTGAATCAACTAAGATTTTTTTTTCATTTTATATATAGTCTTCTAATTAATTTTAAGTACCATCCATATCAAAATCTCCAATTATAATAATTATGGCTGGTTTATTAATTTCAGATTACATTTATTTTAAAGCCACATTTTTACGAAAAATAACTCCAGGGAAGAAACTGGTTAATTATTCATCACTATGATCAATAATTTTAATTTTCATGAAATGATTAATATCCATAAGGTTTGTATTAAGAGAATGAAATTAAATCTCTTACACACATTAAGTTATCAATATTTTCATTTTTGATTTCCAAAATTCAATAACTTTTTCATAGGATTTATTTGGTTAAAGAACATTCTACAATATGTATTCACATATTTTTTCCAATTGATTAGCACTCTTTTCTTATAATATTGTTAATTAATCTTTGGATATATCAGCCTCTTCGAAAAATTCGGAAATGTCTTCTTTTTCTTAATTTATCTCTAAGAGTGTGTCATCCTCTTCTTACATTTATTATGCTTCATTCCCCTTGACAACAATACTTTTTGATGAAGTATAGGTAGTCACACTCTCAAATTATTTTGAAACATTTCTAGTTTGAGAATTTACTTCTTTTTTCATGGCTGCTTTTAAAGTAGAATCTTCATTTTCTACAAAGAATCCTTTGTCAGCAATCAATTAATTAATTTTATCATAACAACGTCTGCAAAATCGAATTTTTTTCTCACCTTCATTAGGAGGTCCGTCTAAAAAGTGGTTTGAACAACTACATGGTTATATCAATTTACTCTTAACAAAAAATATATCCACATCTTCTACAATGATGCTTACGTCTAAATAAAGCATTAAATTTATTATCGCACATTCCACATTAGCTTATTTCTTGATCATCCTTCCACTTTTTTTTTGGAATTAATTCATTCTTTATTATATCAAATCGAGAAGTCTATTTCATATAATTATTATATTCTGTATATTTATATATTAATTATTTTAAACAGAACTTTTTTTCAAATAGAAAATCGTAGATCAGGATTTTAAACTTTAAAAATACTAATAAATTGGCATTTTAATTCTAAATATTCAAATTTAAATGGCTAATCTATCAAATTTTTAGTTAAAATGCTCTAAATTTTCTTTTTATAATTCCTTTAATTGTTATTTCAATCTCTTTATATTCTGTAACATCTCTCTTTATGATAGGGGTTCTTATGAATTAGCTCTTTTTATCTCTTAAATCCTACTTTTGCAATGTTTGGACAATAATTGCAAATGATTTTATTCTCTATCATACCAAATTTTATTAAGCTCAAACAAAAGTATTTCCATTAGCTCATCTATTTCTAAATCATTTTTCGTCTTCAAATATTTATTCTTAAAAGCCTAAGCAAAATTAAATGCATCTCCTGGTACATATAATAATTTATCATTCAAAGAATATAATGGATTGCAACATGAACGGTATTGATAAAATTCTCTATTGCAATTTTTGCAAAAATCAAATGTTAAATTTTAAGGTTTAATTGGAAATTTTATATTTTTTATCACTTTTAACTGCACTGAATTAGGATTATATTAATATTCACCTTGATTTTCTAAACTAGGAGCAAAGCCTAGAAGTTATGAAAAAATTTAATTCTCAGCTCTTAAGTGTTCTAACTCAATTCTAAATTATGCTTCTGCTCCTATTGTTTATTGAAGTTTATCAACTCTAGTTTATAATTTTTCCTTCTTTAATTTCTATTTATCAACTTCTTATTCATATTCTTAGAATTTTTATTCTGTTCCACTGCAAGTGAAATTTGAAATTGATATTATTGCTTTTAATTTTGAAATTTCATTATTTTTTTATTCTAATTCTTTGAGTAATTCTGAAATTTTTTTATCTTTTTCATATATTTATTAGTTTTAGAATTGAGTCAATTAACTACTCATTTCAACCACATCGCAAGAGAGCATTTGCTAACTGAGTCCTTTACTATTCATTTTTTCCAGATTTATTTGATCAGTTAAAAATGTACACCTTTGAGTAATTGTTTCTATTTAAGTATTTAATGATTTAATTTAAGCTTCCAATTTTTTATTATTCTTTTCTACTTTCTATTTTTCTATTTGAGTTTGCAAAAATTTTTCTTACATTTGTTTCATTAATTTAGAAATAAAATAAATAAAAATTATTAAAATAAACTAATGAACTTTAAAAAAATGATAAATCTTAAATTAATTCAAACTACTCCTTGTATCATTAGATTTAGTTTAATTTAATCTGTTTAATCTTTACAGAAGAAATATAATTGTTACAAGGGTTAGGATTAGCTTAATTAAATCTTTGCTTATCATTAATTAATTTAAAAAGGATTTAAAGCAGTTTTATCCTAAAAATATCAAATTTTGTTCAAGAAGTTTAATTAGAAATTAAAGATGAAGATCGCTTATATTGCTATTTTGGTATTGTTAAATTATGATTTCATCATTCTTTTAGTACAATTTTGTAACCAATAATTTGATAAAAACAATTTACAATGATATTTTATATATTATCACGATTATCGAAAACACAAATGTGTATTATTATCATTTTTTCTGTTGTATTATGTTCGCTAACCTTTTATTTATGCAAATCTGTTGCATATTAAGACTTGTATTAATATTTTGTCCTTGAGTTTATAAGAAAAATATTAAAATTAATTATAAAAATAANTCATTCAAAGAATATAATGGATTGCAACATGAACGGTATTGATAAAATTCTCTATTGCAATTTTTGCAAAAATCAAATGTTAAATTTTAAGGTTTAATTGGAAATTTTATATTTTTTATCACTTTTAACTGCACTGAATTAGGATTATATTAATATTCACCTTGATTTTCTAAACTAGGAGCAAAGCCTAGAAGTTATGAAAAAATTTAATTCTCAGCTCTTAAGTGTTCTAACTCAATTCTAAATTATGCTTCTGCTCCTATTGTTTATTGAAGTTTATCAACTCTAGTTTATAATTTTTCCTTCTTTAATTTCTATTTATCAACTTCTTATTCATATTCTTAGAATTTTTATTCTGTTCCACTGCAAGTGAAATTTGAAATTGATATTATTGCTTTTAATTTTGAAATTTCATTATTTTTTTATTCTAATTCTTTGAGTAATTCTGAAATTTTTTTATCTTTTTCATATATTTATTAGTTTTAGAATTGAGTCAATTAACTACTCATTTCAACCACATCGCAAGAGAGCATTTGCTAACTGAGTCCTTTACTATTCATTTTTTCCAGATTTATTTGATCAGTTAAAAATGTACACCTTTGAGTAATTGTTTCTATTTAAGTATTTAATGATTTAATTTAAGCTTCCAATTTTTTATTATTCTTTTCTACTTTCTATTTTTCTATTTGAGTTTGCAAAAATTTTTCTTACATTTGTTTCATTAATTTAGAAATAAAATAAATAAAAATTATTAAAATAAACTAATGAACTTTAAAAAAATGATAAATCTTAAATTAATTCAAACTACTCCTTGTATCATTAGATTTAGTTTAATTTAATCTGTTTAATCTTTACAGAAGAAATATAATTGTTACAAGGGTTAGGATTAGCTTAATTAAATCTTTGCTTATCATTAATTAATTTAAAAAGGATTTAAAGCAGTTTTATCCTAAAAATATCAAATTTTGTTCAAGAAGTTTAATTAGAAATTAAAGATGAAGATCGCTTATATTGCTATTTTGGTATTGTTAAATTATGATTTCATCATTCTTTTAGTACAATTTTGTAACCAATAATTTGATAAAAACAATTTACAATGATATTTTATATATTATCACGATTATCGAAAACACAAATGTGTATTATTATCATTTTTTCTGTTGTATTATGTTCGCTAACCTTTTATTTATGCAAATCTGTTGCATATTAAGACTTGTATTAATATTTTGTCCTTGAGTTTATAAGAAAAATATTAAAATTAATTATAAAAATAATTAGCTGTAGATTCTTGATTTTCCCTAAAAAGCTTTTCTCTAGTAATGAAAACAATTATACTTAGCAACTATAATAAATTAATAACTTCACTTTCTAGAGAAGATGCAAAACACATTCATAGTATGTAATTTTGGATTATAGCTTCATGAAAACTTAAATTTCAAAGAAAATGAAGTTCAATTTGCTAACAATAGTAGATTGATGATGTAATGAAATTGAACTAGGTTTCTATATAAAATTTATCCTCAGTATCTCTATGATAGTAATTTAAAGCTCAAAGAATTAAAAATTAATAATAATAATAAAATAAATAAGAAGGATTATTAAACATAATTTAGAATAAGCCAAAAAAAATTTTTATCAAATTTTAATTTGTGGGGTTATGGCCCAGAATAAAAAGAGCATCCTAGTGAAGATATATTAGGAACATATTAGAGAGTCGAATCCAGGGGAGGGGAGGAGACCACTCGGTACAACCGAAATATCAGTCTCAACTGAGCCATTCTTAAAGACACCAAATTAGAATTGATACATTCATAAAAGAGAAAAAACATTAAACATTAATAAGCCAAAAAATCAATAGAAAGATTACAACCGATTTATCATCAAATATAAAGGAAGTTATAAGATTTCACAGATACATATATTTGGAAGATTAACTGACGAAAAATGCGTATGTATTTTGTTAAGAATTGAAGAAAAAACACAAATAATAAATTCGAAAAGGAACTTATGAAGTCTTAAAATAAACACGAAGAAATGATATGTTATTTTTCGCCCAATAACTTCTGAAAAAGAATAAAAAGTTAGTATTCTGTCAAAAACGATGTTTCAGTATCATTCAAGCTTCAACTTTTTTTACATTAATGGTAGTGAAAGTTTTGAATATTTGATGATAAAGTTTAACAAAAAATAAAATCGTTCATATTATTATTATCAATCAGATTTTTTTCCAAGCTCGTTTCTATTTGTGAAATATTTTAGTAAGCTCGAGCCATGCTGTGTGAATTAATACCCTCATGATTATTTCAAATATCAATAAATGATTTTACAATGCAAAAATTACTTTTGGTTTAAATGTTACACATTTTATGCATATCAATCTAAATTTTCATAAAATAATTATAAAGGGTAAAGTGCATCACTATACATTAATTGTGCTCATCATTTGGAAAATTTTCTAAAAACCTTAATACATTTTATGACTAGCGATTAAACACACTAAGCTGCAATTGAATGTTTAGTAAATATACATATCAAATTTTGGCTTAATACAAAATTTTAGTTTATTGAAAATGCCATTATTTTTTAAATTGAAATAATGCATTATTATTATTTCAATTTAACACGTAAAAATATAATAATGATCAATAATCATTCATGAAGGCACCTATTTTATTAATTAATTTCTTCGAAGGTTTTCTAAATTTGCCTCTTTATTTAGGATTTAGGCTTTTTTATATTTTGAAAATGGTTTAAAAGTTCAGAATGGAAGCTAGAATGGTAGATTATAATTTTTATATCCGATAGTGAATATTATTGTATCTTACACTTTCTATTACAAAATCGAAATAATATATATTGAATTTTTTGGTGAAGGAATTTGTTGATCTAAGTCAATCAATTTTTTATTTAAACTCGGTCTCTAAATATCCATGAAAAGTTAAAGTTTTAGTTGCCAATTATATGCTTTTGCCATCCAAGTGATTTTAGAATTAAGACAAGTTATAGCAAGTTCAAGTTACAATATACAGTGAAAAAGTTTACCATAATTAGAGATTTATGTTCCTAGATATTTATAGTTCTTAACAATTGGAAAATCAAAGAAAATTGTTCCTTTCATTTCGATTAATGGTTATGCATGTAAAATGTTCCACATTTTTGACTTATTGAATTTTAAATTAAATTTTGATGATAAATTAATAAAATCTTCTAGATATGTTTGTGGATATTTATGCTCGATTATTGTTACAATATCACCAGCAAATTAAAAGCTTGTGTAATTAACATTACAGACTTACTTTTATTATTAGGAATAAATATATTAAATAAAGTTGGTGATAATGGGTCTGAAGCCTTAAGAGACACCATAAGCAAAAAAGAAGATTTAGTTATTGAGTGGGCTAGTAAATTTCTTATCATTAAGAATATTCTTTTGGCTTATTGTATAGTATAAAACACTTCTATCAAATGTATTAAAAGCTTATCTAATATCAATAAATATACAATTCATTTGTAATTTTTTATTATATTCATGAATCTGATATTTATTTAAGTTGAAGAGAATGTGATAAAACCGAATTAATTGTTACATAATTTAGATATAAATAGTTTTGTAGTTTGGGTAGAAATCTAATGTTCAAGTTGCTTATATAAGGGGCTTAGTATGGATATTGGGTGAAATTATCTTTCTAGGAATGGAAGAAAATGCTTTTTTAGTGAAATTAGTCTTGTTCTGCGACAATATTTATTTGATTTGATATTAGAATTTTGCCAAATCTTCTAAAATAGAGAGAGATTGGTTTTTTTTGTTAATGAAAGTGTCAAAATACCATCAAAAGATATAAGATATAGCTTTATTATTTGAGAATCAATTATTTAATTTCAGAAATCTCAATTAAAAAAAAAGTTAAGTTAAAGATGTGTTATTCTCTCAAAAAACTATTAATATTTTTGATATTTTATGATTATTATGTATTAAATTTAATTGATTCGATATTCCTTATTTTTTTGATTTAATTTTTTTCCTATTTAAATAT